TTCACTCGATAGGATAGTAGTGTTTGTTTGGAGTTTATGACAACAATAATAATAATCACGAAGACAACTTCTATAGAAGTTCTCATTCGCGTAATAGGACCATATTTTTTGGTTGTGGTTCATGTAAATGAGTATGATAATATATGTTTGGCAGGGATAATAATAATCGTAAAAACGATAGAAGTTCTCACTCACGCGATAGGACCATTGTTGGGGTGTATGTAAATGAGGATGATATAAATATATGACCAAAAAAATATTAATCACAAAGACGATATAAGTTTTCATTCACGTGATAGGATCATATTTCTTTTGTCGGGGTTATGTAAATGAGGGTGATATAAATATATGACAACAATAATAATAATCACAAAAACGATAAAAGTCCTCATTCGCGTGTTAGTACCATATTTTTTTTGTTATTTTTTATTTTCTTATGTAAATGAGGGGGATATAAATATATGAAAACAATAATAATAATCACAAAGACGACAGAAGTTCTCATTCGCTTGATAGGACCATATTTCTTTTGTCGGGGTTATGTAAATGAGGGTGGTATAAATACATGACAAAGATACTAATTATCACAAATGCGAGAGAAGTTCTCATTCATGTGATAGGACAGTAGTTTTTGGTTGGATTTTATGACAAGAATAATAATAATGACAAAGACGATAAGAGTTCCCATTCGCGTGATAGGACCATATTTCTTTTGTCGGGGTTATTCAAAATAATGAGATGATATAAATATATGACAAAGATAATAATTATCACAAAAACGAGAGAAGTTCTCATTCACGTGATAGGATCATATTTCTTTTGTCGGGGTTATGTAAATGAGGGTGATATAAATATATGACAACAATAATAATAATCACAAAAACGATAAAAGTCCTCATTCGCGTGTTAGTACCATATTTTTTTTGTTATTTTTTATTTTCTTATGTAAATGAGGGGGATATAAATATATGAAAACAATAATAATAATCACAAAGACTATAGAAGTTCTCATTCGCGTGATAGGACCATATTTCTTTTGTCGGGGTTATTCAAATGGGGTTGATATAAGTATATGTCAAAGATAATAATTATCACAAAAGCAAGAGAAGTTCTCATTCACTCGATAGGATAGTAGTGTTTGGTTGGAGTTTATGACAACAATAATAATAATCACGAAGACAACTTCTATAGAAGTTCTCATTCGCGTAATAGGACCATATTTTTTGGTTGTGGTTTATGTAAATGAGTATGATAATATATGTTTGGCAGGGATAATAATAATCGTAAAAACGATAGAAGTTCTCATTCTTGCGATAGGACCATTGTTGGGGTGTATGTAAGTGAGGATGATATAAATATATGACAAAGATAATAATTATCACAAGAGCGAGAGAAGTTCTCATTCATGTGATAGGACAGTAGTTTTTGGTTGGAGTTTATGACAAGAATAATAATAATCACAAAGACGATAGAAGTTCTCATTCACGCGATAGGACCATTGTTGGGGTGTATGTAAATGAGGATGATATAAATATATGACAAAAAAAATAATAATCACAAAGACGATATAAGTTTTCATTCACGTGTAGGATCATATTTCTTTTGTCGGGGTTATGTAAATGAGGGTGATATAAATATATATCAACAATAATAACAATCACAAAAACGATAAAAGTCCTCATTCACGTGATAGGACCATATTTCTTTTGTTATTATTTATTTTCTTATGTAAATGAGGGTGATATAATTATGAAAACAATAATAATAATCACAAAGACGACAGAAGTTCTCATTCGCTTGATAGGACCATATTACTTTTGTCGGGGTTATGTAAATGAGGGTGATATAAATACATGACAAAGATACTAATTATCACAAATGCGAGAGAAGTTCTCATTCATGTGATAGGACAGTAGTTTTTGGTTGGATTTTATGACAAGAATAATAATAATCACAAAGACGATAAGAGTTCTCATTCGCGTGATAGGACCATATTTCTTTTGTCGGGGTTATTCAAAACAATGAGATGATATAAATATATGACAAAGATAATTATTATCACAAAAGCGAGAGAAGTTCTCATTTACGTGACAGGACAGTATTTTTTGGTTGGAGTTTATGACAACAATAATAATAATCACAAAGACGATAAGAGTTCTCATTCGCGTGATAGGACCATATTTCTTTTGTCGGGGTTATTCAAAATAATGAGATTATATAAATATATGACAAAGATAATTATTATCACAAAAGCGAGAGAAGTTCTCATTCACGTGATAGGACAGTATTTTTTGGTTGGAGTTTATGACAAGGATAATAATAATCACAAAAAAGATAGAAGTTCTCATTCGCGTGATAGGACCATATTTCTTTTGTCGGGGTTATTCAAATGAGGGTGATATAAATATGACAAAGATAATAATTATCACAAAATCGAGAGAAATTCTCATTCACGTGATAGGACAGTAGTTTTTGGTTGGGTTATGACAACAATAATAATAATCACAAAGACTATAGAAGTTCTCATTCGCGTGATAGGACCATATTTCTTTTATCGGGGTTATTCAAATGGGGGTGATATAAATATATGACAAAGATAATAATTATCACAAAAGCAAGAGAAGTTCTCATTCACTCGATAGGATAGTAGTGTTTGGTTGGAGTTTATGACAATAATAATAATAATCACGAAGACAACTTCTATAGAAGTTCTCATTCGCGTAATAGGACCATATTTTTTGGTTGTGGTTCATGTAAATGAGTATGATAATATATGTTTGGCAGGGATAATAATAATCGTAAAAACGATAGAAGTTCTCATTCACGCGATAGGACCATTGTTGGGGTGTATGTAAATGAGGATGATATGGGCCATTCCATGAGAAGAAGGACATGACATCAAAAAAAGAAATGTACCTCTTATGTTAATTCTTTGATTTATCACTAACCTTATGCCATGGATGTTCATAAAACATTAGGGCCTTTCAAATTCAATACAATTTTTTTTTCATTTTTGTTGATTTCCTAAGATCTCAAACTATCATCAAAAACGTACATGTGGGACTGTAGCTGAAAAAAACCCAATTTATTGCAGATTACACAGGATTCTTGTAATATTTTTTCCTGAAAATTTCGCTAAATGGAAAAAGATGAATATATTTCCATATTCTAAGGGGTCCTGTGATATTTAATCTATTACATAGGGGTGAAAATGGCCTCCGGACAAAATGTAACGCGAGTTACCGTAACGTGAGTTACCGACATATTTGCTTCCTGCATTTTACTAGTCCATTGTTTCTTATCTTTAATATTGTGATCTTATACTAGTAAGTCACAACCTACTATCAAATTAAAATAGGAAAGATTTTGTCAAGATTGTCTAGTATGAGGAGAAAAGAGGGTCTCGTAGAATTGACCATGTCCTTTTTTTGTAACGCGAGTTACCGAAATTCAATAATCCAAGAATCTAAAAATGTTTGTTCTTCAATTTTCTTTTTTGTTTCATTCAGTTGTTCTATATCTACCCTGTCCATGTTTGAAAAAAGTATCTTGTAGATCCTAGCAGTTCTAAAGATATAGGCACATTATCGTGTCAATGTACCCATTAAGTGTAACGCGAGTTACCATGGAATGGCCCATATAAAGATATGACAAAGATAATAATAATCACAAAGACGATAGAAGTTTTCATTCAACGTGATAGGATCATAGTTTTTTGATGGGGTTATAATGTAGATGAGAATGAAAGAAAATAATGATCATAAAACAAGTCAAACATTCAGTGCAGAGGTCCAGGCGAAGAGAGGGAGATCGAGAGGGTGCGAGAGGAAGGGAAAGAGGGAACAAGTGAGAGTGAGAGTGACAGAGAGAGCCTGGGTCTATATTTCGGAGAGAGAGAGAGGGTCTATGTGGTGAAAATGATTATTTTCGAAACTTCCAAGGGTATGATGAACATTACAACGAACTTCTGTAGGAAAGAGAGAGAGAGAGAGAGAGAGAGAGAGAGCGGTATATGGATAGACATATTTATTGTATTTCTTTCATGTTTATTTGAACGATTGTGTGGTCATTCATTTTCAAATTGCTTTCTTTCTGATATTCTTTTCTGAATGCATTTCACGGACATAATAATTGGAAAAAATGATAAGACTTCATGTATCCCGTAGCATATTGAAACTGTTTGTTATAAATGTATATCAAAATGACTGATCAGTCGAAGCTGAGACTAGATTGAGACGGTTGCGGAGGAGGGTTTACGGGTACGTCAAACCATAGGTTACTCACTCTGCAAGGAGACTATAACTCCATTGATTTGTGCGATACAATCCTGAACGGTACTTGCTCTCACACAAACGCACACAGATGCTGGAACCATTGAGCTCTAAAAGAGACCGTGGACCTTAGCCATGCGAATGCAGTGGCTTTCCCGCTGTGGAGCGGGGTCAGCGCCGAGCGGGGCGAAAGCCCATTTTCAATATCGATTATACCATGAACCATTTACAACAGTAGATGGCGCTAGTATACAACAACATGAGCTGGTTTAAATACAGGCAGCTTGGAACTAATAATTGATTTATTAATTACTGTTTAATTCACTACAAAAAAAAAAAAGTATTTCAGCGGGGGAGATTGGTTAAAGATATTCCTATAGCATCTTGTTATAACATCAAAGAGTTTCAGATGAATTAAATATTTTTACCAAAACTTTGTAATACCTTTAAAGGCAGGCTTTACTTCAGCTAGAAGGGATTAGACCACCCAGCGAGCCAGCGAGGTCACTGTGACAGGTGGCTACCTCATTAACTCAGCTCTCATTTAACATAAGAAAAAGAGGATCAAGGGGGACCAACAGGCACCAATTGGGGAAGTTTTCTATATAGAGGGTGCAAGTAGCTACAAGTAGGACAGTGTGCCTTTAATGGGCCTGTACTGTGCTGTTATGGGTTTCATTGTTGAATATTAAACATTTTTTAAATATTTTTATTTGCGTGTTGACGTAGACCTGGACCAGGTGGGATGCTGTCACCTGGACTAGAACACGATCCTATGCTAGGACTATCACCGCTAAGAGAGAAGCTACAAGGAGGAGAGGGCCATACATTAGGGGGATTCCCCGTCTCATTCCTTATAAATGTGGTAAGTTTGTGCTAGGACTATCACCGTTAAGAGAGAAGCTACAGGGAGGAGAGGGCCAATACATTAGGGGGATTCCCCGTCTCATTCCTTATAAATGTGGTAAGTTTGTGCTAGGACTATCACCGTTAAGAGAGAGGCTACAGGGAGGAGAGTGCCATACATTAGGGGGATTCCCCGTCTCATTCCTTATAAATGTGGTAAGTTTGTGCTAGGACTATCACCGTTAAGAGAGAAGCTACAGGGAGGAGAGGGCCAATACATTAGGGGGATTCCCCGTCTCATTCCTTATAAATGTGGTAAGTTTGTGCTAGGACTATCACCGTTAAGAGAGAGGCTACAGGGAGGAGAGTGCCATACATAAGGGGGATTCCCCGTCTCATTCCTTATAAATGTGGTAAGTTTGTGCTAGGACTATCACCGTTAAGAGAGAGGCTACAGGGAGGAGAGTGCCATATATTAGGGGGATTCCCCGTCTCATTCCTTATAAATGTGGTAAGTTTGTGCTAGGACTATCACCGTTAAGAGAGAGGCTATAGGGAGGAGAGGGCCATACATTAGGGGGATTCCCCGTCTCATTCCTTATAAATGTGGTAAGTTTGTGCTAGGACTATCACCGCTAAGAGAGAGGCTACAGGGAGGAGAGGGCCATACATTAGGGGGATTCCCCGTCTCATTCCTTATAAATGTGGTAAGTTTGTGAGAAATTTAAAAGAAGAGAGAAACAGGCCAGGATGGCCAATGTACTTGAAATAAAGAGAGAGAGAGAGAGAGAGAGGGAGAAGAAATGTGTAAGGGTGAAGATGATTTAGGAGGAAAATGAAGAAGAAACTAGAGGAAGAATAAAGTGAAAAAGAAGAAGGTGAAGAAGAGGAGGAGGAGGAGGAGGTAAGGGAGGAAAGAAGGAAACAAAGAAAGAAAGAAAAAAAGAAGGAGAGTGAAGTACTAAAAGGAGAAAGAGGACGAGAAAATGAACAAAGATGCAAGCTCAGTAGTGTTCTGATGACAATTTTGTTGTGGTTATTTTACCTGACTGCTAAGAAAGCATAAATGCTTGTAAGTAAGCAACCAGACGGCCAACGGCTTTAGGTCCTCTCCGAGGGACCTGGTAATGAGGATTAATGCCTTACCAAAGGGCACTAGCGCATCGACTTGGTTTCGAACCCAGGTCACCAGATTACGAGACCACTGCTCTACCGACTCAGTTATCGCGCCTCCTCAATCAATATTTATTAATAATGTTTTGTTTTCCCAACTGTTTTTCTCACTCTAGACAAAGCTCTCTAAGATTCTTGGATACAAGAAGGAATTGATCCAGCAGATGAAAGAAATGAACACCGAGGCTGAGAGAATGGTAAGGAGGTCCTCGACCCAAAGGCAATTATTTTTTTTCTTTTCTGTACAATGTTCTGCCTGCCGTGTGTGTTGGTGTGTGCATGTGAATGAATGAATGAGATTTGTTATTATAATTTGCTTGTATTTTTATTTTTGTACAGGACCCTATTCTCACAAGCTGTGCTTCTCTTGGGGTCCTTCCGATTTTACTGTTCATTTTTTATGTATTTTTGATGGAAAAAAAATTAAAATAAAATGATAATCTAGTATTCAAGAGGAAGTCTGACCTGATAATAAGTTGGTATAAATAAAAGCAGAAAAGAGAGATACAAATTAGTGAAAGTTTTAAATATCCAATTGAAAAATATGAAAGTTCTCAAATTGGCAACACTGTGACATGTCTTGCGAGCTCCTTCCCAATTTGCCTCGTACAGAACATTTCATAACATAATGTGTGATAATTGTGATTGATAATTTACCTAGGGGAAACTCTCAACTTCTTATTTCTGTTTATTTCTACCTATCCCTCATGTCTTCTCCTCTTTTTCTTTTTGCTATGTTCTGTTTATTCTCTCTTCCACTTTTTTCTTGAATTTATCTCTCTATTTTATTTCTCTTTCGTGTTCTTTATTCCTTACTTATCATCTCTCTTTTTCCTGTTTTTCTCTCTTTATCTTTTCATTTTGCTCATCCCTATCTCTCTCTTGCTGACTTTATTTCCTCACTCTCTTTTATTATATCTCCTTTTATTCTTCTCTATCCCCCACCTATCGTGTCTTTTTTTCTCTCTCACTTTTCTTTTTATCTTTTCATTTTGTCCCCTCCCCTTCTCACCCGTCTTCTGCTTATAACTCGTCTGATTTTGATTCTTCTCCATCCTTCTCTCTCTCTCTCCCTTTCTCTTTTTCTCTCTCTCTCCCTTTCTCTCTTCTTCTCCTTCTCCCTCTCCTTCTCCATTTCTCTCTCTCTCTCTCCCTTTCTCTCTCTTTTTCTCTCTCTCTCCCTTTTGCTCTTTGTCTCTCTCTCTCCCTTTCTCTCTTCTTCTTCTCCCTCTCCTTCTCCCTTTCTCTCTCTCTCTCTCTCTTTCTCTCTCTTTTTCTCTCTCTCCCTATTTTCTCTTTGTCTCTCTTCCTCTCTTCTTCTCTCTCTCTCTCTCTCTTCTTCTCTCTCTCCCTCCCTCTCTCTCCCCCCTCTCTCATTCTTCCTCTGCTTAACAAACACTTTCGCCTTTCCTTGATGCAGAAATCCCTTGGCCAGTCTTACTCTGAAGACTTCCAGCAGAGGTATGCTGTCAATGTCCTGGAGGTAGACCGACTCAATACAGATCTCAACAAATATCTTATGGGTGTTCAGAAATACTGCCAAGAGGTTCGTATTATTATTACAAATATTATTTTTATTATTGGTATTTCTTTATTAATTTTATTAATTTTATTAATTTTATAATTTATTATTATTGTTATTAGTATTATTGTTTATTATTATTATTATTAATAGTAGTAGTAGTAGTAGTAGTAGTAGTTGTAGTAGCAGTAGCTGTAGTAGTATTATTCATAGTATTCTTTGTTATTTATTAGTATTATTTATTTCTATTATTAGTTATTATTGTTATTATTATTACTTTTATAATCAACATCATCATCAGCATCATCATCATCATCATCAATGTTGTCGTCGTCGTTGTTATTATTATGATTATTATTCTTATTATTATTATTTTGGCAAAGACTGACTCGAGAGAACAGTGAAATGCAGAGAGTTAGATGGATGCTGGGAAGAGAAAAAGAACCTGAAGGTCTTCTTTTCCCATCCATGTGACTTTGACTAACTTATTCCCTACATTCATTCTTTGAAGTAGACAGACTGGGGGGTGTTTCACAAAGATCCTAAGTCAAACTTAACTCTAAGTTGGACTTAAAAATTATGGAGAGCCATTTGTACCCCTAAAATAAAATAAATTAAAAAGCGAACATTCAAGAATTGTAGACTTTTTATAAATTCCACATCAAGAACATGAAATCTCCTCGATAAAAGAAAATATGAATGATTTGAATCAACATTTTAATGGCTTTTAAAATAAATTTTACAAAATATTTTCATAGATGCTAATGGCTTTCCATAATTGTTAAGTCCAACTTAGAGATAAGTTCAACTTAGGATCTTTGTGAGACACCCCCCAGGGCCCCGTCTTATAAAGAGTTTATACTAGTCGCAACTATGTACATAAGAGAAAGGAGATGGCAAAGTTGCAATTGATTTAGATCAATCGCAATTCTTTATAAGACAGGGCCCTAAACCTATATCAGAAACAGTGGCATGAGGTATCCTGTACACTGTGGACTTTGACCAATGTGTTCCGTACATTGTATATTCATTACTTGATGAGGACCGACTGCTTTCGGACCTAAACAATATCTAATGGTCCAGGGCTCCGTCTTATAATTTTCCTTGTGATGAACTTAAAGGGATAGTTGAGTTCTGTTTTCAGACCGCAAATGCCTTCAAAGTGCATGGTTATTGCTCTTATTCTTATCTATGACATTTATAGTGCCCTTTTAGAACCTAAAACTGCTATAAAGGTAATTTTAGACCCCAAAATATCAGAAATTTAGCCAATACTATTATACCAATTCAGCTCCACTTTAAAAAAAAAACATGGTGACCGTTAATTAATTATTTGATTAAAAATAACAATACATGAGCCGGCTCATTGTGGGTAATATAAGCAACTCAAAAATGCCAACAAAAAAGCCAACATCGGCAATGGCTGAATTACGACATAAAAGGCGTCACCGGTATTTCGTTTTTTTTTCAACGTTTTTTTCAAATTTTTCAAAATATATAATATTTGTGGTGGTATACAAGTATTAGAAATCGTTATATTTCAGCTGTCTCTGAACCGATTTTGATCAAAGATGATTTTGTCATTTAAATATTATGTTCTTTCAAATTTGACACTCAGTTTTTCATTATCTCACATAAAAATTATTTTGTGTAGCGCCCTCTGCAACAGAACTAAACTATCCCTTTAAGTTATAATTGACCATATGTACTCATGTCTTCTTTATGTTTTGTATGTGTGTTAATGTACATATAATCATGCAATCTTTCCTCAGTCGATGTAATTCACTCTTTATTACAAACATGAACAGAAGTATAAGAACATTCTGTGAATGTATCGTACTGCAAAGCGTGTTCTTTAGCATTTGTGTGTGAGACGTGTGTGTGTCTGTGTGTAGATCAATAATTCTCTGTATACGCGATACAGTGCACTAACTTTCTCCTTCTCCAGTGTCAAGATTTCTTTGGTAAATTGCTGCTAGCCATGCGTGTCAAAGTGTTCATTGCTTTCTGGTTCATTCTTTAATGAGTCCACATAATAGTTTTGTTTTGTTATAATAATAACAACAATATTTAAAATAAAATAGCAACTTTTATAGCACCTTTTCCACTGTAATAGTTGTGTAAAGAAAGTATCAAGAACATTCTACAGACCTGATATTTTGTCAATGATTGAATTTATGTAAACTTTCCTATCTTGAAGTTCATGTGCATGGTCAACCTATAGAATATAGATCTCATACTAGTTGTGTAGTTTCTAGCCCTGTGATAATCTTTTGTGAATTCAGAGATGCCAACCCTCCCGATTTTATCGGGAGGCTCCCGATAATTCACCCCAACTCCCGACCTTACGATCACCATCCTTATCCTCCCGATTTATTAAAAAAAAAAAAAAAAAAAAAAATGATTTTTTTTTTTTTTTTTTTTTTTTTTTTTTTTTTTATTATGATTTTTTTTGGAGGGCGCTTATCAGTATATATATCTGTGAATTGAAAGAGAAATATCATCTGCTAACTTAAGCATGTAATAATTCCACTATGTTAAAAGACAAATTAAGAGTAGCGAAAGATTGTTTCAGCATATGGATCGCCGTAACCAATGCGTGGATATTGCCACAGAATCCAAATGGCGGAAAATCAGCAAAATAAGACCAGGAAATGGTCTCGGAAGTATAAGACCGAATACAGTATCAAGTACCTGTGTAATCGGAAGTCTGAAAGTAATTCATCATGCATTTTGTACAATTTTTATGTTATTTAAAAAAAAAGGGGGAATTATTTAACTAAATACACATGTAAAATGCTCCAAAATAAGGCTCAGATTGCACCAGAGAGCATCTAGAACCCCAGAGCTTCCAGGGCCCTAAGGCGGGCCCTGGACCCCGGCCGCATGTGTCGGGCGCTACGCGCTCGAGATGTGCGCTACGCGCACATTAATTGGTGTCGATTACAAATCCTCCCTATTTCTGATTTCCAAAAGTTGGCATCTCTGTGAATTAAGTATTTTTATTGGAAGATATACTTTTTGTACATTTGCAATAAATAAGCCCACAAAGTTACAAACCAATAGTAGCTTTGAAATTCTTGCTAATTATTCACGCATTCATGCATTGTGTAATATATATTAATTACATTAATAGGAAAGTGACTGCTTTTATCCAGCAATTTTTTATGCGACTTTCAAAATATTATAAATTTAATATCAAATGATGTATAAAACTTGAGGTTATAACATAAAAGCACACAATTTAAACAAAAAAGTTACCAAGAACATATCACAGTGAAGTACATGCCCAAAGCATGTGACTCAGTAATCATTGTTAACAACAACATAGCACTACTAATGTTCAGTGGATTGTGATGAGAATATTACCAACTTGTGAATGGAAGAGAGTTTTAATGTGGGGACATTGATGGATCAGCTAGATCATCCAGCAATGATGCAGAACAAAGATGAGTTTTGAGTATGGACAGCCTCTGACAAAGAAGGAGCTGAAGGCTGCGCTGAAGAGGAGCATTGTAAAGACAGCTATGGACCAGCTTGCTCCTCCCACCCTCACTACAAGGACCTGAAGAATATCAAGCAATGATGCAGAACAAAGATGAGTTTGGAGTGTGGACAGCCTCTGACATAGAAGGAGCTGAAGGCTGCGCTGAAGAGGAGCATTGTAAAGACAGCTATGGACCAGCTTGCTCCTCCCTCCCTCACTACAAGGACCTGAAGAACATCCAGCAATGATGCAGAACAAAGATGAGTTTGGTATGTGGACAGCTTCTGACAAAGAAGGAGCTGAAGGCTGCGCTGAAGAGGAGCATTGTGGGGACAGCAATGGACCAGCTTGCTCCTCCCTCCCTCACTACAAGGACCTGAAGAACATCCAGCAACGATGCAGAACAAAGATGAGTTTGGAGTGTGGACAGCCTCTGACAAAGAAGGAGCTGAAGGCTGCGCTGAAGAGGAGCATTGTAAAGACAGCAATGGACCAGCTTGCTCCTCCCTCCCTCACTACAAGGACCTGAAGAACATTAAGCAATGATGCAGAACAAAGATGAGTTTCTTTCCATAACTGGTCTTTATCTTTAATAAGGAAACAAAGAAAGTGGCCACTAAGACCAGTTAGAATGTTGTATTGATCTTGAAATACTGGAAAGTGAGAAGAAAGACTTATACATTTTAGGTGACTTTGATGTAAACTTCCTTAATTATAATATCTGTATAAAAAGAAGACCTTTTAGGTATAACATCTTTTGATTTATATCCTCCTTCAGTAACAAAGCCAACTTGCATTACTGAAAATAAGGCATCTCTGATGAATAACCTATTGTACAAACATCATTATGAAGGAAAATATTAAGTTTCAAGTTCAAGATTTATTTATCTTTCTTTCATAACACACATTACAAATATGACATGAATATAACAAGTGAACAGAATATGGCGTTACAATAGAAAGATGAGGTGACCTTGGTTGAAAGCAAGGCTTGTGGATTTAAGGTCCCTCATGAGTAGCTTATGAGTATGTCATAAAAGAACAAACTCGTCAGATAAGAATAATGCGTATATTTAAATGCTTACAAAGTAAACTAACTTAACAACTGAAAAAATATAAACATACATCAGTACAATAAAATATACTGACTACTAAATAATGGCTAGAAATAAGAGGAAACTGGAATATACTACAAGCAACAGGACTGAAACACAGACAAAAACTAAACAAGACAGACAGATAAATAGATGTGAGAAACGGGAGTAGAATTATGCTGACATATATAGCAAATAATTTTCTTAATAAATCTAGACGATATAGACTTGAATATAATCACTGGACGATACTACATTAGTATTGTATCGTAATGATAAAATCCTTAAGGAAAAGCTTTCATGCAGATCACAAAGGTAGGAAAATAAAAACCATACTATATGAGTCAGGTCGAATTTCAAGAAGAGATAAAACAGGAAACGATAGATTTTAGCAATGAAAAGAAATGATGTATATGTTCTTGGAGGAAAATATATTAGTTTGGGATGAAAAAAATCAACTGGATGATTATTGAAAGAGACGAATTAAAAATTAAATAGATATTTTTGGTGATGAGGTAATTTCATTTTGTCAAATGGGAAGATGATCATGAGAGACAATTGATAATAGTAAACACATTCATCCTTTTGTTTAGGTGTATATATTTTCTGTTGTTGACATGTCTCAAAACTCTCAGAAAGCCTTGTGATTGAAAATGTCATGTTTTTATATTATCTCATTGTTCATGTTGCAAATAACCAAGTGCTATAAATACTACAATACTCCTCTTTTAATTTTTATCTTATTTGATTTATTGTAATTACAATGTGAAGTGCTTTAAAAGAAAATATCGAAATGTGACTATTATTATTATTATTATTATTATTATTATTACGACAAACATAAAACAAAAAACATGATTTGAGCAAAATAATGTATATTATGTTGGTTTTTTTTACATGTAATTTGGCACCACTGCTTGTAAGAATTTCACTATTGGTTTCTATTTTTAAATTCTTAAATACCTGCTGTCGCAGTCGGATGACAATGTACAGGGAAAATGGGAAAGGATGAAAATCCTGCGAAAATATCCTCTAAATAATTCAATAATATTGTTGATCAAATTTCGCGCTTTGGACATTCTAATAGTAGTCCCTCCCCTTTCTTCCTCGGATCAATGGGCATTGTTTTCGTCGAAGCGACGCTATGTGAATGTACGGTTTCGTGTGTGTGTGTGTAGCGTTTACAACCAGTCTCTGACTTTTTATACAACAATTATATCCACGCAACTTTGATACAACGCGGATCTCAGGATTATTATATGAATGTTTGTTGAATGAACATGTCGACGTTTGGACAAATATTATGGAGTATGACTCTAGTTTTTATCCCGAGATAGCGAATGGTGATAACCGGACTATAAAGGACGAGAAGTTGTCGGGTTATGAGCCGACTATCGCACGCGTCGAGACCGCCATGGGACAGGCAACGAAACGCTCCGGGAGAAAGTCGCGCAAGAACTACGTGCCTGTGAAGATCGCTCGCATCGAATCCGAAGCGAGCATCGAAGAAAATGGCTATATATCAGACGAAAGTGACGATTATGACGTTAACGTGGTAAATACTGGAAAATATTTACGTTCTCCTACGGAAATATTCTGTTTTCTTTAATACAGGATGGATATTTCCAATGTAAAACTACAAAATTCACAGGCTTGATCTCATCGTCGTTGTGTGTACGTGTCCACTGGCATTGCATTGTTCGAAGTGCAGTGTTACTGAGTGTACGTTTACGTCGCAAAGGATTGGCATATTTTTCAAATCACGCAAACTTTTGCATAAAATAGAGTAAAATCATACATGAAAAGCCACAATTTCGTAGATTGTCGAACGTCTCGTATATTTCTGGCTACCTGATGTGTGTGTTGTGTATGTTCTAAAGAGTAAAGCAGTGTAAATATCTTTTTTTTATGGTGAAGATTCCCAAATTGTGATTGGATCTCCGACGTCAAGAAAAATTTGAATTTAATGTTTAAAAATTTCATGGTAAATTTGTCTTTTAAGAGTAGCACCTCATTTTTACTTCATGTTTTTTTACAACTGGATAATACTATGTTTCATGCAGTGGTACGAATGTGTAGTTCCCGTGAATCGCTCATTTTCACGCTGAACATGCTTTATGCAAATTGCCCTTTAAATTTCTAAAATGGCGAGGAAGCAGGGCGAGGCGAGTTTCCGTCCAACGTAATGTCGTAAGATTATGCGCGAATATGCAAATGAATTCTGGGTCCTCACACTCTCGCTCCGAACCATCCAATCACTCATTTCCATGTCAAAAATTGTGTCTGTTGTTGGTCATGTGATTTTGATATTGTCCAATGAGAATGAAATGGGTCCCTGGCTTGGCCGGGTGTTGACCAATCAGCGGTCGATGCATAATGAGCTACCTCTTTGCCACCTGCCTAGACGGGGGCCTGTCAGCCAACCACAGAGTAGCATGTCATTTTTTGCTGAGACCCATAGCCAATCATATTCGGCCATGCTCTTAATTTGTGTCTGATTCATGTGATAGACATTGCCTGCTTGGCTGACTATGCAATGTTTATCTTTTACGTGCCCTATATTTCTTTTTTTTATTCAATGTTATCAAAGGCAAATTGCCTGGCTGTGTGTGTGTGGGCGGTATTTGAATCTTCTGTCAAAAACAATGAGTCACTTGATTTCTACTGTCTATGTAGAAGACTAGAGGGCTTGTTTAGATTGGAAATTTCATGAAATATTATTTGATTAATATTACTTTGTTGTATTTTCTCTCCCACCTTTTGTAAACTAGTTCTTTATTTATTTGCTTTATCGGAGAGAAAAAAATTCCTTGAACATATTGCTTCAGAGTGTAAATATTAAATTTAAAAAACAATTATTACTAATTTGATTTGGTGAAAACTTCCATTATGTCTTAACTTCTTTGAATCTTTCTTCTTCGTCTTTGTTTATTTCTTCCTGTACTTTTTTGGTTACCTGTTGTTCTTCCTGAGACTTTAGTCTCATGTCCAGACCTTATGTGGTATATGAGTTTTTCAATTTTTCAATTTGCATTCAAAGCCTATGGAAAAAAAGGCCATTTAAAATTGATATATTAAAGAGAAGGTTGAGTTCTGGGAAAAGGTGAAAAATAATTTGTGAACTTCATTATTCTTATTATGCAAGTGTGGAAGAACATCAGATAAGACATGTTCCCTGAAAAGCATGGCTCTTCAAATACCTTCATATTCTAAATATGTCATGTAACATCATAAAACTCGGGGGGGGGGGGGGGTAGGTTTTTTATGCCACTTGTTCGTGTAGTCCCATATACATCTTTCTGTGTACAGTGTTTGTAACTTTACCAAGACTTGGCCAAATTTCTTATCATTTTGATGATTCCAGAACCTTGCAATTCACACAAATTCTTATATGCTAGATGATCAACCTTTTCTGGTCGGTCCCACACCATTTGTTTCACATTGCAATCACATGACCAGAACTCAACTTCATCTTTATGTGTCATACTGCTTTTTGACCTTATACCTTTATCAAAGCACCATAATACACCAGTTTACAGTTGTATCAGTGCGCATGCGCAGACAGTTGACCTCGGGTCATTGGCCCCGGAAGCGGGGCCAATAACCTTTGACCAGTGGTATTTATGCGTAAATTAAGATTGCGCCCATGCAAATGATGATTTGCGCGCACAACGCAGCGCGTAGGCAGTGATATCATCATAATTTGCATGGGCGCAATCTTAATTTACGCATAAATACATGACCTCTAGGTCATTGGCCTTGTTTAAAATGACGCACACAACTGTAAACTGGTGTATATAGGGTTCTTTCTGATCTATTATTCTTATTCTTAGACTCTCATTGTTTATCCAGATATTATGCTCAGAAGTTTGCGTATAAAAACCCTAGATTGGGAATTTTAGTACTGATAAAACTGATGTAAAACCTTTGGTGTATCCTATCGGGTTCAACTCACAGGTACTGCAATATGAGATCGTCCTGTTCGTTGTTTTATTGAAACTTTTTTTTTCGCACTATTTGTGTGTTGAGATTTAGTTGTTTTTTTCTATGTCATTACTTTTTATATAAACAGGCATCCCAAATCACATGTATTCTTTTAAAACGTTTTTCAGGGACATAGCCTCCTTTAATTCCAATTCATCGATTTCACATCTCTTTATAAAATACAATTTATGCAGAAATAAACAATTTAAAAACAACATTGTATAAATGATACAAATGAAAAAAAAATGTGTAGAATGATGAAGTGGATGTGATTGTGATGGAGTAGCAAAGGTCATTGACCTGACAATTCACTCCCCTTATTAACATTCATCACTGTCACAAATCAAATGTTACTGTACATGAATATAGGTAACAAATAAATAACTCCATAATGATTTCCATGGTGTTCATAAGTCATCTGTTTGTTAGTTTATTCATCTGTTTATTTTTTTTTTTATGTAACTGTATTTATTTAGATAATTAAGTAATTTGAATTATTCATCTACCTATGGTAGTTATTTTTGTCATCTAATCTATTATTACTTATTTATCTATATTTCTTTGATTATTATATTTGTCTATGTGTTCGGTTATTCAATCATTTTTGTATTTTTGTATTCATTAATGTCAGGGATCTAGTACGGTATTTATTAATGAATATAAATCTATACACAGCTTAACCTCACGCAATGAAGGAACATTTGACTCAAGAATATAAATGAAGAGTTAAGAATTTAATTTCAAACTAATATCAAACAAATCACTCAGAATTTCTGGTCCGTCTCACTGAAATTGATTTTAAAATAAAACTATTCAAAGTGAGACTTCATTTAAAATGTACATGGAATTGGAAATATGAATGGGAGATTTTGAACTAACAATGTATTACCGGATGTCCATCCTGATATCAAGTTGGTTTAAATAGAAACAAAAAATGAGAGAAACAGGTCAGTGAAAGTTCTGAACAAAAGCTGATTAAAAATAAGAAAGTTTTGAATTTTCGAAGGTGCGATTATTTATGTCGAAGAGGTGAACAAACACCATGGCACTGTCATCATCATCATCAATAGTGATCTGTCAGTTTATGACAGGATCCGTGACCCAACCAGAATTCTACATCGAGTGTCTCTCCAAGTACCTCGGTCTTGAGCCATCCGTTTCAGCATTTCATATCCTTTTGCTCACCATTCTGTGATGAAATCATGTAGAAAGCCTTTACAAGGTCTTCCCTTCATCTTCTTTCCATGTAGATGACCTTCTATGACTCTGATCATCAATCTATCATCATGCCGCATTATGTATCCATTATGGCACCATCATAACGATTATTATTATTATTATTATTTATATTATTATTTATATTTTTTTCCTCCATTTGCAGATAGCCCCAGAGCAGGGCTTACCCCCTCTCACCCAGCCCTCTGAGGAGAAGATGAGATGTGAGCAAGAGGCTACACAGATGGTCAACGATGCCAACCTTGTCTTGGGTGACCGGTCCATCAAGAGTCCACAACTCAATGACCTTATAGCTAGTCTTACATCACTCATGCTGCAGATTAAGGTCAGTGAAGATGATAGTGATGGTAATGATGATGATGATGATTACGGTTGTGGTGATGAAGATGATGATGTTGTTGATGATGGTGATGATGATGATGGTGGTGGTGGTGTTTGCGATGAGGTTGTTGATAGTGATAGTGATGTTGATAGTGATGGTGATGACGTTGTTGATAGTGATGATGGTGGTGTTTGCGATGACGTTGTTGATAGTGATGATGGTGGTGGCTATGACGTTGTTGATAGTGATAGTGATATTGATAGTGATGGTGATGATGGTGGTGATGGTGATGATGGTGGTGATGGTGATAATGGTGGTGATGGTGATGATGGTAGTGATGCTGGTGGGGATGACGATGTTGATAGTGATGGTGGTGATGGTGATAGTGATGTTGATGGTGGCGATGGTGATGATGACATTGATGGTGATAATGACGATGGTGGTGGTGATGATGATGGTGGTGATGACGATGGTGATGATGACGATGATGGTGGTGATGATGATGATGCTGGCCATTTCAAAGATGATGATAATATTAATGATGGATTTTGGTGGTGGTAATGATGATAATGGTATTGGTAATGATAATCATTGAAAGAAAAAAAAATAACCATCAATATCATGATGATCAATTATGTCATGACAACACCCAATTTGGAAGTGAAAGCAATATTAGCAATTATTCATATATCTCTTGTTTCCTTTCTTGCTTTCTTTGAATAGTCCTTAGCCAAAGGAGACATGAACTCTGTTGGATACAGTTCTCTCAACGAGTCCATTGCTGATCTAAAGAAGAAGATACACCCAAGCAATCACGAGTAAGTTCTTCATATTTCATGCTAACACGATATTATCTACTTTTGAAATATCAACCTAAGGCAATTATAACAGCCTGGTGCATCAACTGTTGAAATGTGAAAATATAACAATGATTTCATACATAATCTCAACATGATTTCTATGGGACATTACGACATAGTGTTGGAATTGTCCTTGAATTTTTTTTCGAAAATGGGATCGTGTTTAATGAAGCCCACTGTCTGTTTACTGGCCCCATTTCAATCTCCAAGAAATTTAAATTGAATGAGCTTTAGTATTGACACCAAGCCAAAATACAAAACAGGATGTGTGTAATTGGTGCGCTAATCTGATAATCCCTTACATAAATTTCTTTAGAGTTCTAATCTCCCTTTTGTCACCTTACACATTACCTTAGGAGAGTCAGAGAGAGTGAATGGACTCCAGGCTGCTATACTGTTTAGGATTGGTTATGCAATCAAACCTGCTTTAGTGACCACCTGTCTACAAAGGCAACATTTTTTGTTTCCCTTGAAAATGGTTTCTCATTGAAACATGTTCTAAAGGAACGTGTCTACAAAGGCCACTTTTGGATTTCCCTTGGGCGGTCGCCGCAGACAGATTTGACTGCATATTATTTAGAGGTGACAAGCTTCTCTTTCAGAATCGGCCTAAACTAAAAATTAATTTCTCTTAACATCTGGTGGTTTTTGTGGTGCTAGGTCTCATATAGATTAAAGTTATAAAAAACAGTACCAGTATATCTCTAATAATCTTCACCAAGGCTGATTTGAATATGTTTGATTGATTTTTGTTTTGTTTTTGTTTTTGTTCAGGTGCTTCGAGAACAATGTTGAAGTACACATTGCTCATATACAGAGTGGTATGAGCCAGATGGGGAATCTACACGCTTTCTCAGAGAGACACGTTCCATACTGAAGCATTAGACGCGGCATGAACTTATTCCAGAGAAGGGACCTTACACCATCCCAAGCAAGCTTCTTGTCTCACACTTCAGGGGGGTGTTTCACAAAACTTGTCATCAGTGACAAATGACAGATTTTGTTACACGCTACTGAAATCCTTGCTCCTGATTGGTTATCAGCAGATTTGTCACTGAATTTTGTCATGTGTCATTGAAAAAAGGCTTTGTGAAACGGGTCCCAGGAGTGGTCGAAATGTCAGAGTCAACCCACGCAAGGATTGATGCAGGGATAAAGTGTTCTCTTTGAAAGCAGCTACCTTTACACTGCAAGCAGAAACCATCAATTTTTCTCACATTCCTGTGTTTCGTCTGTAATTACATAGCAACTACAGTCAAACCTGCTTTAGTGACCACCTGTCTACAAAGACCACCTGTCTACAAAGGCCACCTGTCTACAAAGGCCACATTTGTTGTATCCCTTGTAAATGGTTTCTCATTGAAACATGTACTAAAGGAACCTGTCTACAAAGACCACCTGTCTACAAAGGCCACATTTTGTGTTTCCCTTGTAAATGGTTTCTCATTGAATCATGTACTAAAGGAACCTGTCTACAAAGACCACCTGTCTACAAAGGCCACATTTGTTGTATCCCTTGTAAATGGTTTCTCATTGAATCATATACTAAAGGAACCTGTCTACAAAGACCACATTTGTGTTTCCCTTGTAAATGGTTTCTCATTGAATCATACACTAAAGGAACCTGTCTACAAAGACCACCTGTCTACAAAGGCCACATTTTGTGTTTCCCTTGGCTGGTCACTAAAGACAGGTTTGACTGTACTAGCAAACACAACCTCTGGAGTGTTGTCTTGTTAAACGCCTGCTGAAATTATAATGGTTTTTGCGGTGTGAATGCCAGCTCTCAAAACTTCGGTACGATTCCGGTTTTCGGTCACCTAACTTTCCTAGCGTCTGAGGGATCGCATGAAGAGCAGCGACAAGTCACGTTTGTGCACTACTCACAAACAACATCAGAATGAGGAAACGCATACATTTTCTTATGGGTTTTTCCAGTAGTGCAACTGGCAGTCCATTAAAAAAAAAATCACCAACTTTTCAAAATTGTGTTTGGGCTGTGTGAATGGGTCTACTCTAGTGTAAGATTTTATGGTTGGATTAATACCCTGTATTTGTCGGCAAAGAATTCTCATTGGATAAGAAGGTTTTGCCTTTTCCCCTGCAAATAAAAAAGAAAGAGACAATGATTCGTACATGTCTCCATGTTCGGTTGTTTCAGGTTTTTATGATCAGCCAAGCTAAATATTTATTTTATTTATTCAATTATATTTTTGTTTTGACAGGGTAGCATTGCCAGTTACAAAGCTGCTTTTCACTTTGGCCCTGTTGGCCTGGACAATCATATGATGAAAAATTGAATCTCTAGACAAATTAATCGCTAAGTTCTATATCCATCTACCAAGATTGATTTGATTACAAAAGTAGCAACAAACTTGAGGATTTGATCATATCTTGAGGTTTTGTCATTGATATGTACATGTATATCAGCTATTAAATTGGATTATTCAGTGATAATTTAAAGGCATGTAATGAGTCTTTGATTCAGACAAAGACTGTTCCACCCTGTATGTCCCACGTATTGAAAAGTAGGATTTGCAGCATTTTAATACTCTGATTGTATTAATTTAGCCAACCATAATTCCTTTACTTGACGCGGAGAAGGCGCAGTTGATGCGTATAACACCAAGAGAGACCCATAAACACGTCCAACCAACCATTGATCCAATTGATACTACAGTCTTTATAGACTTGTAAGAAAGGTTATCCCATCTCAGCTGGGTCAAGTCTCTGATAATCATGCGTAGTTGGAGCAGAGACAGGTCACCAGTCCTAGCTGCATGGATGGAAACTGATGCCAGTGATAGAGACCATAAATATAGAGAAGGGTGTTCCATCATTTCTCAAACACAGTGAAGATACTGAGCAGGTGCTTAATATGTGATAGATGAGAACAAGAATTGGTAATCTACCAGTCTTAGTTATAGATCCATATACTTGACTGGTATAGTAATGTATTCCATTCAATTTTTGAAATTTTAATTGATATCCAATTATCCACATTGTACTCTGTTCATTATTGCATATTTGAAATAATACCTCTCTCTTTTTTGAGTTTTCTTGTTCGTTGAATAATCCAACTGTGTACATTTGTTCCTCTTTATCAAAGGAGAAATTGAATTTTAGGTGGAAAAGGAAATAATATAACGGGGGACAAGTAATAACATTAGACTTGCGGCACTTGCCCCATCCACAAAATATGTTGTATATAAGAGATTATATATTTATTATACAAATGATCATAGTAATGTTTTGTTTTTAATGATGTGGATTTTCTACGTTGATGGTCTACATGTATTTAGAATGGTATGGGATGTGATAGTGAAAGAGTGATTTGAAACGGGTTCAGACTGATTATAAATTATGATCGATGTGCATCATTAATGTTCCTTACAAATGCTAGGTGGAATGTGAGGTACATGTTATCAGAGACTCAAGATTATAAACTACATGAATTGTTTTTTCATGAAGATGATTTGCATTACCACAATGTATTGTTTGAAAGTAGCTTGTGATAAAAGGATCAGGGATATCGCCATATCATTTTATTTATTTTTTTAAATTTTATTTATTAATTTTTTTTTTTTTTTTTTTTTTTTGGGGGGGGGGGGAATCAACTCGACAAAACAATCAACAGTTTTCCTACTCTAAACAAAAGAGAGAGAGAGTTTATCACTGTTTGCAATACACACTGTATGAGTTTCAACGAGGCAATAGAAAGTCGAGTTTTCAGAATTTATTATCAGACATTTAGAAAAGGGGATTAAAGACTCCCGCCCTCTCCCTTCTGTTGCAGTGCTCCTTGGAAAAAATAACTTGATCCTATCCCATCGCATTAACTGATTGAGTTAATGTTAATTGAAACTGAAGATACTCTATTGGGAAGGTTGTGCTAAAAGTCTGTTTAACTTGATGCAAACTTTTTTTATTTTTGTTTTATAGATATCCAGCGACTGTCTGTTGTAGTTTTATAGCCTTTTTTTCTTTCTTTGCAATATGCAAAGCTCATATATCAAGTTGTGTGATGTATTGTACAATATGTATATATGCAATTGAGTTTTCTTACTAAATAAATCTACTATTGAAGGTAAAAATGTCCTGGTATGCGTCATTTATGTATGATTACCATTTGTGGGATAGATCTGTATGAGAGTAGATACTTTTTGCTATATGCATGTACAGGCTAATTCCTGCGCAACCTAATTTTCATACCCTTTACAAAAGTGAGCAGTGCCGCTCACCCAAGCATGAATTATTTTCGGACTTTTTGGTGTCGTATGAAGGTCGAGTTTTGGAGCTTTCCATACATTGAAAACTTTCCCCCAGAATCATATATTTGTTATTTGGCAGCCTTTTCAAAAGTTTGCGGTATAGTTTTTAGTTTTGTTTGTTTTTGTATATAGCAGTTTCTAGAGAGAGGATATATATTTTGCTACAGTGAACAACTAAATTATTCATACCCTACCAAGTTTTGCAATTTCTATGTATGTGAAAATTGATGTCTCCCGATTTACTTTTACTGAGCATGTGCCATGTTAAAGATAAAAGAGAGTTCTGGTCAACAACAAAAAAAAAGAAAATGAATTCTCACAGAATCAAACGAAACTTACACTGAATGTTAAAGATTACAAATAAATGTCATTTGCCAAACAATTTTGGTACAAAATGAATACTGGCTGAGTAATGAGCATAGAAAGATTAGAAAATCAAGGTTAGTAGCCCCGACACCATTTGTGTAGTTACAAATAGTACATCTTTCTGTGTACAGTGCTTGTTACTACCATACCAAGACAGGGCCACATTTATTATGAATTTCATGACTCCAGAACTTTGCAGTACACACTAATACTTACATGCTACATGATCAACTTTCTCTGATCCATTCCACACCTTTTCTTTCACAAAGCAATCTGATGACCAGAACTCACCTTTATCTTTAAAGTTTGCATCTAAACGTATTCAGCAAAGGCCCTAATTTAACCAGGAAACCTTTTATTCTTGAGTACCGAAAGACACAAAAAACATCACATTAATAAGGGGTAAGAATGATTTAGTTAACTGTATGGATATGTATGTATGTAGCAGTTTCTAGAGAGTGCGAAAGAGATGTCAATACTTCTTGTTAATACTCGTTTCCATACACATTAAATGAAAATCCAACCTTCACACACAACTACTCTAAAATAAAGCAGTAAATCAGAGAAGCGGACTGGTGAAAGCTTGAATGAAATTGGATAACAAAAATTATAAAATTGTGAATTTGTCAAAGTTGTAATCACGTTAGGCCTACAAACAAAAGATGTTGTATTGCCCTTTGCGACCGACCCCAAAATTTTGAAATCGACGGTCGGCTTTTTAAAAAGGTTTTTTTTTTTTTTTACCGTTTTTAGAAGAAAATTGAAAAATATCAGCCGAAAGAGGGAGTTTAAAAAAGAGAGAAGATTTCCACCTAAAGGGCAATACAACATCTTTTTTTTTTAGGCCTTACGTATGGACTCTTCTAATTGACTGAATCGGTAATGTCTAATGTCACTATAAGAGGAAGTGCCGGACTATATACCCATTTGTTGCAACACACCAAGTTATTAAAATGTCAGTTTCTAAAGATGTTTTGGGGAGGTTCTTTTCTTTTCATAGGATTAACTGACAATGTGCTATACGTACTAATATATTTTGATTAATACCCCAAGGGACAAGGCACTTTGGAGAAAAAGAGAAATTATTATTTATGTACACGACAAAAAAGAGAGTCGCTAATCCACTGACCAAATTGCCAATTTGAGATTCGCATGGATTTTATCTTATATTTCAAACATTCTTAAAGATAATACAAAGTTTTGGGAAATTGTGAAAATTGGCTGGATAGTGATTCTTTACAATTTTGATATATTTGGATGCCCATGTGGATGTATTATAAGCATTAGACAATTTAGCCCCTAATTAAACACTTCAGCTTTTGAGAAAAAATGAATATAAAGATTTCCCGGTGCTCCCGGTAAGGCGGTAAATTTTGATAAATTTCAAATAGCGCTTACGGCCATACAATGGTATAGCTGCGGCCATGAAAATCTCAGAATATGTAGTTGTGATATATAATTTCCAAACGGGAGTAGCCAATCAATCGATTTATGGTCAAGAAACATAGTTTTTTGGCTTGACCTTGAGAGGGAGTTATACAACATCAAGAGTTTATTATTTACAATTTCATGACTTTAGATTTGATTTTAACCGTGACAACGATCACTGAATATTGAATGATCGCATATGCTTTCAATATGTTCATTAATTTTGAACCAAATTCATAGACCCTTACCAAAACTTTGTATTAGGCCTACCTTTAAACTCGCTTATTCTTGACAAGGTTTATGTCAAACTTTCGCCATTGTTATTCTCTTATCTTTCTGCTATTGAATGTATTACAAGGTTTGTATTGTCGAACTAACAATCAAAAGAACTTTTTGTGAAATTGGGTTCAGGACAATTTTTATTCCCTCTTGTGTTTCATTCTTTTTTCTTCTTCTTTTATTTCTTCTTTTTCTTCCTTTTCTTCTTTTCTTTTTCGTCTACTTCTTCCTTTTCGTCTTCTTCTACTTCTTCCTTTTCGTCTTCTTCTACTTCTTCCTTTTCTTCTTCTTCTTTCTTTCTCCTTCTTTTTCTTCTTCGTCTTCTCCTTCTCTTTTCTCTACCCCCCCCCTCTCTCTCTGTCTCTCTCTCTCTCTCTCTCTCTCTTGTTTTATACAATCGTACAGTCCGAACCACTATTATAGTTTATTCGGACACCGAACCTGATTATAAGATCATTTAAATTTCTCCTCGTGTGTTTATTTCACTTTCTAGCTGTGGCAAGTTTGATGAGTGCATGAATCGTCAGTATACGATGCTTCGATCATGAATACCCGTCAACGAAAAGGGAAAAGATGCCAGCTGAAGAAATGGCTGACAATGAGAAGATTGAAAATCAATTCAAGATGACGAAACTATTAAACTTGTGGAAGCAATTGATTAAACTAATTAGTGATTGATTGATTGATAATACATCCATTCATTTAAAACATGGTTTAAAACAAAACCGTCAGTTCAGCTAATTGATGGGCTTAAAGGGGTCGTGTAACAACAAATTAAAGATGGGCGGGGTTATGTAACAACAAGTTAATCGAAACGAATATCAAATAAATGTCAAATATGGCAAATATCAGCAAAAAATCTACTCAGTAATGTTGTATAACCAAAAGTATTGAATAACAAAACACACACATCAATTTACATCTCACGAATACTCGTTTGAAGAATAGGAAAATAATGCGATCAAGGTTAAAATGGTAGAAAGGGGGCGGGGTATACTCAAATAAGTTGGATGGGGGTGTGCCGCTGAGCCTCGAAACCCCTACCCATTTATAAGGGTCATTTTGGGGGATCATGACATTTTGAAAAACTGAACCATTTTTAGGGATATTTTGAATTAAATTTGTTGTGAAAAAGTTAACCATTAGAGCGAGCGGCACCGCCCCGTACTTGTATTAATATGTGAGTACCCCCCCCCCCCCCCCTTCGCCCGCCCCCACCCCTCGATCCCTCGGGAAAATAGTTACTAGCTAGACTATATACTGCGGCAAAGAGACTTCACTGATGGGCTACTTTGCATTCTGGGGATGTTTAAAAGGGAAATTCATTCTGATATAAGTTGATTTTGATAAAAGCAGACAACGAGAAAAGCAAATTTTTAGTGGAAGTTTGAGCAAGTTCCGTTGAAAAATAAAAAAATGTATCAACTTTTGAAACACAATTCAAACACAAAAATCGCAACTATATATCTCACGTATTTTGTGAGCTACTCTCCAATTTCCTCCGGATAGAAATTATCTCTATTTTCTTATAGAGTTATTGATGACGGAAAGATTTGTTTCATGCAATGGTTGTAAAAAAATAATAAAAAATTGCAATAAATGATATCTAGGGTGAATGTACGATTGACATTCTTTTAAAGGGACATATTATATTTTGAAGATTTTTAGTATAGGCAGGGCAAATGGCAGGGGAGCTCTCAAAATACGTTATTTGTGTGCAATCAATCGCATCTTCATAAATTCATAACCTTCTTATCGGTTTCTGCTTTAACTGTCACCTACCAGCTGATCCTCTCATTTTCTGCTTCTATAAAAAAAAAATACAAGTAGGGGGGGGGGGGCGGGGGGATCGACTTTCCCTTATAAAATAAGTGATACATTTAAAGTTCGATGATGTCGATCACCTTTTATTTTACTGCATTACATATAATGAAACCTAACCGACGGCAGAAATAAAGAACATAAACACTAACACAAAACAAAGAAATAAATACACCAACCGTTACACAACAACACATCATGCACAAAAAAGGTGAACATTCCGCCTCCCATACATAGTAGCATCGCGACATAATGTAGGTGGCTTTCCATAGATCGTGTGACGTTGTTGATGTCGACACATCATTTTCGACATCTTGTTTTGCAAAAAAAGGATGTTTCTGTGAGCAGTGAGTATTTTTCCTTTCATCATTTCATGTCATTTGAAAGTTTATTATTTTTTGGTTTGAGAGAGCCATCCTTTTTAATCGAAAGATGATAAATGAGACCAGTCGGCCAACTTTTTTAAATCATAATGTTTAATCGCAGGTCACATCTGCGTCCGTCTCGAATCTAGTTGTACGGTACGGTACCAGCGCACTCTCGTCCTTTTTGCCCCCAGCCTAGCGGGGATGTACTCGCGCGACTACCCGTACTCTAGCCTTCCGGGTGGCGACATTTTAAAACATAAGCCATCGATCTTTGTACAAAGTCAATGGAAAATGCATCAAGAAAATTATTGTGGAACCATTTTTTTTGCATCGCCAACGCGCAGATCGGAAATAATAATCATCAGTGAAGATGCGGACGATCCATATTTTTTAGGAAGACGATTCTCATTTGTGAACGATCCTTATTCTCGAACCAGCACCCCTACCCTAGCCCTAGATCTACTGATTATGACAAGTTTTGATCTGGGTGTTCGTTAATGATAAGCCTCCCGATTTTCTGGTGATCTCTTTTATTTTAAGTAAACATAGTCTAGAGTAAAGGAGGGAGTTTTTGGCCGGTGGCAGTTTTCTGCCGGTCCGTTGGATGTTTAGGGAATTTAATCACCTAAATAAAAGAAATAGAAATAGATTTCTTTCCTACCTTGTCTCGTAGAAACACCTGTTGAGTACAGATACTTGGAACATATATTATATCACAAGTAGTAGTTCAAATATTGCACAGCACCCGTAGAAAGAATATGTAAGACCATGTACAAAGTAATGACGCTTCTTCGCGAATTAAGTAAAGAAGAAGAAACTTATAATCTCTATAAAGTAATAAGGCCTCAGAACCGAGTAGAGAAACAAGCGAAGAAATAGGACAAGAATTAAGATGAAGCTGAATTAGCTTTGCTGTTGATCGATCAACTCTCTAGAATAGGTGTGCTCTATATGAACAGCTCAGGAGAAGTGATGAAAATAGGTGTGGCAAATAAAGCAAGCAAGTGTAATGTCCCTGTACAGTATAAGCTATACCAGTACATTAGGTGGTTGCACATCCCAACCCATAGGGTATGGAATGTGCTTGCCAGAGTAAGTATTTGTGGCACTCTAGTAATGCAACAGATGTCACTAAAGAAATGAGTGACAATGGAATAAAAGGCTAGACTTCAAGCCACACAATAAAGACAAGACAATAATATTTACAAATGCAAAGTTCTCCAAAGGTCAAGTCACTACAGATGCATAGTAAAATCCCTTTAAAATACATTGCATATAGCATATGACATACTAAGGCTGTGCACAACAGTGTAATGAGGTACCCGAGTACACTCCCAGGATTACAAGCGAATACACGATTATTTGGACGCCATGTATTTTTATAATTTTTTTGAATTTTTTTGAATTTTTGATTTTTTTGTTTTTTTGTTTTTTGTTTTTTTTGTTTTTTGTTTTTTGTTTTGCCACCACCATACCAATGGATCAGTATCCTAGGTCTGTCGCCGAAAACGCATGCAATTTTACTTTGAGTTGCAGTTGAAGGCGCTGATTTAATAATAATAATAACAGTAAACAATGCTGTTTTAAAAACCAAAGATGGCAGAATAATCCATTTTCCTCCAAGTCCAAACAGAAATCTGGACATTTGGTTCCAGTTTCTGAGTGGTGAGTTTGACTGTGCTTGAGTTTGGGAACATTTTTACCGACAGTACCATGCCAGCAGCCGCCTCTCTCCCTGGCACGGGTAAGCGTCGGCCTGGACTGATCTTATTTTAATTTTTTTTTTTGCGGCCGAATATTCGGGTACGGGAAATCGTACCCGAGTAGTTGTCAACCGTGCAGGTACTCGAGCATTCGACTACCCGTCGCAGCCTTACGACATACCACACATACAATAATATGCCAGAGTCACTGGAGAACCACATTTGCAATGGAAAATGTATCCTTAAATATCACATTTTAGCGATGTAATCGGCGGTCCCGCTACCCGAATCTGAAAAATTGAATATTTTACGCGTGCATGTAAGGAATATGGGTACCATAAAATGAGCTGTATTTCAAGTATTTTTCAGATTTAGAGTCAGATTTTTTGAGTATCGCAAGCGCAAAAGATTCTCACCACATGTATCCTACCACTACTTATAGCGCAGTATCTCATTTTAGTTTAGATCCCAATTTCTGATCACTGTACCCGCAGGTGTAGTTTTCGGCGCACGAGTCTCATTTTTTTGTACTTAGCGAGCCTGTGCTATAGATCAGCGGGCGAACACACGCGCGCTCCCTATTAACTACGTACATTCATCCGTCCGAAAACTGCCACGCTAGGCCGAAAACTACCTCCGAAACAGTGAACATGAAAATGAATATTGTCATGGCTATTCATGATTTTTATTATTTTTTTTTGGGGGGGGGATTCTTTAAAAAAAAAAAATAATAGTATTGGCTTCATGATTTGAACAAGAAATGATGATAAATAGAATGATAATTTTGGTATGAAATCTCATTATTTGATAAATTATCGCATCAGATTCTGTGTGCGTGCATATCAGGAATATTTATGACTAGCGCACGACGTATTGGTTTCTCTGAGCCAATCAAATGCAGCGGTAGGATGGTTAGGTTAGCTTAAAATAAGACGCTTCCGGGTGGTGTCATATAATGATAAACCCCTTTCAAACCAAGCACTTCCCTAAGTACAGGCCACGTACCTCAACTCAACGGGGAAGACCTTTCTGTTAACTTTTCTACTTCTTGTCTTCTTCATCTTTGATTCCCCCACAGCATGCCTGTATGTATGTGTCTTACCTGAGGTAACCAGCCATCATGGACAGAACAAACAGAAAAGAACTTTTAGAAATGGCGGAGAAACAGAAAGAGGAGTTAGATCGGTACAAGGGCAGATTAAGAGGTAAAGCTTACATTATATTAAAATACTTTTAGCTTATAACTTGATAATTATTGGGACCATCAACATGCCAAGCCTCAATAGGCTCTCAATGATGGCCCTTTTATCTTTGTTACTTTATATGAATTAATTTAATGTACTGTATATTGTATTTTACCTTAAAATGCTTTATAGTTATACATATTTTAATATTTTGCATTTTTCATAAACTGAAGAATAAATAATGAATGAACTAAAAGAAACATATGTCAGGCTTACATAAAAAGCCATAAACTAGAACCTTGTTTGCTTTAAAGTTACCAATCACCTCAAAAATATTTGCTCTGTATTTTAGGGGTCCCTCATCGTATTCAAGATAGGCACTTCAGATATTACTTCTAGGAAGAGTTATTACAAGTTTATACACTCTCGATTAACCTAGAAGGGACTTGTGAATAGACTACTTGACCGCTTTTATGATCTTGGCAGCTTGCATGGGATACCGGTAGGGCCTGCACGTCTTAATCCACTGACATAATTACCAGCTGAGATACTTGCGTACTTATAGTGATTTTATATTTCAAACAGTCATTACTTTCTTTTTATTGATCTGATTTATTTCAAATTTTCCATTCTGTTTCTTTTATTTTTTCTGCTCTCATACAAATTACAAAGGTTGAATTGCATTCTGACTCTTGGGATAAAATAGTATGTGAAAGGTGTAATCACTATGATACAGTTTAATACTGTAAGAGTACTAAAATAAGTGCCAATAATGCATTGTATATTGAATGTTACAGCTTATTGCTAAGTAAACATGTATGAATTCCAATACATTTTGAAATGGGTCTATTGTATATCTTTTAATAATGTTTGATTTCTTGAAGACCTTGCTAAATAAGTGCCAATATCACATTGTATTGTATTAAGAATGTTAAAGCTTAACGCTCGGTAAACATAAATTTCATTACATTTTTTGTCTTGAAGACCTTGCTGTGGCATACCGGAGTCTTGTGAAGGAGAAAGAAGCTTTAGAAGCAAGTGTGAAAGCCTTGACCGCTCCTAATCAGACCAGAGATACCAATGCTTCCGCAGAGGCTCAAGATGGTGATACACAGGTACAGGACTGGTCAGCATTCATTAACTACTGCTTTTAATACACACGTACCGCTGGCTGGCTGGGCCAGATATGTCCAGCTCCTTTGTCTACATTCAAACTGTCCACATTTTATCTGATTTTGAACAGGTGTTGTCGTATATTTCAAGTTTTTACATCAATCAGAAAATATTAAAAAAATAAAATAATGTATCTAGATCCAGAATTGGGAGAAGGGGCATGGGTTTTGAATGTGGGTTGAGAAATCTTGACCTGCACCCCCCCCCCCCCCCCCCTCCTTCCCCATATTCAGGGTTTCTTTGCATGTTTGTTTAGGGGAATGTACATGTATATATTGGACGAGAAAATAAAAATCCCCTAAAATTCAACGCTTTTTCTGCCCTCCGGGCATCCCACCGGCCCTCCCGGGCTCAGGAAGGGCTGCTGTCTTTTTATTCATTTCTTGATCTCAATAGTATTTATATCCAACGCTGAATGAATATATAGCTCATACATTGCAATACTTAGTAGTAGTAGTATAGTAATAGTATTTATAGCAATAACTGTAGTAGTAGTAGTAGTAGTGGTGGTGGTGGTGGTGGTGGTGGTGGTGTTAGTTGTAGTAGTAATAATAGTAGTATTTTTAAATATCATCATTATCTTTGTCCCCCCCCCCCTTCAACAGGATGAAGGTGATGGTGTTGGAGAGGGAGATGGAGGGAACATAGCTCAGCTTCGTCAGCAGATCACTACCCTAACCCTATCCTTATCAACTGTCAGCGAACAGAAGTCAAAGATGGAGACAAACTTTCAAGATGACAAGAAGAAAATGAGGGTGAGAATATTTTAAAATAGATTCTACAAGCATGGGGTGGTATTCCAAAACAACGTAAACTTGAATATTTGTGAAAAGATGTCAATTGTCATAGCAAATCTAAATTTGGACAAGTCATCCGCTATTCTTTTCACAAAAAGAGAGACAGCTGCACAGGTATTGATAATAATAAAAATAATAATAATAACTATTTCTTATATGGCGCTTTTCAGGAGGGCCCTATCAAAGCACTTTACAGATATATATATTATTACCCCGGTCATCGGATTCAGGCTTACCCGCACACAATGTATGCACATTCTCCACTCCCTGGGGAGCATTCCAGCCAGGCGTCATTTTTACAAGCGCACACTTGCTAATCTAAGCACATTAGCTTTCGCATCCTACCGGGTACCCATTTAACACCTGGGTGGAGAGTGGCAAATGTAGATCAATGTCTTGCCGAAGGACATTAGTGCCGCGGTGGGACTTGAACTGCGGACCTTGTGATCCACAGTCTGGTGACATATCCTCTCGTCCACGACACCTCTACATAACTGGCAATCGCTGGGGTAATAATAATAGCAGGGCCCTCAGGAAGAACAGCATAGAAGCTGATGAGGCTACCCTGGGTAAACAATATTAGTAGTAGTATTATTGTAGAACAAGCACCTATTTTAGATTTGCAATGACAGTTGACATCTTTTCACCAATATTCATTATATAGTATTGATTCAAGTTAATATAGTACCAATTTACACCTGGTTGGAGAGTGTCAAACGTGGATTAACGTGCCAGGCTGAGATTCAAACCCTCAAACCTTGGATTGAGAGTCAAATGAATGAACCACTATACCACGCCACCTTCTGCGTAATTTCTATTCTTTCACAAGATTAAAAGATTTGAGGAATACAGTCGGAGTCCCATTGGAACCATAATTAGTATGATGACAATTGGACCAGGGCAAAAGCTGAAGAGCATTTCAAGCAAGAAATAGATTGAATTAAAAATGCTACATACGAAAGCAGTTCTGATTTATTAGAACTATTTTTGTAGACAAACTGTAAAAAGGATTGCTGGAAATGGCTAATGTTGAAAAGCACAACTCGCATTTGGAAAGCATGCTATATGGGTGCCTGTTGGTTAGGGCGAACTGCTAGGGTTTTGTTACTTTTGTTGCTTACCAAGATTTACTTTTTTGTTTTTTTCCATTTATGTATGGCAGATGTCAATCTATTTCTCTGTAATTACCAGATTTCTTTTTCCCCATTCTTTTTATAATCTTGTTTGTTGTAGCAAGAGCAAATGGATGCCCTTCAAAGAGTGAATGAAGAGAAAGACAATCTTCAGTCAGTAGGAGAACAACTCACACAGCAACTGGCAGAGGTAATTATAAACTGAAGAAAAAAAATGTTTTGTTTTCCTACTTACTGTATGTTTATATTGTAAACAGAAGTCACACTCTTTTAACAGTAACGTCCCACCCACGTATTGTTAGGCAACACCTAGGCATGGCTGGCATGTTGATGAATGTCACACCCAAGTCATAACAATAAAACTGACTACAGACCAAACAAAAAGTTTCATTATCCACAAAGACACAGGTAATGCCATACTATAATCACAATGCTTTGGCTTGTTTACAAAGCATTGAATGGTCATGCCCCAAATTATTTGTCTAAATTATTATCAGATCTATTAATTCACATCCATATGCAAGTAACTTACAAGTACACAGGACAAGCTGCTTCTAAAGCTACCTCACACAAAAACAAAAGTAAATCTTGGAGATTGGGCTTTCGCTCCAAAGCTTTTGAATAACCGACCACTAGACCTAAGAAAAGCCTCATCTGTTGCTGTCCTCAAAGTTTTGTCGAAGAAGCACTTGTTTTCAGGAGCTTTTGAATAGTGTTTAAATATTCTTATTGTGTGGTTCTAAAGTAGCACTGTTAGGAGTTTTGTTTTCATCACAGCGCAGTTGAGTATATTTATATAGTAGCTGCGCTATATGAATTGATCTAGTTAATGATAATGAAATTGCAGGAGGTGTGAAAGCTCAGTTGGTAGAGCAGTGATCTTGTAATCCGGTGACCCGGGTTCGAAACCAAGTCACTGCGTTAGTGCCCTTAGCATCATTACAAGGTCCCTTGGAGACGACTTGCAGCCGTCGGTCTTCAGGTTGCTTACTAACAAGCATTTATTGCTTTCTTAGCTGTCAGGTACAATAACCACCACTATCTAATGTACAAATCTAATTTTCAATTCTGTCCAATGCTTTTACAGACCAAAGCAAAGCTGCGAGTGCATCAGCAAGAGAGAGAATCAGATAATCTAAACAATGCTGCTATGATGAGAGAACTGCAGAACCTAGTCAGCAGAGAAAGGACAGAGAAAGAAAAACTAGAAAACAAGGTGAGATTATCTTAATAGTTGTAGTACAGTGAAACCTGTCTGTAAAGACCACACGAGGGAGACAATCAAAGTGGTCTCTATAGACAGGTGGTGTTTATGTTCAGGTTCCTTTAGTTCATGTTTCAACGAGAAACATTTTCATCAAGGTTATATAAAGACTACTCAATGGAGATAATCAAAGTGGTCTCTATAGACAGGTGGTCTATATGTACGGGTTTATTTAGTACAGGTTTCTATGAGAAACCATTTTCAAGGGAAACAAGCAAAGTGGTCTTCATAAGCAGGTGGTCTTTGTATACAGGTGGTCACTAAAGTAGGTTTGACTTTATATTAGAGATAAGAGTAGTACAGTGAAGCCTGCTTTAGCGACCACCTGTATACAAAGACCACCTCTATATTAAGACCACATTTGTCAATTTCCCTTGAAAATCTTTTCTCATAGAAACCTGTACTAAATGAACCCGTACTTAAAGACCACCTGCTTATGAAGACCACTTTGCTTGTCTCCCTTGAGTGGTCTTTATATACAGGGTTCACTGTAGTAGTAGTAGAAGAAGAAAATGAACGTATAGTAGCGACAAATACAGACATAATAAAGCTTTCTGTCTGGCACTCATCAGAGAAAATTGCAAGATTGAACAAAAGGCTGGACAATATGAATGTGCTGGTGTATCAGGGCGCGACAAACCCGCTTGCCCGACGTCCCGGGGCAACCAAATTGAGCCGTCGGGCAAGTAAATCAAATTATCACTTGCCCGATTCGGGCAAGTGATACTTTTACAGTAATTTCCTAGTGTCCAAGAACTCTACCATTCACCCGTCAACTTCTTACCCGTCGTCAAAATCCAGAAGCAAAAAAGCGATCGTTCCGATTTCAAAAAAACTTCACAGACAGCTAGCCAGCTCAGCTAGCTCAGCGCGCATGCAACAGTGACACTTCAAGCCATGAATGCCGCTCCGCCTCCACGCACGGCCGGCCGTGAGCTAGCTAGAGACAGCTAGCGCGATCGTACCAGCTGCGAGCTTATTCGCGCTCTCTCTCTCTAGCTCTGCAGGCCGCACCGACAGGCCTTTGCTATTCTCTGATTGCCGATTGGTTGAATCACGCCAAATATGACGTCATTATTCTAGGGAAATGAACACGTGCGAATCGGAATGGAATAAACAACAGGGATTTTCTAGTAAGTACAAAAAGTCAAATGTTTGATATTTATTCATAATGACTGTTAATGATTGTGAACATATTATTTAAAACTCGCTGCTCATATAAATCAGATGAATGTTTTTGTCTCGTTTTCAATTTATTACTGCGGTCTCAAGATCCGACCGAGCGAGTCATTTTGATAATAGTATCGAGACCCCCAGAATATAAGCCGTTGTTGTTTTGTTTTCATGGTTTTAGCGACGTTGTTTAGTCTAGTTTTCGCATACTTATCCGAGATTTATCGTAAAATATCTTCAATATTATTATTTAGTAAGAATTTACAAATTTTGGCATGATATTTATAGCAGTGAATGATGAAATAAAAATGTCCGTACTTTATTTAAAATAGTTGATTACCCATTATTTACATGACGTTTCTTGATGGAAGAGTTGACCCAAATTATTAACAGCTGAAAATTAGCCTACGTTTCCAAATGACAGCGGCTTGCACAGACACACATGTGATGTTGCACCATGGTACATGTGGCTACCATTAATGACATGTTTGTATCATATTTTTTACAACAGGGTCATTATGCTTTTTTACATGACTGAATATTAAAAACTTAAACCTGCTTGAACCATTCTACCTTGCCGAGATTCATGTGAATCTGATTATTTATGGAGAATCAATAAAATGCGTTTTTTAAACCTTCAACCTTCCTTTGTTGACCATTTTCTTTGACATATTAGGTTATTATTCAGTACAGTTACACTGTACATGTATGTGCATTAATTTGCCATCTAAAACACTAACTTATCATTACGAGATAATAAATGCTTTAACCTCGAGTCCTTTTTCGCTTTAAAGTTTTGGGCAAGTGGAAATATTGTTTGGGCAAGTAAATTGAAAACCCACTTGCCCGACAGGGCAAGTGGTGAAAAAAATTCTTGTAGCACCCTGTGTATTATAAAAGCAAACTGATATGCGGCTGATAATAGCAGACAATGAGCACAACTTACTGAAGAATCAAGAATGTGCTGAACATTACTGTTCTTCTTGGATCACAGTTTCTGCTGAGCGACAAACTTCACTCTTCTATGCATGCTGGAAACCGCTTATATTGAGCTCACTGACCCTATTCTGTCTCTGTCTGTCTGTCTGTCTTTCTGTCTCTCTCTCTCTCTCTCTCTCTCTCTCTCTCGAGTTCTTGGGGACTTGCTACAGCCTGTTTTCATGAAACAGCTGTTATTAAAGAGAAGGTTGAGTTCTGGGAAGAGGTGAAAATTAATTTGAGAGCATTATTATTGTTATTATGCAAGGGTAGAAGAACATCAGACAAAACATGTTCCCTCAAATGCCTTCATATTCTAAATATGGCATGTAACATCGTAAAAACCGGGACAGATTTTTACACCACATGTTCGTGTAGTCCCATATACATCCTTCTGTGTACAGTGCTTGTAACTTTACCAAGAATTAGCCAAATTTCTTATCATTTTAATGATTCTGGAACCTTGCCATCCACACACATACTTATATGCCAGATGATCAACCTTTGCTGATCGATTCCACACCGTTTTTTTCACAATGCAATCGCATGACAAGAACTCAACTTCATCTTTAAGTCTACTCTCTAGCAGCCAATCACAGTCTGTTTAATTTTTTTTACACGCTTTGATCCTTTAACTTCTGTTTGTATTGTTGAATTTTCGACTTTTTGTTAGATTCTTGCAATTTAATCTGATGAGGGCAAGAGAAAATCTTTAGTACGACTTTAGTATTCATTGCTATTCATTGTTATATTCCACATACTAAGAATCTTGCTCTACGATTGGTCAAAAGTAAATCACGTGATTGCTGGGAGAAGCAAAAAGATTGTTACACTGTATAGATAGGCTACTATCTACACAGTGCAACACACTTTTACTGAAGATAGAAGTCCTATCTACACAGTGCAACGCACTTCTCCCATGCGAATACGCTGCGTTTTACTCTCCTCTTTAAGCACTTTAGTGTTAGTATGCAAACTTTGGCCACGCGCAAACTATATGGTCACACCATCATACTGCATGCACTGTACGTATTACATAAAATAATATGTAATTTATTACTAATCTCTGTTTACATCTCTCATAAAAATTAAATATTGGTTTTTTTCTTCGATTTTATTTTCCACAGATCTTTGATTTAGAAGAAACAGTTATGCGCCTCAAGTCAGCTCCAGATAAGTAAGTTTTCCTATCTTTAGTTTAACCTAACCTGTCATAATGGGTACCTCTCTGATTAGACCATCTTTTCCTTCTACTAGGACTCTTCAAAGGGGATCTACAGCCCATCATGAAGATGAAATACAGATTATGGCGGTGTATCCCCCCCCCCCATAAAAAAGCGAGAAAAGGGAGAAAGATGAGAAATGAAGATGCCTGGACTACCTCCCGCTCCCAATATAAAGCCTTGCAAACTAGCATTTCATTTTATGAGTAAGACTGGTGCCCCCCCCCCATCTTTCCATCGCCGCCTCCTCCCCCCATTGGAGAGTTCGGGTTAAAGGGGCACGTTTCCCCCAATGTAGTTATCGGAACATGCCATCTGCGTAAGAGCCATATTCTGTTGGTGTCAATAGGCAGCTATAGCGCTGTCCGCCAGCGCGTACGTATTTTGAGCGCCCTCTGGATTGCTGGGCACATGCCCCTTTAAGGTTAACTCACTTGTAACCCACTTGATCCAGGATTATTCAGTCTTTAGACTGTTGTTCCTATTCATGGTTTCCTTTAATTGGGGTTGTCCTCATATTTATCTGGGTCATTTTTCCACCAGTTTTCAAGGTTAGGGTTAGGGTTAGGGTTTCCATTGCCCCGTCACTGCTGGAACTATCGCTTCATCACAGTGCAGAGCGGCAGTTACATATACATGTATGCAGTCAGATGGGGTTACTGCTATTTTTACCCTACATCATGAAAATAGTTGTTTTGTTTACAAGATCTCTGGTTGGATTTGCTAATGTCAGTGTAAAATGTCAGTGATTTTGCCTGTTTCTTGTTACTTACTAGAGATAGGATATTAAACATGTCTCCTATGACCTTTGACATTCTGCACTAGGCCAGTAGAGAATGAAGGTCACGTTAAGCGTCTCTCAAGAAGATAAGATATTAAACATGTCTCCTATGACCTTTGACATTCTGCACTAGGTCAGTAGAGAATGAAGGTCACATTAAGCGTCTCTCAAGAAGATAAGATATTAAACATGTCTCCTATGACCTTTGACATTCTGCACTAGGTCAGTAAGAGTATGGAGGTCACATTGAGCAGCTCTCAAGGAGATAAGATATTAAACATGTCTCCTGTGACCTTTGACATTCTGCACTAGGTCAGTAGAGAATGAAGGTCACATTAAGCGTCTCTCAAGAAGATAAGATATTAAACATGTCTCCTATGACCTTTGACATTCTGCACTAGGCCAGTAGAGAATGAAGGTCACGTTAAGCGTCTCTCAAGAAGATAAGATATTAAACATGTCTCCTATGACCTTTGACATTCTGCACTAGGTCAGTAGAGAATGAAGGTCACATTAAGCGTCTCTCAAGAAGATAAGATATTAAACATGTCTCCTATGACCTTTGACATTCTGCACTAGGTCAGTAAGAGTATGGAGGTCACATTGAGCAGCTCTCAAGGAGATAAGATATTAAACATGTCTCCTGTGACCTTTGACATTCTGCACTAGGTCAGTAGAGAATGAAGGTCACATTAAGCGTCTCTCTAGAAGATAAGATATTAAACATGTCTCCTATGACCTTTGACATTCTGCACTAGGTCAGTAAGAGTATGGAGGTCACATTGAGCAGCTCTCAAGGAGATAAGATATTAAACATGTCTACTATGACCTTTGACATTCTGCACTAGGTCAGTAGAGAATGAAGGTCACATTAAGCGTCTCTCAAGAAGATAAGATATTAAACATGTCTCCTATGACCTTTGACATTCTGCACTAGGTCAGTAGAGTATGGAGGTCACATTGAGCAGCTCTCAAGAAGATAAGATATTAAACATGTCTCCTATGACCTTTGACATTCTGCACTAGGTCAGTAGAGTATGAAGGTCACATTGAGCGGCTATCCAAGGAACTGGGCGTGGTCAGGAACCAGCTGTATGCGGCAGAAGAGGCGGCCAGGAGACCCCCTCCTCTACTCCTGCAGCTCCAGAAGGACATGGCGGAAATGAAGGTATGTAGATGTGGGCATTGCTCATTGGGGTACACACAGTATGATGTTGGATGCCAGAATTTTAGCCCATTGCCTATTGGAGCCGCTTGGCCCCTCATTAAAGCCTATGGAAATAGTTTCAGTTTCATTTTTCAGTTTTATTTTTCTTTCCAATAGAACAGTAATTTTGACAAGAAATCAGATACGGTATACAATTCAATATTAATTTTTACAATGCATTTTACATGGTTTAAATATATGAAATAGAAAGTATACATAAATATCCAGTATAATAGTTTTTAAAAAGCTTTTTTAAGATAAACCTGTGGAAATGGAGGGATCCACTAAAAAGCAGAGCTTGTAAAATGTGGATCCTTCAAAATAATGACAAACATACTTTTGATATCATGTAAATATATTTACTTGAAAAAAATTGTATAGAGAGGATTCATTAGTCAGTGGATTAGAAGAAAAATACATGTTCACTTTAAGGTTTCAATCCTTTCATTTGGAAATTATCTGTCCATGTTTATTTACTTTTCCCAGACATGACCTTTTTTCAGAAAGTGTGGCAAGTGTAATAAGGCCCTCTTCCTAAAAATTGTTATCAATGACAAATTTGCTCTCAGCCAAACAAATGCCATGATTTCAGTAGGTTATAACCATTATTGTAAGTTTTATGAAACGGTGCCTAAGCCCACTAATAATGATCATGTTACAGTCGAACCTGTCTATAGCGACCACCCAAGGGAAACACAAAAAGTGGTCTTTGAAGACAGGTGGTCTTTGTAGACAGGTTCCTTTAGTTCATGTTTCAATGAGAAACCATTCTCAAGGGAAACCAACAATGTGGTATTTGTAGACAGGTGGTCACTAGAGCAGGTTTGACTGTATTAATAATGAAGCCCTTGAAAATTTTCTGTGTTTTTAGGCTCAGCATCGAATGCAGATTGAGCTTGAGCAGCAGAAAGCGCGAGAGACGGAGGAGAGATTACAGAAGACGAGGGCTGCTGAGGAGCAGAGGGTAGCCGACTTGGAGTCCAAGCTCTCTGACCTCTCCGATACGGTTGGAACATACGACAGAGGCAGACAGCAAGATCAACATGCAATACAGTGAGTTCATGGGATTCTCTGTCTTCCTTATCTTTTTTCATGTATAAGGCATTCGTGATTAAACACCCCCCCCCCTTAAAAAAATAAAATAAAAATAAAATAATAATAATAATAATGCTTCAACTACATGTATTGGATCTCAAAGTTTATTTACAACTTTTAAATCTCTGTGCTTTATATCAGACATACTGAAATAAGATGATTTCAAAAGCAACATTTGCACACTTCCTGTACACTTTATTCATCATTCATTTTTTTTCTTCTTGTTCTTTCAACTTCAGGAGATTAAAAGAGCGCATCAGTCAGTTGGACCTGGAGAACACTGCTCTAGCGAGGGCAGCAAACAAGTCTACCGTGATGGCCATTAACGAAGAGGAGGATCTGGATAGCGAGGCGTCGGTAGCTGAGATCAAAGAGAGGATCATGAAGCTGAAAGGATTGTTCAAATTGGCCTGCCATAAAGCTGAGAAACCTGTTGATATAGACGGTATGTTCAGTTCAGTTCAGTTCAGTTCAGTTTATTGAATTCCATCTTTAAAAACATTTTTACAATGGTAAAACCATGCAATTCCATAAAAAATATAATACATAAATTGGGATAACATATATATGTACAATATATTAATAATTACAAAACAGAATAAGGCACAGCTGTAAAAAACAAAAACAAGAGAAGGTTCTGTCTGGACAGCTTCCAATCAAATTAAATTTAACAAAAATAAAGTAAGAAACAAGTAGCAAGTAAAGTTTCTGATAGTATCATTATATGATTACCTAACTTGTAGTCTAAGTTTCCATATCCCCTTAATTAAAGAAAAAATAATTTGCAGATGTTTTAAAGCCTGTTTGCACTAGTTTGGCCAGGTGGTTTTCTCATCAAATCGGCTCTCAATTAACATAAGAAAAAGGGGATCATGGGGAGTAACGGGTACCGCTTAGGCATTGTTTGCTATAAAGAGGGCGCAAGTAGCTACAAGTAGTGCAGTCCCGCTTTAAACATTGAAAATATCTAGAGTCAAGATGGTAACCCTTATCATAGTGGTTTCAAGCAGAAACTTGTTGGGGAGTTTATTATGTATATGCATTTGTTCCTGCGTCTTATGTTATTGATTCTTATTTCATGGCAACACGTTATCCTTTGCAGATGTTTTGATGATTGGAGTTGAGAGTGCATTCATTAACATAGTGCCTGCCAGCAGAAACTCATTGAAGGGCTTTGGGTGTACACCTACTTGTGTTTGTCTCAATATTGGTCAACTTATATCATACAGCATGTTTCTATTAGTTATACTGAATTTATCCAGAAAATAACGTATAATGCCAGGAAAGGGCAGTTTCTATCTATGCGTATTATCCGGATAAATATACTGCTCCGATTGAGTGGTTTAAAAGGGCGTGAATAAAGGCACTGCTAGGTCGACCTGGGATTTTAGTGTCGGGGTCTATGGTCTGGGTAAAACATTCCGATCATGTGATCGTTCTGATTTCCGGTTTCTCTCCGTTATGTGCACTCGATCGGAACGACGGGAGTTTCTACTTAATACGTTATCCGGTTGGCTTTCCCTGCATTATCCTTCTAAAAGAGGGATAATTTTACCTGAACGCGTCACAGCTCTCACGGCCATTATCCGGATAATAGCGGAGAAGGTCAGTTTCTATTAGGCAAAATTTATCCCTTATCGGCCATTAACCGGATAATGGCTTCTAATAGAAACATGCTGATAGTTATCACTTTATCCTTTGCAGATGTTTTAAACATTGACGATTATTCAAGTCGAGAAGGTGACCCTAACCACAGTGCTTGCCAGCAGGAGTTGAAGAGGCTTAAGGAGGAGTTTGAGTCTTACAAGACTAGGGCTTCTAATGTTCTCAAAAACAGAACAACAAGGGTGAGATTACTGTTGGTGTAATGCTGTTGTATTATTTTTTCTCTACTATCTTTGTCTCTGTGTGGCATCTTGTCTCATGTCTCCGCATCTCTGTATTCCATCTCTCACTCTTTCTTCTTCATAGTCTTCCTATCTTGCCATTTCTGTCCACTTTTCATCACCCTCTCCCTCTTTCTCATTTTCGTCTTTGCCCGCCTTCCTACCCCTTTTCTGTTATCCCCTCTCTTCTCTCCCTCTCTCCCTCCCTCTCTCTCTCTCTCTCTCTCTCTTTCTCTCCACCTCCCACTCTTACCGGTTATCTTTCACTCTCTCCTTGTGTCTTTACCATTTCTCATCTGCCCGTCTTCTTATCCCTTATATGTTTTTTCCTCTCCCTTTTCTCCCCCTTCTCTTGCTTCCTCCACTCCCCCTTCACTGATGCCCTCGCTATCTCTCTACCTCACTGATTCTCACTTTTGTCTCTCCACCTTTCTCATTCCTTATCTTTTACCCCCTCCGTATTCTCAAGCCCTATCTTGCTCTCTCTCTCTCTCTCTCTCTCGCTTTCTTTCTTTCTGTCTGTCTTTCTCTCTCTGTCTTTCCTTCTCTCTCTCTTTCTTTCTCTCTCTTTCTCTCTATCTTTCTTTCTCTCTTTCTCTCTCTCTCTCTTTCCCCTCTCTTTCTCTTGCTCCTGTATGATTCTTGTTCTATCTCCCCGGCTCTTTCCCCATCCCCCTCTGTCTTCCTATCCTTTGATCTCCTCCCCCCCCCCCTCTTTTTTTCCTCTCAATGATTGTCTCTCTTTCTTTTTCTCAGTTTCTGTCTCTCTGTGACTCCTCTCTCTGTCTCTGTCTCTCTCTCTCCCTCTCTCTCTGTCTCTCTCTCTTTCACTGATTCTCACTCTCTCTTCTCCCCTCAGGACACCACCCATAACAAGGAGTTAGAGCAGCTGCAGGGCCAGCTAGCTGACATGCGTGAGAGAGTCTCTATCTTGAGACAGCAGCTGGATGATGAAGAAGCAGCTCACAAACAATCCATTGAAGATTTCCAGCAGAGGGTCGCCAAGATGAAGGACAAACACAAGGTCACACTAGCTCAGGCAGAAAATGATTATAAGGTCAGCCATCAAAACATCAACAGAGTTATACCAACAACAACAACAATGATGATGATAATAATAATAATAATAATAATAATGTTAATGATAATGATAATGACAATGATAAGGATGATAATAATAATGATAATATTAATGATAATAATAATAATAATAGTAATAACTGTAAAAATTTCGAGAGCAGAAATCATCATAATCATACTACTTTTACTATTGCTACAACTACTACTACAACTACAGCAACTACTACTTTTAAAGGCTCGTTTCGCTATGGTGCAGTAAAGCAGTGGCAGGTTTTTTCACGAAGACGTATTGTGTGATACTCTTCATAATTCTATATCTTATAACCGAAAAAACAGGCGCGGTGTTTTTTTAGCTGCCCCATATCTGAACAAACCTTAAAAGTGAAAATAATTTTAAGCTGAAGAAAACGAAGGAGAAGAAGAAGTGATATATGTTTTACGGATGTTTAGTTAAAAGTCAAGTGAAACGCTAAAGGAAATCTCAGTTATATTTGCAAATAAAAAGTAAGAATTTGAAAAAATGAGTAGCTTTGACACTGGTAGTCACATAATGACCTCACAAATGATTTCTTGCATATTTCTCTTTGTCTCTGTCTGTCAGATTTAAAAACTGTAATTATTATGGTCTGACGATAAATTAGGTTCTGATGAAATGAGTATGTATCACAAGAAAATCAAGCAATTTCAAGAGTAAAATATGATGTACAAACAATTTATTTAAGAGCCATCGGCTCTATATAATTAAACATGCAAATAATTGACAAGAATAAAATGATTCAGCATCACTATGAACTTAGATAGGAGTATATCCTATCACTGTTTATGTCGACTTATCGTTACTCAATTATATCACAATATAATTCTCCATATTTCCAAAGGAAAAAAGATTACCTGATGACCAGGTCATCCTTCGAGGTATAATACAGTTAATCTCCCACCGACTCTAGCCCGGTCTTTATATAAAAAGTATACTGTTGTGGGTTAGAGAGTCCCGATTTAGAGTTCGTAAATACCACCTCTTCCTGTTTCTGAATAGGCGGAACGAAATGCTCTGGTGTATGTAGTAACCCGGTGCGATATGATGCATGACCTGCTAAGCCTGACCGGTGTACGACAGCACTGGGCGTTGACTCAACGACTTGACGCGAGTATATAGGTTGCCTGAGCTTGTCGACTACGAACACATGTCCATTCACTGATGGTGCCTAGGGTTATGGCTACGAGCCCAGCTTGTCCAGTTCAGATGTTCAAATGATGATTCAAGTTGAGGCGAGGGCTGATGAGGCTTCTACCACGTCGGCCTGTGCTGCCTGGTTCTTGCCTGGTCCCATAGTATAGGGAAAGTCTATGCCAGCAACAGCATGCTTATAGCCTGTGGCTGTAACTTTTACCTTCGTGGCCAACACCCCTCATTCACTCCCCAAAGTCAGACCAAATTCTGAAAGGTCTGCTCCTCTCGAGATCTCATGTGCAATCTCATTAAACTACCCTAAATCTCTAATCCACGTTGGCTCTCTCAATAGTAACCTCTTTAACATTCTTTGTATTCCTCTCATGCCAAAACTGTCCATCCAAATTCCTTTTACTGAATCCTCTATACACAACTTTCCTATTAACATTCTCCTCATCCTTTCCCCACACACAGACAAAGACAGACACCTGCTCTACTAGAGACCCAAGTTAGTTGACCTAGTAAATTGCTACCAACAACATCTATTCATCTAACACCTGTCCATTACATTCTCTGTCTAAAAAAGAAATCCCAGTCACATTGTGACATATCTCCCCTTCCTTCAAGAAATTTATATAATTTCAGAAAAAAAATTCAGAGTGGTTTTCTCATTCTATACGAGGAAAATTTCAGAGTGGTTTTCTCATTCTATACGAGGAAAATTTGTTTACAGGAAATATAAAGATCAATAATAATTATTAAAAAAAAACCTTCTGTTCCTGCTTTACTTGAAATCAACTACTGGTATCTGGTATCCTACTTAAGTAGTCTGCACCGACGTTTTCACTGCCCTTGATAGCTGTGATGCTAAACTGGTACGGTTGAAGTGCCAGAGCCCATCTCAGAATCCTTGAGTTCGCGACTTTTGATTTCGCGATACACTGCAGTGGCTGGTGATCAGTTTCTAGTTCAAAATGCTTGCCGTAGAGATATGGTTCGAACTTCTGAACACCCCAGACTACTGCTAAGCATTCACGTTCCATAACACAGTAGCGCTGCTCTCTTGGGAGAAGTTTCCAACTAGCGTAGGCGATAGGGAACTTCTTCCCTTCTGTCTCTTGTAGCAGAATTGCACCAAGACCATGATCTGAGGCATCAGTCCTCAGGATGAAAGGAAGATCTAAGTCCGGAAGATGGAGGATGGGTTCACTAGCAAGTTTCTTTTTCAAGGTAGTGAAAGCTGCCTCTTCCGCATCTCCCCATTTCACTAGAAGTGGCTCTCCTTTCTTTGTTCGGTCAGTCAGTGGTACTGCTAATGCTGCGAAGTTGGGAACAAACCGTCTGTAATAACCCACAAGACCTAGAAAGGATCGAAGTTGCTTCTTGGTCTTAGGTCTCGCAGCTCCTTGAACTGCATCGACTTTGTCTTGCACTGGTCGAAGCTCTCCTTGACCTATTCGATGACCAAGAAATTCGATACTTACACATCCTACAGTGCACTTGGTAGGCCTCGCTGTCAAGTTTGCTCTCCTCAGTCTCTCAAACACCTCACGGAGGGTATCTAAATGCTCCTCAAAACTTACTGTATGGATCAAAATATCATCAATGAAATTGTCTACACCATGCAAGCCACGGAGCAAAGCCCTCATGATACGACTAAAGCTTGCCGGAGCATTAACTAGCCCAAATGGCATGCTTCGAAATTGATACAAACCATCTGGTGTCACAAATGCTGTCAGTTCCTTGGCTTCCTCTGTTAAGGGTACTTGCCAATACCCTTTGGTTAGATCAATCTTTGTGAAATACTTGGCCCTAGAAAGTTTTGCAAATATTTCTTCCTGATCAGGTATCGGTTCTGCATCAGTTACGGTAACTTGATTTAACTTACGATAATCACAACAAAACCTGATCGTCCCATCTTTCTTCTTTACCATCACTACCGGGGATGCATAAGGAGAAGACGAGGATTCAACTATGCCAACATCTATCATCTTCTGAACCTCCTCCTTCACCTTACCTCGCAAAGCATGTGGTAATGGGTACAGTTTACTCTTAATGGGTTCCTTATGGACAAGTTTAATGTCATGCTTACCTAAGTTTGTCAATCCCGGCATATCAGTCAAAACTTCTTCATACTCCCGTAAAAGAGAGTTGACCTCCTCACGCTGCTTATCATCTAGATGTGGACTGATCTGCACATCTTTGAGAGATTCTGTTGGGGTAAGATTGGGGAGATGAAGAATATCCTTTCTCGAAGAATGGTTTACATCTTCATTCTCTCCTTCGCTACATTCCTCAGACAAGCCATCATCCACAACAGAGACACCAGCAACTTCAAACCCACCTGCACTCTCCTCTCTCCTGTAGTACTTCTTCAGAAGATTTGCATGGAAGGTTTTTATCTTTCCATCCTTATCAATTCTGTAGTCCATTTGTCCTATCTTCTTTACCACCTTGAAGGGTCCTTTCCAGTGCATCAACAGTTTGTTGGTGTCACTCGGAAGTAGAAGAAGGACTTCATCATCAACTTCAAACTTTCTCTCCTTTGCTTTCTTATTGTACTGTCTCCTGTACCTCTCTGCTGATTTGCTGAGATTCTGTTGGGCAACTTCACAAGTCAATTGCAGCCTGTCTTTCAGATCCAATACATACTGATATGTAGTCTTGGTATCCGGTTCATCAACCTCTCCAGTCCACAGCTCCCGTAGGATAGCAAGAGGGCCTCGAACTGCTCTCCCAAACAGGAGTTCAAAGGGTGAGAATCCCGTGCTCTCCTGCACTGACTCTCTGTAAGCAAACAAGAGGGGGTTCAAATACCTACCCCAGTCCTTGGGTCGTTCTTCACACATCTTGCGGAGCATAGACTTCAAGGTACCGTTGAAACGTTCAACCAACCCATTGCAAGCGGGATGATAGGGTGTAGTCGTCATCTGACGGATGGAGAATAGACGACTGACTTCCTTCATCAGCTCTGATGTGAATTGGCTGCCCCGGTCTGTCAACACCTCTCGTGGTATCCCCACCCTGGAGTATATGTCCATCAGTGCCTCTGCAACTGTCTGTGCATCAATCCTGCGAAGTGCTACAGCTTCTGGGTAACGTGTAGCATAGTCTACAACAGTAAGAATGTACCGATTACCTTTGCTAGTAGCAGGTTCTATCGGTCCAACCAGGTCCATCGCCACACGTCTAAAAGGTTCATCGATGAGAGGGGTTGATCCCAGAGGCACCTTCGTAACCTTCCCCTTAGGCGAAGTACGCTGACATGGTCCACATGACCGACAATACCGCACTATATCTGCATGCATACCTGGCCAGAAAAAGTGAGTCAAAATCTTATCACGGGTCTTTTTAGTTCCAAAATGACCACCAAGAATAGATTCGTGAGCAAGCTTCAAGACTTGATTCCTGAATTTAGTGGGTACCACAACTTGCACGAGTACATCTGACCCTGGGGTTGCATCAATATATTCTCTATAGAGTACATCCTTCTTAACGAGAAAGTAAGACGAATTTCCACTCTTACTTATCTTCTTTTCTCCACTTTCAGCGAGTTTCCTGGAAGCATCCAGTGCATTGTCCTCCTTCTGGGCCTGGATTAGATCATCCACAGACACAATGTCATTCAGTGAATCAGGTACTTGAAGGGGAGGCCTCGTACGTCCTGCCTTCCGCTTCTGTCCTCTTGTCTCTACTGCGTTGGCCTGATGATCTTTTGGCTTCCAGTCTTGGTCTGGGTCAGCTGGTTGCCGGGCTCCATAAATGTTCCCTAGTACAATATCATACACGGGTGTTAGCACACACAAAGCTTCTGCCTTACCTGTGAAGAAAGGAGTATCTAGCTCGATCGTTGCAACTTGGAAGGTTCTGATCGTCCGATCAATGAGCAAGCAAGTCCGCTGTTCTCCAGTGAACTGCTCTTCCGACACCAAGTCTTGCCGAACAATGGCAGTCGTACAACCGCTGTCACGTAGAACATCCACGAGCTTCCCGTTCACCATTCCCTTGCTGACTGGCATCTCCACTGGTGAACCACTCGCTGCTGCTGATAGTACCGGGAGGGTGTCGCCAGATGCTAGCTTCACTCCGGTTCCATCTTCGGTGAGGTTTTCTCTCACGATGAGACTCAAACCCTTCGAGTCATTCGGATGAGCTGTCTCTCTTGAGTCAGTAGGTCCTGCTGCAGCATCATGTCTGGCTGATGTATCATCTGCTGACCTGCCTTTGACGAGACTTGATCCCATCTCACGTCGACCTTTCTTTCCACTTGGGCAATTGAAAGAAAGATGTCCAAACTTATTACAAGTGTAACATTTCTTGTTCGAAAGATTAGAGTTGGTTGGATTCTCAGACCTACTTGATCTTTTATCACTACTTGAACTAGTAGAACTGTTTGGACTCTTAGTATTATTTGAACTGTTAGAACTGGACTGCTGGGCTTTCACCCTTCTTACCCTCATATCTGTATGAGCATCATGATATTGATCAGCTAGAGTTAATACTTCTGTAAGCTTTCCCGGATGACGTTCCTTAACGAACATCAGGCATTCCTTACTGCTTGTATTAAATATCTGTTCCTGGATGAGCAGGCTCTTCAGACCTTCAACATTGTCATCATAAGAGCTAAGATCAATCCATCGATCTAAGTATTTCTCAATTCTATGGGCATATTGAACATAGGTTTCCCCCTGATGGAGTTTAGCATACCTAAACTTAGTCCTATACCCTTCTTCCGTAAGATCATATCCTTTTAGAAGTGAGGATTTAACTATGTCATAATCCTTAACCTGGGAAACTGTAAGTCTTGAAATAATATCCAAAGCCTTACCCGACATCAAAGCACAAATTGCGAGTGCCCAATCCGACTTATCCCACCCTACAATGACGGCATGTCTCTCAAACCTAGACAAATAACTGTCAATATCATCCTTTCCTTCTTGGAAAACTGGAAGAGGAGGAATACTGGGCCTACTACGTGGGTGCCCCGACTGTGAACTAGGTCCTGTCCCATTAGTTTTCCTTAGTTCCTCTAGTCTAATCTGTTGAGCTATTACTTCAGTCTCAGCACTCCTTGCTGCCGCTCGTTCATCTCTAGCTTCACGCACACACTCATCAACATACGTTCTCAATTCCTTCCCCTCCAAATTAAACTCTTTCCCTTGTGTAATAAACTTATCTCTCTCCATACTGCAGGCCACACCAAGGTAAATTTACAAACCTGCCAAATGCAGACAATTTATGCAGCGCAAACGTCACCACGCCCTCAGCTCTGGCACAGGCACGTAGAGAAGCCTCCCTGCCCCGACCTGCACTTGCACCACTGTCCGAACAGTCTTTAACCTACAAACACTGTAAACTGGAGAGAAGATCAAGTTTTCATTATTACACAAAAACAATCACAAGACATTAACCAATGATAACAATCTAATCATTATAACCTAACCTATCAAATAGACAAAAATAGTCCCTTCGTGGTCGCCAATATGTCAGATTTAAAAACTGTAATTATTATGGTCTGACGATAAATTAGGTTCTGATGAAATGAGTATGTATCACAAGAAAATCAAGCAATTTCAAGAGTAAAATATGGTGTACAAACAATTTATTTAAGAGCCATCGGCTCTATATAATTAAACATGCAAATAATTGACAAGAATAAAATGATTCAGCATCACTATGAACTTAGATAGGAGTATATCCTATCACTGTTTATGTCGACTTATCGTTACTCAATTATATCACAATATAATTCTCCATATTTCCAAAGGAAAAAAGATTACCTGATGACCAGGTCATCCTTCGAGGTATAATACAGTTAATCTCCCACCGACTCTAGCCCGGTCTTTATATAAAAAGTATACTGTTGTGGGTTAGAGAGTCCCGATTTAGAGTTCGTAAATACCACCTCTTCCTGTTTCTGAATAGGCGGAACGAAATGCTCTGGTGTATGTAGTAACCCGGTGCGATATGATGCATGACCTGCTAAGCCTGACCGGTGTACGACAGCACTGGGCGTTGACTCAACGACTTGACGCGAGTATATAGGTTGCCTGAGCTTGTCGACTACGAACACATGTCCATTCACTGATGGTGCCTAGGGTTATGGCTACGAGCCCAGCTTGTCCAGTTCAGATGTTCAAATGATGATTCAAGTTGAGGCGAGGGCTGATGAGGCTTCTACCACGTCGGCCTGTGCTGCCTGGTTCTTGCCTGGTCCCATAGTATAGGGAAAGTCTATGCCAGCAACAGCATGCTTATAGCCTGTGGCTGTAACTTTTACCTTCGTGGCCAACACCCCTCATTCACTCCCCAAAGTCAGACCAAATTCTGAAAGGTCTGCTCCTCTCGAGATCTCATGTGCAATCTCATTAAACTACCCTAAATCTCTAATCCACGTTGGCTCTCTCAATAGTAACCTCTTTAACATTCTTTGTATTCCTCTCATGCCAAAACTGTCCATCCAAATTCCTTTTACTGAATCCTCTATACACAACTTTCCTATTAACATTCTCCTCATCCTTTCCCCACACACAGACAAAGACAGACACCTGCTCTACTAGAGACCCAAGTTAGTTGACCTAGTAAATCCAAGTTAGTTGACCTAGTAAATTGCTACCAACAACATCTATTCATCTAACACCTGTCCATTACATTCTCTGTCTAAAAAAGAAATCCCAGTCACATTGTGACACTGTCTCTCTCTTGCGTCTCTCTCTCTCTCTCTCTGCAGCTGAAGGCAGCAGACCTTGACCAGCAGGTCCAGAAGCAGCGTGAGCGGACTATAGCCCTTCTAGCTGATAAGGACCAGGTCGTTAATGATCTTAAGATCCAACTGAATCCATCACAGTCCTACCAACATGCACCTCCACATAACTCCAGGTGAGTCCATCCTTTCTTACACAGAAATGGGTATATGGGACTACTAGTGAATTTCTGTGTGCAGAAATGGGTATATGGGACTACTAGTGAATTTCTGTGTGCAGCATGTTGCAACTCAGTCTAGTGTGTTGTCAATTTCAATTTTCTGTGTCAACATGGTGCGTCAAGTTTATGATTGATGTCGTCATTAGTTGACAAGACATGATTGGTAAAATAAATGTGACAGAACAAGGTACAGCTGGTGCATTGAGGTGTTATGTCAACGAGGTTGTTATATATATATATATATATACATGTACATGTCATGTGGCGTGAAAGTTTGGACCAAACTTTGAAATGAAGTCTCGTATTTTGAACCTGAGAGCGCTCTTGCATGGAGATAAAGACGAGTACTGTTCATGTGATCACATTGTGAAAGAGAGAGAGAGAGGGAGTGGGAGAGGGGAGGGAGAGGGAGTGGGAGAGGGGAGGGAGAGGGAGTGGTAGAGGGGAGGGAGAGGGAGTGGGAGAGGGGAGGGAGAGGGAGTGGGAGAGGGGAGGGAGAGGGAGAGGGGAGGGAGAGGGAGTGGGAGAGGGGAGGGAGAGGGAGTGGGAGAGGGGAGGGAGAGGGAGTGGGAGAGGGGAGGGAGAGGGAGTGGTAGAGGGGAGGGAGAGGGAGTGGGAGGGGGGAGGGAGAGGGAGTGGGAGAGGGGAGGGAGAGGGAGAGGAGAGGGAGTGGGAGTGGGAGAGGGGAGGGAGAGGGAGAGGGGAGGGAGAGAAAACTGAGAGAAAGAGAGAACTAGGAAGAAGAGAAGAAGAAAAAAAACAGAACGAGGGAAGAGAGAAAGAAAGTGGTAATGTTTATTATATACAGTACCAAAAAACTGATGTAGCTGTGATTTGGAATGGTCCAATTTTAAAGAGCTAAAAGAACTTAAACTGAAAACTTGCTGAAAATCAAATGCATGGTTCATAGGAATGGCATGCATTTGGTCTAAGTTTTCCAACTCTTACTCATTGCATTTTGAATATGAGCGCCCCATTTCTTAAAGGTAAAGACCAGTTATGGTCATGCGATTGCATTGTGAAAGAAACGTTGTGGAATCGATCAGAAAAGGTTGATCATTTAGCATCTAGCATCTGCAAGGTTCTGGAATCATCAAAATGATAAGAAATTTGGCCCATTCTTCATAAAGTTACAAGCACTATACACAGAAAGATGTATATGGGACCCTATATCTCTCACAGACCATGAGAGAAACAAATTTACCAAATATATGAATTAGTAGGCGGTTTCCCGGCAAATTTTTTATCATCATGTGTTAGTCAAAACATATTCTTTCACATGATTGGTAATGAGAGCTTCCATTTCATTTTTTGAAATTGGGGCGTTTCCAATACTGGTCTTTACCCTTAAAGTTGAGTACAGGGCCTTGTCTTATAAAGAGTTGTGATTGATCCAAATCAATCGCAAGTCCTCCAGTCAATCGCAAGTTTGCAGTCCCCTATCTCTTATGTCCATAGCTGCGATTATTATCAATCGCAAGTCCTCCAGTCAATCGCAAGTTTGCAGTCCCCTATCTCTTATGTCCATAGCTGCGATTATTATCAATCGCAAGTCCTCCAATCAATCGCAAGTTTGCAGTCCCCTGTCTCTTATGTCCATAGCTGCGATTATTATCAATCGCAAGTCCTCCAATCAATCGCAAGTTTGCAGTCCCCTGTCTCTTATGTCCATAGCTGCAATTATTATCAATCGCAAGTCCTCCAATCAATCGCAAGTTTGCAGTCCCCTATCTCTTATGTCCATAGCTGCGATTATTATCAATTACAAATAAGTTGATATCAACTCTTTAGAAGACAGGGCCCTAGTCATGTGATTACATTGAAGAAAAAACCTCTGGGGGTGTTTCACAAAGATCCAAAGTTGATCTTGTCTCTAAGTTGGACTTAACAATCATGGAAAGCCGTTAGCATCAATGAAAATATTTTTTAAAGTTATTTTAAAAGGCATAAATGTTAAAATCAAATCATTCATATTGTCTATTATCAAAGAGATTTCATGTTCTTGATGTGGAATTTATAAAAAGTCTAAAATACTTGAATTTTTATTTTCTGGTTGTCCTTTCGTCCGTCCATCTGTACGTCCGTACGTCCCGTTCTCGTAATCGCGTTATCTCAAGAACCGAATGATGGATTACCGCCAAACTTGAATCATGCATGTATCTTGCAGAGCTAATGAAGTGATTAGATTTTGGGGTCACAAGGTCAAATGTCAAAGGTCACAGGGCTCATGATGTATGCAAACATTGCTTGTGATCGCGTTTATCGCTAGAACTGATTGATGGATTCCTGCCAAACTTGGTCATGTATGTATCTTGCAGAGCCAATGAACTGATTAGATTTTAGGGTCATCAGGTCAAAGGTCATGGGGCCCATTAAGGATGCCTATAAATAGCTTGTGAATGCATTATTAAAGATGCAGATGGATTACAATCAAACTTGAATTTTAAAAATTGCTTCTGTTTTGGTTTGTAAAATTGCTCTAAGGCGGAGGCATAATTTACGCCTGCACGCAGTCGAAGTTCCATTTAGTTGTTTTTGAATATATTTTATTTTAAGGCTACACATGGCTCTCCATAATATTTAAGTCCAACTTAGAGTTCACTTCGACTTATAATCTTTGTGAAACACCCCCCTGGTTGTCGGCAAGGAATGGTTATGTAATACAAAATAATTGATGTATGATGTGAGGTTTTGGAATCATCAAAATTTGTATTTGTATTTATTACTTCAACCATAAAATAATATCAAATGAAAACAAATATATCAATTTAAAATAGTAAATAAAATTATGGTTAGGAACACCAAAAAGCAAAATCCCAAAATAAAAAGATACAGTCTACAATACTCCATGTTAAATTTCTCTGCATGTTTCAAATTTCAGACGTCTTAGAAAATCCAAAAGCTAGTAAGTACTTAATATTTAAATCTCCTGATGCAGAAATGTCATTTTTTCTTGCCAATGTGCCTATTAATTTCTGCATAGTGAATTTTATTTTCTTCTGTGGTGTTTGTTTTAATGACATGTTAAAGTTTTATTGTAATTGTTATTTTTTCTCTGCAAATTTTTTTTACATTCCTTTCCATTGGTTTTCCAGTTGAGTCTGTTTAGTAAATTACTCCATTTAAAATGCTGAGAATACTGTAAAACCAAAAAATGTTGTATACCATTCAACTTTTCAATTCAGGAAAAATTTGTCAATTGTAAAATTTGCCAAGTTGGAATGTTAGGATTCATTGAATATCGTAACATATAACTTTTGAGATGTGGCCATGTCACAAAACTAGTGAAGGTTTCATGTACACAAACGTCTTTGGTTTTACAGTGTACCTGTGTATGCATCTTTCTTTCCAATTTCCTTTTTCATACAAGGATGCGTATTTGTAGAATGTTACATATTTTCATTTTATGTCTGCTTTTCTTCATCCTGTTCATTGTTCATGGTTATTTTTGAAATATTCATTGTACTGCTATTCTTTATACATGTACACATATCTTTCAATCCACAACATGAATGTGAAGTCATCAAGGTCCCTCTGTGACGTTAGAATAGCAAGGCACCTGGTTAAAGGCTTGTTTACATACCAGTACAACTTTGTAAACTGCCACTTTAAACTTCCACGGCAAGTGTAGATGAATGACAAGTTTGTTGATGAAAAGATGCATGTATTATGCATAAAGCCCCAGTCCCATATAAAGCCGGACCAGCACGGACGAGCACGGACCACTCCGGACCATCCCGGACCATGGTCTGGGGTGATCCGGGATGGTCCGGGATGTTTTGTTCAAAAAAAGTGTGATGCTTTTAAGCTACAGTCCCATATATGTCCCGGACCGTCCCGGACCATCCCGGACCCCATCCGGGGTGATCCGGGATTCGGTCCGTGTTGACACCGTGTTGGCACCGGGGTGGTCCTGGATGGTCCTGGATGGTCCTGGATGGTCCTGGATGGTCCTTGGCGGTCAATAACTCACTCCCGGACTGCCACGGATCAACACGGACCGCCCCGGCGCCACTACGGATGACCCCGGACCCAGCACGGTGGCTACACGGATCACCCCGGATCAAACTATTGTCCCGGACCGTCCCGGACCACCCCGGCAGTTTTTGACCGTCCCGGACCACCCCGGCAGTTTTTGACCGTCAAAAACATCCGGGGTCGACTCCCGGACCGCCCAGGACCATCCAGGACCATCCAGGACCACCCCGGTGCCAACACGGTGTCAACACGGACCGAATCCCGGATCACCCCGGATGGGGTCCGGGATGGTCCGGGACGGTCCGGGACGTATATGGGACTGTAGCTTTAGGTTCCTAGACATACTCGATGTGTGTTTATAAGATGCATGTATTATGCATTTAAGGTTCCTAGACATACTCACTTTGTGTTTATAAGGCGCATGTATTATGCATAAGGTTCCTAGACATACTCACTTTGTGTTTATAAGGCGCATGTATTATGCATAAGGTTCCTAGACATACTCACTTTGTGTTTATAAGGCGAAGAAATGTGAGGCAGACTACTCTTTTGTCATTTCATTTTGCTGTGGGTTTGTGTTATTGTTTAAGCCCCACTGCACTACTTAACCCTATTTAGCCCGGGGGGGGGGGGCTTGAGAAGCCCCCCCCCCCCTCAACATTTTTCGCGATAATTTTTTAACGCAAGAAAATCTTGCACTGAAATTTTGTGACTTTTTTCTTTTGAGTCTTGCGCATCTTTTGAAAGAAATTTTTCGAAAATCGGACCTACCATTACAAAGTCACGTGTCCTTTTGTCTTTGCATGTCAGCCCGAAAATCGCTCATTTTTGTGATTTGTGTACAAAACGTATGGAAATCTCATTTTTCAAATAAAGAGATAAAACATTGGTTATTTGGTCTTGTTTATAGTTTAGGGTATTTATTTTGGGGTCAAAATAGTTGAATTATAGTTAGAAATGAAATAAAACAACAAAAACAATAAAATACATAAGTTAAAAAAACAAGGAAATACATAAGAAATTATCAAAACAATAGATAACATAAGGAATAACCCTGGTTTTTAAAATGTTTGTGTTGTATTATTATTCCAAATGGTCTAACAAATATATGTAGTGAGAAAGAATGCCTAAATATGAATAATGTCTGATTTATGGGCAAAAATGTGAATTTGATGACCTTATTTGCATAAATTACCATAAATATGCAAATGAGTGAGTTTTTCAAAAAATTGAAATTACCATAGTATTCTATACACTTCACTTGACATGTATGCAAATTTTCGCGGCGATCGGTCGTTTCACGGCCGAGATCATAGGGGGGGGGGGGGGGCCTTAGAAGCCCCCCCCCCCCCCCCGAGCTATGCAGTTTCAAAATAGCCCGGGCTAAATAGGGTTAAAGCTACTTTCGCCCTCTATATAGCAAACAATGCCTAATCGGTGACCACTGGTCCCCCATGATCCCCTTTTTTATGTTAATTGAGAGCTGAATCGTTGAGATAACCACCTGTCAGTGACCACGCTGGGTGGTCTAATGCCTCCTGGCCAAACTAGTGCAGACGGTCTTTAAGGCAGTTGAAGGCTTAATAATTGTGGAAATGAAAGGTATGATGCCTCTACCTGTTCTCTCATATTTGTCTCAGAACACATTACAGTTCCAAGGTCACCTTGCATGGGCTTGTTAGGCATTAGTTTGACTCAAAGCAGTCAATATTTGCATTTATATGTACTTAAAGACCGTCAATACTACTGGGCTAGAAGGGATTAGACCACCCAGCCAGGTCACTGACAGGTGGCTATCTCATTAACTCAGCTCTCAACTAACATAAGAAAAAGAGAATCATGGTGACCAACAGGCACCGATTGGGGAAGTTTTCTATATAGAGGGAGCAAGTAGCTACAAGTAGGACAGTGGGGCTTTAATACGTACAGTGGAAACACAATAAAAAGAATCCAATATATCCAGATAACTGATACATGTATAACAATAAACTTTTGCCGGTCCCAGCTTGGTACATTCATATTGGTTTGTATTTCTCCCTGATATAACGAGATACCTCATGTAACAAGGTAATTTTCATGGTTCCATTTTCCTCATTATTGGGTAATAATTTCTGAAGCTCTTTGGAAGCGCATAGAGAATATATTGTGCGCTATACAAGAATGGACTATTATTATTATTACGATGAGTATCCACTATACGATGCCTAATTGCCTATATTCCTAGGACCATTAGTCAGTATTTTAGATGCATCATCGATATTGTCTATTATATCCTACATACTAAGAATCTTGCTCTACGATTGGTGAAAAGTAAATCACGTGAGGAAAGATAGTTCGCCCATTATTGATGGGAGAAGCAAAAAGTTCGTTACACTGTGTACTATCTACACAGTGCAACGCACTTTCTTTGAAGATAGAGGTACTATCTACAAAGGGCAACGCACTTTAACTGAAGATTATCCAAACGCGCACTAAAACAGGCGTAATTAAGCGCGCATTACCAATGAGCGCAATTAAAGAAAACACATGCGCGCGCACACCTTACCCTCAAGGGGTTGGGTTAAACTTAAACTTTTTTGATGTGAATTTGGGCCTAGGTGTCTTTTCTGTAGATGCATACACGTCCTTTTCTTTTTGTTATTAAATTGTTTTAGATGTGGAATATAAAGCAAATAATCACCTTTTGGTTTTCAGGCGATGGCAAACTATCACTTCCTCGTCGATCAGAATATAAACGCTATCTTTCCTCAGCTTCGCTTCGGAAAGATAGCTACATCCAGATCGCCTCGGAAGTGATAGTTTGTCCCATCACCTTCACCAACGGTAATTATTTGCTTAATACAAGTTCATTGTTCATACTTTCATTCATATTTCAGCTGTTTGTTTGTAAACTCTAAATTTCATCAACTCTTTTTTACATTTTCCTCTCATATTTTTATGGGGGCATTTTCTCTCCTCTTCTTCTTTTCTTGCGGCAATTTTTTTTTTGTGTGTAAAAGACCTTCTGAATCATTCATGACAGAACTTTTTCTGGATATGGCTGTGGTGATTTTGGAAATTAGTTTTAATAGTGAACAAGTAATTAATTGGGTCTGAAGTAATATGTGTGAACTTGTGAACTTGTGAACTTGTGGTCGAGTGGTTTAAGGCGCTTGACTTGGAGATGCGAAGGTCGAGGGTTCGAATCCCGACACGGCACTAATATCCTTTGGCAAGATATTAACCTGCACTTGCTACTCTCCACCCAGGTGTTAAATGGGTACCCGGTAGGATGCGACCGTCATTGTTGGTCAAACAGTTTTTGAGCGTCATGTAACGCCTGGCTGGAATGCTCCCCAGGGAGTGGAGATTGTGCACACATTGTGTGCGGGTAAGCACTGAATCCAATGACCGGGGTAATAATATAATATATTTGTAAAGCGCTTAGAGACATTTGTATTTAGCGCTATATAAATTAAATTTATTATTATTATTATATTATTATTAATTCTAGCATAACCAAGTGCTTGTTAGGAAGGGAGGGGGCTGTTATACTAACTGGAGGCATATGACCCATGTGCATTACTGAATACATGTACATCAAATACTCCTCTATACATTTAATTCATTGTTTTTATTGTGAATCTAGACATATATGTATTTCTGTTTCAGAAAAAAAGAAATCATTTTCATGTGATCCCCCCCCCCCACAAAAAGGCACAGACTCCAATCGGATACTTAACCACAGTTCCCTGCAGCCTTGAGTCAAGCCTATCTATGTTAGTCTTTGGCTGAGCAGCTTAAGTACAAAGCCTACGGCTTGCAGTAGACTGTGCAGTCAGCAGTGTAGTCTTACAGTGCAGACCCTGATTTGCACGGCGACTGACACAGGTCTGTGCCTACTAATGAGCACAGAATTGTGTATGAACTCGACCATGAGTTAGTCAGATGTTCACCTTATATATAGCCGTATTTGTAACATGATATCTATGCTTTGACCATTGCAGTGACCACTACAGTCCAGCTGATGATGTCCAGTCTGTAGCCAGTGAAGATTATGTCTCATCAGAAACAGAAGAAACCGTCTCACAACTCGTACATGCACCACACTCTCCAGTAAGTTGATATTGGGCGATTCTGTAAAAAAAAAAATTTTACTATTATTTTTGTCAAGACTTTTAATCAAACTAATGATTTAGAGCTGTTTGGGGGTAGTTCAGGAAGTGATATTTTAGATTAATTATTAAGTTATTTTCAAATTTATTGAAACAGGTTTGCTTCCTCAGTTAATAAACTGCTATCATTGAGGGTTCTGAATAAAGCCATACAACAATATATAAAAAAGCAATATATTGAAAATCTATGTAATTAAAAATAATGTATAACAGTATGAAAAATATATGCATCAAATTATACATCCATCTAGTTTATTTATATCTTTAGTCAATAGGCGGTGTCACACAGGCCAAAAATCCGGAATTTAGTTATCCTCTTAAGTGCTGTCTGTCATCAATTATCCCATTAAAAATCCTCTAACGAAGCAAGAAAATTCTCCCTTGAAAGGAATTTTCAAGGGATTGTTTAAGGGATTTTTCTGTGTGATACCGCCTATTGATTTGTATTTATTAATTCATTAATTTATTTATTTGTTGATTGTTATTCCAGGGTCAGACAGGGAGCTCCTTTCTGCACTTTGCGGAGGAGCAAGCCCGCAAGGAGGTGGAGCTGGCCGGTGTGAAGAGACAGAAGCAACAGGTGGAGACAGCACTGAGACAGCTCCAGGATAAACATGCAAACTCAGTGCAGAACTACCAGGAGGAGATGGAGAACCTCAGAGATGAAGTAGACCGATGGCAGAGAAACAGGTAAGCAGTCTACATGTGCATTGCATTTAAAGGGGAAGTCCACCCTGATATAAAGTTGGTTTCAGTAGAAGCAGAGAAATGAGAGGAACAGGTCAGTGAAAGCTTCAATTTCTTTGAGTGAAGTCGGAATAGATTTTTTTCCATAGGGGTTGAACAGAAACATTTTTGCAATAATTATATTAAGACTGCATGTATGATTAAAATTTTCTTGAGGGAAAATGAAAATGTCTCATTTTTTAGTACAGAGCTAAGGTAGAGATATGTCACAGAGTTGCCAATTTGTGTTTGATTGATACAAAAATTCATAACTGTCTTATTTTTAGCTAGACTTTGCTCAAACTTTCTTTTACCTGTTCCTATCTTTTTTTCTGCTTCTATTAAAACCAACTTAATATCAGAGTGGACTTCCTCTTTAATTTGCTTACTTGTTGAAAACTAATGTGTTTTGTTTCATTTCATTTCATCTATATATTCAATCACAGTAACTCTCTTTAGCCCAAAGGACAAAAAAAACAACAGTATCTATAGTATCTTCGAATCATCGGATCATCGTGTCCGGTCCGGTGGTCACGTTACAAGACTTTTCGTGAAATGAAAGCAGAAGATCATATGAAGATGCATGTTAAGGACCCAACCTCTTGTAGATTTGCTGTAGGGTTGTCACAAAGTGTTGGGTAAATTGGACCAGACCATTTGTAGATGAGGTGTATTTCATAAACATTACCCCCAAATTTTGTGGATAAAGGGGAATGTTTTTACAGAAGGTCTATAACCTGATGATTCAAAGTAAGCCGTATTTATACAGTAGGCTTGCGGGTGCACCATGTGGTTATCTTTCTTAACTTATAGTTCTAAGAAAGATATAACTATAAGCTAAGAAAGATAACCAACAGTCTTTTTCAAGACTACACAAACAGTCCTTTTCAGGACTACACACCCTCAAGAAAGATTACTGAGAGTCCTTTTTCAGGACTCCTCAATCCTCTCTCTCTCTCACATGGTGCACCCGCAAGCCTACTGTATATCTACATCACCATGCAAGCCAACACTTACAAGCAGCATCTAAGTTTCCTTTAGTACTTTCGTTGACAAACACCATTGAAGGGAAACATAATTTTTTTTTTTAACAGACATATGGTCTTTCTATACATGTGATCGCTAAAGCAGGTTTCCCTTTTATTTTTTTGTGTGTCTTCCTTCTTTCTTAGGTCGAGAGAAGGAACCAACTTGGAGTATCTAAAGAACGTAGTGCTGTCTTATTATCAGACTGACAGTTATTCAACAAAAAAACAGATGTTCAACGCCATTGCTGCTATTCTTCAGTTCACTAAGAAAGAGGTAAAATAATAAGGCTAGCGTCATATTCAAACAGTTGCCAGTAATTTATAGGTACAGGGTTCAAGCCTCAGATTGGCACTCATGTTCCTTTGCAATACCTCATTCCCATTTTGAATACGTTGTTGTAGTTTTATGGTTCGAATGTTTAACTTGAGATGCCAGAGTCGTTGTTTCAAGCCCTCTCATGTGGTAATGTCCTACAGGTAGCACTGCCCTCTCAGGTCAAGTAAGTGCGTACCTGATAGGATTTATTTCTTGAAGGTGTACTGTGCGATGATAACATGTAAAAGCTTGGCTGATGAAGTCTGCTTTGAATTTCCTTTTCCTGTATTATTTTATTTGATACAAATTGGTTTTGTAACCTCCTTAAAATCTTGTTTGTATTTTCTTCTGTTTTGACATCACATAATGTGTATTTGTGATTGTACACTCCACGTGTATGTAAATCAAAAGAGATTAATAATTTAATGAAAAAATATTTTAAAAATAAAATGAATACTTTCTAAAGATTAGTCTTTATTACAAAGATCATGTATTATTTTGTTTCTTCTTGCAGAAGGATGCTGTAACGAAGAAGCTTGGTGCTGCCTGGTGGGGAACTGGATGAAACCAGTTAACACTGCATTAAGCCAGCCACGTATGGATAGAACTGGTTTTTATTGACTAGTATTTTATGTAAAAATGGCTTGAACAGTAATTAATAACAGATATGGAGAAAAAAAAACTGTTTTATTGTGCCTTATGTATTTGAAATGGCCAAATTAATGAGGTGCTTAATTGGCCTACCAACATTTCTTTTAGAAATACCTACATTTTAGTATAGAAAAGCATATTGACTTGATACATAAATATACAAGTCTATGTCAATGCTCTGTGCAATATTCAGTGACCAAATTTGTCCCAAGGCCACTCTTTAATATCAACTAAATGGTTGAAGTGTCATATTTTAGTGGTTTAATACCTTGAAATACAAAGCTCTTGGATTCAAACACCAGCATGGCAATGATGTCCTTGAGCAAGGCATTTTATCTACATTGCTCCCCTCCACCCAGGTGTTAAGAGGGTTCCCGGTAGGATGCAAAGTCAGTATGATTGGATTAGCATGTGTTCCCCCAAACAAATGGGAATCCCTGGAATGCTCCCAAGGGAGTGGGGAGTGGGGAGTGTACACTGTAAAGTACATACCGGTAATCAAAATCATAAGACCCCCTTTCACGGTTACAAGAGTGCGCATGCACTGACATTGGCGCAATTTTAAATTACAAGTAAACAAAGATGTTTACCGGGTACTCGTAATTTAAGATGGCACCCATGTCATTATGATGTGAGCGCACAGCGCGGGCAATGACGCAACAATACATGCGCATTTGAAAATCTTGATGATGCATTGTTTACTCGCAAATTAAAATGGCGGCCTTAACCGTGAAAGGATGTATTGAATCCAGTTGCTGATGTAATAATACTTCTGAAAGCACTTTGGTCAGTTAATTGGAGAAGCGCGTTATAAGAAACACGCATTATTGTACTTTGGTCTTTGGTCTTTGAGGCCTATAGAAACCATGACATCATTGCATCTTACATTTTGTTTTATATTATGTCCAAATTATATTTTCGAAGGATTTTACAGTTGTAGTCACATGGTAATTGATGATCAATGTTAAATGATTGATAAAACAACTGGTAACCCTTATGTCAAACGTACTATATATATTGATGTATATGTTTGTAAATACAATGAAGAAGTGTAGCACAATACATGTAAGTATTGCAACATGCAGGATTCACATAATGCTGGCCAAGTTTTAATCTATTTATGATGGGGTCTCCAAACTTCACATATATATTTAATTATAGTTAATTTGGATTTATAATGGGGAGTTACATGTAGTACAAGTCTTCAAATGATGTTTAGCATTTTGCAAATTGAAATAGAGATATCATTCCAAAGGGTTATGGGAACAAATATATAGATTATATAAATCATATAAATCATCAATGTTATGAAATATTTTTAAAATGAGTTTCATGAATGCATTTGCAGGGACTGTCATTTCTAGATTTCAACTCTGTAGCCATTTCTATTGCCTTGTGACATCATGTATATCTTTATTATACCATTGCCATGTTTGCATATTTCAAAAGGAGTCAAAGCCATTTGAACTGTCTTCAGCTGATGTTTTGAAAACCCCTGGTTACATGTAGTTGTAATGATATGTGAATTTAGGGTGGTTGTTTTTCAATCACAGCACTGGGAATTTGTTTTTCCTTCTTTTTATAATTAACACTATGTCTGCCGGTAATCGCTTTTCTTCAAAATATCAGTGATTGTTTTTCTTACATTGTAATTGTTGTTTTTTTATCCTTAAACAGATTCCCTTTTCTGGGGGAGGCCTTTGCTGCCTCCTAAAACAATTATGATGCTTTTATTTGCCTGCTAAAATTATTTATTACGGTATGTTACACTAAAATAAAAGTAGCTGAAATTGCACACTGAGGTGGAGAATTTAAATTCTTTTCTTTGTAAAAAAAAAGAAATTGACATTTTTTGGATAAATTTTGACTGAAAAACTCATGTGACGCTAAAGTAAAGTTACACAATATTATTTTCTATTATGACGTAGCTTTTGTAATTGTTGAAGGTCTGTTTTCACCAATATCTGTCAGAAAAAAATCCATTATACCTGCAGTGTACATATATCCTCAATATCAAGTCTCATATGGCAAGAGACCATGAGACTGACAACCCACTTGACCGTGATGATCTCTGTCTTGCAAGCCTTCTGACACTTTTTTTTATGGTTCACGAGACTGACATTTCACAGCAGCGACAATGTCAGTCTTGTAGGCCTTCTTGACACTTTTCAGACCGACATTCTCCCATCTTCTCTTTGATTTGTCGATCCAGTGAACCCTCATAAAAATATCTGAACGCCTGCAAGACTTTTCTTTTTGGAAGTTTCTAATGTACTTGTGGTCTCTTGGGCTGTCAAAGACAGTGGTTTATTATTTTTAATGTAACTCTGTCTGTTATACCTCCTTGGTCAAATTTGTCAAATGCATTTTTTTGAAGTACATGTAGTACCTTAACCCTATTTTAACTGGGCTATTTCAGACCAGGTTTTTACTGGGGGGGGGGTCAATTTGACCCCCCCCTAAGATCTCGGCCGTTTCACCGCCGATCGCCGCGAAAATTTGCATGCATGTCAAGTGAAGTGTATAGAATACTATGGTAATTTCAAATTTTTGAAAAATTCACTCATTTGCATATTTATGGTAATTTATGCAAATAAGGTCATCAAATTCACATTTATGCCCATAAATCATAGATTATTCATGTTTACGTATTCTTTTTCACTACATATATTTATTAGACCATTTGGAATAATAATACAACACAAAAAATTGGAAGAGCCAGGTTATTCCTTATGTTATCTCTTGTTTTTATAATTTCTTATGTATTTCATTGTTTTTTTAACTTATGTATTTTATTGTTTTTGTTGTTTTATTTCATTTATAACTACAATTCAACTATTTTGACCCCAAAACAAACATCTAAACTTTAAACAAGACTGAATAACCAATGTTTTATCTATTTTTAGGAAAAATGACTTTTACATATGTTTTGTACACAAATCACGAAAATGAGCGATTTTCGGGCTGACATGCAAAGACAAAAGGTCACGTGACCTTGTAACCGTAGGTCCGATTTTCAAAAAAATCGTTTTAAAATATGCGTAAGACTCGAAAGTAAAAAGTCATAAAAGGAAAATTTTATATCTGCCGCGGTTTCGGAGTAGTCGCGAAATTTCTACAGGGGGGGGGTCAAATTGACCCCCCCCAGTTAACGTAGGGTTAAATGTTCATACAAAATTAATGTACACATCGCTTGTAGGTCTAAAGCAAGAACTTGTATATACGCATTCTGCTCCCTCCGTTATAGATTTGGCCTACTGAATTTCTTAATCTTTGACAAAGCTAAGTTTGACTTCCACAGAGTCCACAAACAAATCTACTACATTTGAAATTAAAAGTTATTTATATTTTGCGTTCAAGTATTCATGATGCAAGTTGTGTTTAATGATTTGGTTTTGGTCTGTTGTTGTTTTTTGTTGTAATGGTAATCAGTCATGAACTGACTATTATCACCAATGCCTTTCTTTTTAATATTAATTTCTTTCTTTCTCTTTTTTCTCGCTTTTTAAATGAGAGTATAAAAAAGAGAGTGTGTTAAGGTTGTTTGTGTCAAGTAGGGAAGTACGTGTTGTGGCGGAATAGACCGGTTTATTAACATATTTAAATTTATGGATTTTTCTTTCCTGGGGACCTACGGTCACGGGGGTATTCCATTAACCTAGCTGTTATTAATGAATGAATTACAATACTTCGAATCCAGTCTGCATACATTAATTGTTGCTATGTCAGGCAAGCATCTGGCAAGTTTTCAGGTTTTCAAGATAACCTTTGTTTAAAAATCATGCATAAAATTTAAATATGTGAGTAAACCGGTCTATTGGGGAAGGACATGATTATTTTCCACTGGGATAGAACACCCTGATCAGCATAAATGTTGATTGTCTTAGGAGGGGTCCACGATAAATGAAGAATGAATGGATGGCAGGGGGGGGGGGGGACAAGAAGGTTAGTGAGAAGCAGAAAGAGATACAGAGAGTACAGAGAAAGAAATAAGGGGGAAAGGTTTATTTTTTTTTGAAGAAGAAGTGGTTGATAGTTTTTTTTTAATTAGACACCACTCCCAAACTCTCAGACAAAAACAGAGTTAATTGAATAAAGTACAAAGGTAAAACAAATGTACACAATGACAAACACGCGTACACTAAATGGAGAAACAAATTAACAAATATAATAAGCTGACACCATCTAGTCTTTTAAGGACTCAGCTAGAAATTCTCCTCTCTTTAAAACTTTTAGTTGTGAAGATAATTAATTCCAGACCTATACATTCTAACACGGGAAGGAAGTACAATTATTTTCAAATTACGGCCCTCTCATTGGCTCACTCACAATTCCTCAATTCAACACAACGTCTTTGTGCTCAGTAAAATTTCTTGTTTGTTACAAAAATCATGTAAACTTGATAGTCAATATATGGGTCAAAGCTAGAATTTAATAATTCAATAAAATTGTTCTGATATCAGTGCACATTTAGATATGGAATTGGATTTCATATACACCGGCCATATCAATTGATTCTAACTAAAAAAAATGGGCTGAGTTTTTAATTGTCATTTTGGCTCAACAATTTGTTGATGGGGGTCGATCTGTCCACTATTTCCCCCTTTTTCCATTACAGACTGACCTAATCTTTGTTGATAAAGATTGGGGAAATTACCCCCGTTCAGTGCCCCCTTGGTCAATTTGGGCCGAAAAGTGGCTAAAATTAATTACAAGAATATCGTTAGTAGGGTCAGTAAAACTGACAACTTCGTAATCAGCGCAAAATTTTACCTCAGAAAAGCTATCTTAATCACCCCCATCAAAATTCTGATTAAAGCTCCTTATATATTTCCTATTAATAAAGGTAACAGTGACAAAACATTATCCCACAAATAGGCTATAATAATACAATTAGAGCAAGATGCTAAATTATTAAATTGTAATACTCGTACTTGTACTGCTTTAAATGTAGGCATTATTTACACAAGCTTAAAATATTGAGAGGAATATACAGGACTTGGTTTGTGTTTCCTTTACACTTTATACGACTAAATTAAAAAGAAAACCACCTTATAAATTTGTTTCCCTCGCTGGAATTTTTTTTCTTCTTTTTCTTCTTCTAATTTTGAATTTTCAAAGACACCATTTCGATGATGTATCGCGGAAGTGATATTTTTCAACAACAAAACAAAACAGAAACCAGAATTCTTAGAAGAGTCAAAACTCACAGGCTTGTTGTTCGTTGATACGTCCAGACTCAGACTAGGGATCCTGCACATATTTAAAGGTAATACTGGAAGTCTTTATCAATGGAATTTCGTAAAGGGAAAAGTAGAATTATGTCAAGGGGGGAGTCGAAGAAAGCGAGATCGCGAGACGCGACCTGTAGTATTTGTACGGTTATCGAAATTTGTCAGCGCCTGAACTGAAGCGAGGACACGCACACCACACCCATGGACGTGGACCAAGGCATCGGGCATTGCACTAATTTACAGCGCAGGCCATATGGACCCTTTCGTCCCTTTGTCTCTGTGTAAATTTCTAAATTTAGGGGCCTACTTGGTAATCAACATTATGATGGTAATCAGTCGATTTTGAACAGGCTAGAGTTCCATATGTACCCCCCACTAAAATTGAAGAAAAAATAAAAGGTAACGCGGCCGGCCTCCGGGAAGTTCTGATGCCGATGCCGATGCTGTTGGCGTCGGAGCTTCGGGTGGTGCATCGAAAAACATTTAAACAGCGGGTTGGGTGACATTATCTCAAAATATGGAAAGGGAGTAATTACAATTTTGACTTACTATTGCTCGACTCTTCTGGGCATCTATCCATCAACTTGAAATTATGATTTGAAGAAGTCTTCGATGGGGAAAAAGGGGGTGATTCTTCGTCCTACCCCAACGATTCTTCCATGTTGTATAGTTGATTCAACCGGCGAAGAGAAAGTACGCATACGCGGTAGTGCGTACTTTCTCTTCCCTTGTTTTGCATTGGCAGTGCGGCTTGCTGATCGGTAAACCCTACACCAACAGAGTGCAGAAGAAAAAATATGAACGATCCTTACATTTTAGGACGTGATTTGTTTGCATCCTTTGTGTCATAATCATATGAAAGAGCAGCTGTTTCTCCATACATGTATGCCCCAAAATGATGCATCTCGGAACTCTAAAAATATCTTGATCAAAACGGTGATTCAAACATTGGTTCCATCGTAGCTCTGAGATTTCCCACTTTTGAGAAATGACCCCCTGAGGGAAAAGTAGTTCGAGTAGTAAGGAATATATCTACGCTCTCATTTTTCTGCTAGCCCCAAGGGATCAAATACAGAGTTACAGTTTGAAAATACCCTCCCCCCCCCCCCCTTCTCGCTTTTTGAATCAGCAAAGTGGGAAGGCTTGACTCTGCCAAGGTCCAGTCGTCGCCCCAACTGCCTCCTAGCGATGGGACGTAGATAGTAGAAATAAATATCAACTAAATTATTAATACACCTATTAAATTGTTATACCAGTATTTTTTTTGGTAAGTCAAGAATTGTTGAATGAGGGCCTTTAATATGTCACATTCTCAAGAAACATTGATTAGGACTAATCAATTTTTTACATACTTAAAAAAAACAGCGCTACTGCAGTTCCGTATCCATTTTTTTAGCAGTTTCATATCCATTCTTAGCAAAGGAATTTTAGCCCAATTTTTTACTAATTTTAATCATAATCATATATTGCATTTTCCACCTGAATTTGGATCACATCCAACATCGGGAAGCCTCCGTTTGGGGCTTCGATGTCGACGTCGTCGCTCAGTACCGTGTCCGCGCTACCGCTTTGCAACTCAAACTGAAGCTATCAGTCTAAAATTATGCAAGCTTCTCGTATAGTTTATGGTATCGTGCATGTGCATAATACCATAAAGCATACGTGAAGTTTGCATAATTTTAGACTGATAGCTTAATCAGTTTGAGGTGCAGAGCTATAGCGCGGACACGGTACTGAGCGACGACGTCGACATCGAAGCCCTAAACGGAGGCTTCCCGATGTCGGATGTGATCCAATTTCAGGTGGAAAATACAATATATGATTATGATTAAAATTAGTTAAAAATTGGGCTAAAATTCCTTTGCTAAGAATCGATATTAAACTGCTAAAAAAAAACTGCTAAAATAATGGATACGGAACTGCAGTAGCGCCAAAAAAACTACTTAACTTGGTAAAGTATGAATAATTCAGTTGTTAACTATAGATAGATGGATAGATAATGTTACCATGAAAAGACTACATGGGCAGCACAAATTTTTTGAATTTTGAATCATTATTTTAACTGCATGCTGAACAAAACCTTTCATATTTTTCCTTCCACTTCCAGAACCAGATATGGGGGACCCAAATATGGCACCCATGACAGAGCTGGCTCGACTGAACTTACGACGTCATCGTCAGTCACTCATTGATGACCTCGATGTCGAGTTCATCTCTGATCATCTTATAGAAGAATTTGTTCTTGAGTTGGACGATGTAGAGCTGATAATGTCAAAGGTCAGTTCAGTGTTCAGTGTTGCCTATTTTCAAAATATATTTTCCCCTATTTTCTTTGATTGTTTGGTTACTCAACATTATTATTGTCTGTTTATTTGCTACCATAGACCAAATTTTCTGTCTCTTTCGTTCGTTAGCCTCTTATTGGGGTAGGGTCGGCCGGCTCTCTCTTTAGAGACGGAAACCGTTTATACACATTCCCTTGATAACGCCACGGCCATTTCAGGTCGTATTGTTATGCCCCCAAAATCCCCCAAAATGTAATTTTACCTCGTGCATGTATCCAATTGTAAATTAGGCCTAGGCTATAATACATCGGTTCCACTTACTAACTTGACTGAAATAATCCGTTTAATGGTCCCTTATTATGGGTCAAAATCGACATCCATGTTGAAAATCTTGCAAACCGTGTTAAACTCTCGCTGCGCATGGAGTCATCTAAATCAATCTCATCCCTTCTAGTCTACGCCGAAGGCAAAATGATAATGAAGGAAAAACTGTGATAACACCATTACGAACGTGTAGATGGCGCACAGTTTTTAACATCTCGTACATGGATGAATGTGAATGCATTTATTTAATAATGTATATTGCACTTTTTTAATGAATGCATTATGTTATAAACCCAGCTATTAAACCTTAGATATTAAAGTTTGTTTGTCACACATAAATCTCCAGTAAGTAGGTTATAATTCTTTATTAAAGGGGAAGTATATGAAGTCGGTTTTAAAGGGATTGGTGTTTTTATCAGATTCCCGAAACAAAATCCTGGATGATGATAGTTATAAACCTTTAGGCCAGTCAGGAACCCCATGACTTTTACAAGCCGATCGCCTGTCTGATTATCAAGATATTCATCAGGGCTTAAATTAATCCAAGGCCACCAAGGCCATGGCCGTGGATGCCCTTTTGATTGGCCTCAATGCTCCTCTCATTGGCCTTGGAGAGATTGGAAATCAAAATAAGACTTTGCCTTTTCCTAACAGTTTTCATAACACTACAGACTATTGGGGAAAACGAGTATGGTATAACCTGTCACTTAAAGATTTTTACTTTTTTGGGGCACTTCTTGATCATTTTGAAGTCAATTTTTTTAGAGCATCAATATTACACCATATCACAGACACTGGTAACACATAGGGCCGTACATCTCAGATTTAACATTGTTAAACGATGCCTTTTAAGCAGAAAATTAGAGAAGCGGGTCATTTAGAAAAGAATATAAATTACTATTTTCTCAAAAGAAAATATTAAGTCATGCATGTTTCTACAACCTCTCTTGCAACTAAGAAAATAAAATTTCTGAAATGTTCTGTTTACACAACAGAGCAAATTAAAGAGGATCTGGGGGTGTTTCACAAAGATCCTAAGTTGAAATTAACTCTAAGTTGGACTTAAAAGTTATGGAGAGCCATTCGTAGGCTTAAAATAAAATAAATTAAAAAGCGAAAATTCAAGTATTTTAGATTGTTCATAAATTCCACATCAAGAACATAAAATCTCCTTGATAATAGAAAATATGAATGATTTGAATCAACGTTTTATGCCTTTTAAAATAACTTTTGCTAAATATTTTCAAAGATGCTAATGGCTTTCCATAATTTTTAAGTCCAACTTAGAGTTAAGTTCTACTTAGGATCTTTGTGAAACACCCCCTGGAAAGATACATCATAGAGTTGCCTATCTGTGTTTCATCAATTACAACTTTCTCTGATTTTTCTGCTTTACTTATCAAAAACCAAACAATGCCAGCATGGAATTTCCCTTCAACCCACAGCAATTCAAAGTTTTCTAAAGGTTTTAATTTATCAGCTTTTGCTCCTGAAATCGGCACCAATAATTTGTATTTTCCACACTTTCATAGTTTAAAAAAACATGTACCGGTATATCAAATGAACCATTATATGAAAATTACAAGAAAACCAAAAAGAAATTACCTATTTGTTCACAAAAATAGTGATTCATAATTGCACTCCAATTAAATTGTTCTTGTTCATATGAATGACACAATGTACTGCAACAAAAATGGACTCAATTTTTCTTTGATTTTTGCACTTTATTCTCTTGTTTACATTATTTATAATTCAGAGCATTCTGGATCAAAAGATAAAATAAAAATGCACTAAATGGAGATCGACACTATACTGCTGTTGTGCACTGATAGATGTACATAATTGAAAGCGACATAAGACACTGACATTAAAATTTTGTTTGTATATTGACAAAACAACTAGTCTGCCAAATATAAATCACAATGAACAATAACCATGATTGGCAGTGTACATGTCAGTGTATAACTATAATCGTATCGGATTGCTTTTTCATACAAAATGAGTTTTAAAAAAAAATTTAGAGAGATTTTTACACCCCCCCCCCCCCCCCCCCCTCAATGAAAAAGAATGCATACATGTATTTGAATATCATACATTATATTGGAGCATGTCTTTAACTTAAATTAACTGCCCTTTGTTGTGTCATGTTTTGCATTTGAAAAAAATGAACAATATTGTTTGCATTTGGTATCAGATCACGGATGCATGCACAGCAGCACCATTGGCACATATTGCATTATTTGTGATACCAGCAGGCATTTACAGTACGCAAATTATGGCAAATTGCCCAAAAGTTTTTTTTTTTTCAGCAACAGAGCCATGATTGTTTGGAGACAATTTATGATCGCAAATCAACAAAATAACAACAGAAAAACAACTTGACTAGGTTCATGAATGTCATTAGAAGTCAATCAACTGTTTACATTGTGTGTGCATGCAACATACATATATGGCAACTCCTCTGCCCCCTAATGTGTATAATGTACAGTGTACATTTATACACTGTACATGCTGGTAACACAGTTAGTTTATTGTCTATGTATGCACTTTATTTTGCTCTTCCTTCCTTAATGACTGAATTATGATATTAATCTTTGATATTAATCTGTAATGTGTTTGGCAATTAATCTTGGACAGGAAGTTTGCAGTGAAAACAATCAAGCTGAAAGAGGAAATAAACAACGAGGGGGGGGGGGGGTCTGCAGGGTTGGCAAAAACTATATTTTTTGTTATTGAGACATAACGTGTAGTACGCTGAACATTTACATATCTTGTAATACAGAGCTCAGTGAATTCATGCATGACCTTTGTTGTGTGCAGTACACGTTGCTATCATTTAGACTAGAAAAACTGAGGCATTTTTGATATATTTTGTGGCGATTTACCTTATCTGATGAGCTCACCTTGATATACATTTGGTTTTGATAAAAGTAGAAAAATGAGAACACAATTAATGAAAGTTTGAGCAACATGTGATAAAATAGTTTTCTGTCTGCATGAACTCATTTAGGGTTTGGTGCTGTATAAGTATGTACATGTACTCACAATGATATATGCGGTACACAGTGCGTCCCAGAAAAAACGAAACCGAGAATTATTGATGTTTTATCATGACTTAGTCACATTTATAATCAATAAATGACACATATTTGGAAAGCTTAGATCCTCCTCTTTCATTTGACGCAACTCATATAATGTATATTTCACGCATGAGTGAATACAATGAATTTGAAGAGAGGAAACCAAAAAGTCATTTGGCGGACGGTATCTGAATTTCAAAGAGAAAATCATTTTTCTAGAACGTTGAGTTTCTGCCCTTTCATATTACACCTCAATCAGGAAAAATGAGCAAGGAATGACAAAGTTCTGTTTGTTTTAAGTAGTGCTTGCATTTCCATAATTTTATTAAACAAATTCGTTTTCACTAGCTGCCTAATTAACAAAAGACTTAACTCCGCTTCGTTGACGATCAGTCGTAGACGACAGACTTCATGCATAGCTGATTGTCAACGAAACGGAGTTAAATATTTATTCATGATTAATTCATTCATTCTTTAAGGCAACAAGAAGAAGGAAAGCGGTGACCTTTCTAAACATGATCACAACCAAAGGTCAACATGCCTACAACAGTACTTACGCTGCTCTGAAGAAGATGCAGCCTCATCTAGCCCTGTTCCTGGAGGATGCGGTCACCGGGCAGGGTCATCTTGTCAAAGGAGCATCCTTAGATGGATTCACCAAGGCACAAGGTATCTTCTTTGTTTCCTGTTGCCATGGTGATGGCCACTCTAATGATGAAGATTGTGTTTGTGGTGATGATGATGGTGATGGTAGTGAGGATGATAATGATGATGATGATGATGATTTTTATGATTGGAGTGATGATGATGATGATGATGATGATAGTGATGATAGTGATGATGGTGATGATGGTGATGGTGTTGGTAGTGATGATGGTGATGGTGGTGATGATGGTGATGATGATGATGATTTTTATGATTGGAGTGATGATGATGATGATAGTGATGATGGTGATGGTGTTGGTAGTGATGATGGTGATGGTGGTGATGATGGTGATGATGATGATGATGATTATGATGATTATGATGATTGAGATAAGGATGACGATTGGGATGAGGAGGAGGAGGAGGAGGATGGTGATGAAGAAGATTTTGATTTTAGGGGCATCTCATCAAAGGGGCCTCTGTTAATGGACTCCACACAAGGTTCCTCCTTTGTTTTATGTTGCCATGGTGACTGATGGTCATCATGGTGATGATAATTGTGATGATGAGGATGATGAAGTAGACTTGGATAGAGAATAGAGATGATATAGTGTAATAAATGCACTTATTTAAAGTTACAAGGCAGCAGGTGCATGTCATCCGTCAAAAGGGTATTTGTTAAAGGGAAAGTCCACCCCCAAAATAAGTTTGTTTCGATAGAGGCAGAATAATAAGAAAATCAGGTGAGTGAAAGTTTGAGCAAATTCTGAATGAAAATAAGAAAGTTATGAATTATTGAAGTTGTGATCAATCAAATACAAATTGGCAACTCTGTGACTTATTATACGAGCTCTCCTTCATTTGCTCTGTGCCTAATATTCCATAAAATCATGTTTTCTTCGTTATTGATGACGGAATATATATTTGTTCCTTGCAGGGGGAGTATAGAAACATATTTGCAATTATTATATTTAGGGTGCATGTATGGTTGAAATTTTTCTTGAGGGAAAATGAAAATTTTAGATTTTTTTAGTACTGAGCAAATTGAAGTTGAGCTCGCATGATACGTCATAGAGTTGCCAATTTGTGTTTGATTGATCACAACTTCAAAAATCCTAACTTCCTCATTTTTAATCGGAATTTGCTCAAACTTTCACTGACTTGTTTCTCTCATTTTTCTGCTCCTATTAAAACTAACTTAATTTCAGGGTGGACTTTCCCTTTAAGACAATAGATTTTAAGCACATTTCCTGTGACTGTTGGCTCACATCGTGAGTGCTTCTAAAAACTACATGTAGAGAATTGTATTGAAAAGAAAATAATAACAAATAGCACTTTCTTACTTTTTTCTTGTCTCAGTTTAATCATATACTAGTACATGAGTGCATGTTAAAGTTGTTTTTACAGTCAAGGTTTTTTTATCCCCTTGATTATGCTTCGCGGGTTTCAAACTTTGATTCTGATGTTAATGGAGCTTTGTGGTATGCTTTAAGATTTAACTCTAGGTGAACATAAATGCCCTTACTTTTCATGTTTCTTTATCAGCTGACATACTACTCCGGAAGGGAGGGGTACCGATACCCCCGTCCGTCTTCACACCCCGCCCCAACCATGTCGTGAAGATCAAGGAAGCACTGATGAATCTCAAAGATGGACCTGGTTGGTGCGTTGTCCACGGGATGGGAGGCATTGGCAAATCAGTCATAGCAGCAGCTTCAGTAAGAGACACAGAAATCCTCTCAGGTAAGCGCTAGAAGTGTCAGTGTTGGGTGGTAAGTTTTTATAGGTGTCAAGTATGGTGTTGATCAAATAACAATAATAATAATAATAATATTTTAAAGTCCACTTAAAATTTTATTAAGTTAAACCGAAAATGGAAATTCTTTTTGCCCAATTGATCGTGAGCCCGGCAGCCACTGAGCAGCACCAGATCGACGTTGCTCTATCCCTTATTGTTGAATGCCAAACAAGGTAGCAGCAACTCCCGTCTTTTAATGTCTTTTGGACGCTCTACTGACTGAACCAACACACTGGTAGTGTGGAAGATGTATTGTTTAAGCGTGTATATAGATGGGATGAGAGGCATTTGGAAATCAGTGCTAAGAGCAGCTGCAGTTAAAATGAAAATTGAAATTTGTAAACACTTTTTTTAGTATTTAGATGTTGAGTATTCAGTGTTAGGTTCTAGGTGTTAAGTTCGTTCGTGTCTCCTTAGATCAAAATTAATGTATCTTGATCTTCGGAGTAGTTAAGTGTGGTGTAGACAGGGTCTATGGTGTAGCATATATACATAAACATGGAATGGGAGGAATTTAAAAGACATTGGGTGGTATTCTCATAAGTTAAGCCGGCACTAAGTCCAGACTAAACAAGAATTTCAGGTCACACTTCTATGGAATGCTAGGTTTCATCTTCCTCCTTGAATATCCATGACAAAGATAATTTACCAAAGACTTTGTTGAAATTCAGTTCATACTCATATTATCTTTTTCTTCCCATTTCATTGCAAAATTGATTTTTTTGGAAACTTTTCATTGAAGGATTAAAATAATCTGTACAGTGTAAATGAGTTGGCAACAACCATAAAAGTATGGACTGTTCTTAGTACGCGCTAACTTAGTACGCGCTACCGGAATACCACCCAGTGCTTCATGTAGCAGCAGCTGCTACAATACATGTAGATATTGAAATGCACTCAGAGTAAACATTGTTCAGTGCTAGGTGTATATTGTATTTTAGATTGGGGGTATAAGGTGTAGAGTGTGCATATTGGATGAAAGGAATGACCTAGTACATGGGTTTATTGCTGTTTGGTCTACAGTTGTTATACTACCCAATTGGTCTATTCCCATATGGTCTACTATCCATACGGCATAATAATCATTTAATCATGAATAATAATCATCATAATGGTTATTAGACCTTATGGATCGTAGACAAAATGGGCATTAGACAAACTGGGATTTGGACTAACTTACCAATAGATCTAATGGGAAATAGACTAATTGGACATAAGACTGTGGAAATTAGACCAAATGATTATTAGCCTAAATTGTCCGTAAATTTTATGAACGAGAGCAAAATAACAGTGATTTCCTATTGAAATAAATCCATTTGGATGGGCATATCTCAGCCAATACTTAACATATTCAATTTGTTTTTCATGTTTGGGCATTATTTCTGATGCTCTTTCGTAAATTGAAGTTCAAATTCGGAAACTCTAAAAATATTTGTTTTGATGACGTCACACTTGACCACTCTATTGCTACTACAGTACTTCTTCAAATACTACTACAACTACCACCTTAAAGGGATCCGGTATCTTTGTCTCAGATTCTGAAACAAAATCCTAGATTTAGCTCATGCTGCAATGATAATTATAAACCTTTAGGTCAGTCAGGAACCCCATGACTTTTACAAGCTGATCGCCTGTCTGATTATCGAGATATTTATGATTGGAATTACAAATTTTGAAAACCGTTTGCCAAACGTTTTTCATAACACTACAATCTATTGGGGAAAACAAGTATGGTAAAACCGGTCACTCAAAGATTTTTACTTTTTTGAGGCACTTCTTGATCATTTTGAAGCGCGATTTTGTTAGGGCTTCAATAAGCGAGTACTTTAATAGCTCTGGACCGCATGACCCCAAAATATCCACAGATCTTTGACACGATGGATACTTCCCATGTGTGCATTTTAGAATAATCACTGCTGAAGTGATGGAGGTGCTTCATGAATACATTTTGTTTGCCTCTTGAGAAAAATACTTCCACCTGTGTATCAGATAAATGTACTGTTGGTGCATAAATGAATACTGATTACATAACTTTCATGAGCACGTTCCGAGTATTCGTCTCGATGGTTTTACAATTTGGGGACGAATGACCGTGATCTGCCCATGCGCAAATGCTAATTACGAACTCGCTTATATTACACCATATCACAGACACTGATAACACGTATGGCCGTGCATCTCGGATTTAACATTGTTAAACGATGCCTTTAATTATTCCTTGCAGATGTGTTTCCTGGTGGCTTGTTCTGGCTGTCTGTGGGCAATGTTGATAAAGCTAAGCTCCTATCCAAGGTGCAGAACCTCTGTGCCAGACTAGATGAAGACGTTGATAGATCTCCGCCGCATAATTTAGAAGAGGGCAAGGATCGGTTGAGGGCGCTCTTCATTGACAAACATCCGAGGTTTGTTCGTTCATCCAGTGTAATCAAATTCAGTGAACTTATGAGTACCATAAATGTGTGCGACATGCTGCGCTGTGTACGGAGGTTATATAAGGCGGCATTCACTATAATGTACTTCTATTTATCGTTTCCCCGTAACCTTTTGATTGTTTACTGTAACGCCGTAACAAGAGCTTTAAAACCTTAACAAATACAGCAAAACCATAACGGTTGGCATCTCTGATATTGTATAATTATTTTGATACTGTACAGAGCGCCTTGAGCAGTCTTTTAGAATGGATATGTGCGCTTTATATAAGAGTTGACTTTATTATTATTATTATGTTACAGATCCCTGTTGATCCTTGATGATGTCTGGTCAACGAGAGTCATTCACACGTTTGATGTTCAGGCTAGAGTCATGGTGACAACTAGAGACAGGGGAGTCACAGACAGAGTTACAGGTTGGTAGGAGAGGGGTTACATGAGTGGTGGTTTTTAGTTTGGTTGTAGTAGAATTCATGATGAGATTATGATGATGGTGTTGATGATGATGTTGGTGTTGGTGGTGGTGTTGGTGGTGGTGATGATGATGATGGTGGTGGTGGTGGTGGTGGTGATAATTAGGATGATGATGGTTGTGGTGATGATGAATATAATTATGGTGATACTGTTGATTATAACGATGATGATGATGAAGATGGTGGTGGTGGTGGAGATGATGATGAATATAATGATGATGATGGTGATGTGGATGATGATAATGGTGGTGGTGGTGATAATGATAATGATGATGGTCGATTTATTTTTTCCTTCATTATCGTAGAGGGTCGAAATGAAATCAAGTCATCTTGATAATCACCTCAATCTCTCCTTCACTCCTAGGTCCGGTGCATCGGGTACAACTAGAAGAAGGTTTCTCTGAAGAGCAAGCCTTAGCAACCTTAGCAGCTTGGACGCTTCAAGAGGTCAAGACGTTACCCCCAGAGGCCAAGGCTATCTATGAAGCTTCTAAAGGGTCTCCTCTGGTCATCTCAATCATAGGAGCTCTACTAGCTGATCATCCTACGAGGTAAGTTTAGAATGTCTTCGCATTTCAAGTATGTAAGGGATTTTAACACACACACACACTCAAAATGGTCAATACACCTTGTAACCAGTCTAATGTTTTCTTTCTAATGCCTTCCTCTTTTTTATCGACTGGCACTGACAGAATCGTCTTTGTATTAAACATTAATTCAAATGACACTCTTATAATACTCATTATGTATCATTCCTATTTATTAAGTTGATATATTACATGAATTTTCAATATTCAGCTCCTCTTAGATCATCTATAGCTAAGAATATCCATAACTCCTCAGTCCTCACTGTGTTGTAAAATTAGTCAATTTTGTTGTTGTTATATAACATTAGTACTTTTAATGCCCTGCATTTTGCAGTAAATGGAAATGTCCTGGGCTATTGTATCTGCTCCTTTTTTGTGCAAGTTTGAACAATAAAGGGATGTTAATCACACTCTGAGGATTCTAAAGGTTTTCTCTTGTTGTTTTCATCATAAGACCTCTATTAGTTGAAAATCCTATATGTGCAAGGTATTTGTCTTCATTTCTTCAGTCTATTTTGGTTATTAAAACTTACTAGAAATTTGTGTTGGGTGAACATTGCACTTTTGGCTTCCCCAGTCATGGATTCAATATTAATGGGTTGTCATTTATAGTTATTACTTTGTTCTTCATTTTTTCTATTACAGAATGATATAGTTATTCTCCCTACCTTAGTTGTTTATAATTGTTTTCCTATAATTTTGTTACCCACATCTTTCTCTATGCCACTTTATCTTCTTTCATTCTCCATCATTTCCCCTCCTCACTTCCCCCTCTTTCATCTCTTCCCCATCTCGTTCCTTCTCTCCCTCTCTCATTTCTCGCTCAATTTTCCCTCTTGCTCTCTCCTCCCTTACTCTCCCTAATTCCTGCCCTCTTTTCTTCCTTCTCCCATTCTCACTTTCTTCCTACCCCTCTCTCCTTTTCATATGAAGCTACCATCTATTCTTTGGAATAATTTACCATTGAATTTGAGAATCATAACTTCCTAGAGACCTTTTAAATCCAAGCTGAAATCTTATATTTTTAAACAAGACTTGGCACTATCACACGCCAAACTTTCTTCTTCTTTCTATTTGTCTTGTGCACCTCGGAATAGAATTGTCTAGGTAGACGACGCGATATAAATGCCTATTATAATTACCATTTATTATGTTCCAGATGGAAGTATTACCTTGACAAGCTCACAAGGAAACGGTATGCGAGCCTGAAGAAGGTCACGGCCTATGAGTATGGTAGCGTTGGTGAAGCCATGGGGATGAGTCTGGAGCAGCTACCTCAAGAGCTAAGAGACATCTATAAATCATTCGCTATATTTGCAGAAGATGTGCCTATCCCAGCTTCAGTGAGTGCTTATTCATTTAAATATTCACATTTAATGTAGTCTTATTGACATGAACAGAGATAAATGTTTCAAGCCAGGTCCATGATTTTTTAACTCAAAATGTTAGTGTGTCATTGACAGGGTGTACAAGACAAATTTTACAAGGTACAGTGTATATAATAAAGAATATTCTGAGAGTATCTTTAGAATCTCCACTTTACTTCTAGTTTTAAAAATCACACGCATCTATCCAAGTCTGCTGATGTAACATGGAAACAGATGAGAGTACACTGTATGTCTGTAAACTGTAACTGTTATGGCTCGTTCAGATATGAAGCTGCAAAACCCCAGCGATTTTTTTTTTTTCTTTCTTCTTCTTTTTCTTCTCATTTTGACGAAAAGTGTTATACGCATCACATTTCTATATCCTATAACAGAGAGCTTGTTGAATATGTGCAGGGTCCTGTTTCATAAAACTTGTTACCAATAACAAGTGTCGCATTTCTTTAACAAATTTGCTCTCGGCCAATCAAATGCCAAGATTTCAGTAGCTTTTAACAGTCATTGTGACTTGTTATTGAAAGCAAGTTTTATGAAACAGGTCCCAGGACTATTGTTCCGCACAGTTGCCATTCATGTACTCTTAAAAAAAACTGGCGGCTCTTTTGCGGTGGTTTACCGAGCCATATCCAACGAGCCTTTACAATGATTGTTTTTTTTCAGGTACTTGGAGTGATGCACGGTGAGGAGCAAGAATCGATAGAAGACATGATGGAAGAAATCATCAATAAATCACTCGCATTCCAAGAATGGAACACAACGTATAAATGCCAAATGTATACTATCCATGACCTCCAACTTGACTTTCTAACTGAACAATACAAGACAGATATACAGGTAAGCTTTTAGGTGATTGATTGGTTGCTTTTATTCACTTTCCATGCCAAATAACAAAGGATAATACATTTACAAGACATTATCATTTCTGAAGGTAATATGTAAATAGATAATCCTGAATCATAGTAATTAATAACATGAAAGAATGTTCTTTAAATCATTAAAAATGTAAATAAAAAGTTACCTACTTAAAAGCTAGGCTTGTTGCATGTAGGTTCACTGAATTAAACTAATGACTTTAGAAAACAGCATACACATACACTAGACTGAGACAAAAAAGAGAAATGAAACAAAATACAACATGTTGTGGTTAAAAGTGGTATAGAGAGAAGCAGAGGGGGAGAGAGAGAGGAAAAAAACAGGATATATAGATGGATAGTAGATAGATAGATATATGGGTAGATGAATAAAGACAGAGAGAGAGAGAGAGAGGGGGGGGGGGGATACATTTACATCATGTGTTGTAAATTCTTCTTTCCCTTTTGAGATGACATACCACCTTTGATGTGAACGTGTTCATTTTTCACTGAGTAATATTAACAAGGAGTACATACCGTACGTATAGGTTTAGAAAAAATTACATTATAAATAGATCAATATACATATAGCACAGCTACTATATAAGTATACGCTACTGCGCCATGATGAAAACAAAACTCCTGACAGTGCTACTTTACAGACAAACAAACAAAAAATATTCAAAATTTCCTGCAAAACAATAGGAGTGAAGAAAATGGTCTAGGAACGTGAGACGTAGCTGTACTTTACAATTTTATTACGAGCTTTCGGCTTGTGAGGCCTTCTTCAGGTTCTGAAGTGCAAACACATACAAAAACAAATACATTGTATGAACAAATATACATGGCATACAAACTTAATATCACTCAATCATAGTCAAGCATCATGAACTTAGCAAAAATTAGTATGAGAAATACTTCGGAATAAACTTAGAAATGATTGTGCAATGTCAGAGTGAGAATTATTGCACTATAGAATAGAATAGAATAGAATTTATTGACTCATTCGACCCCCTTCTGGGGTATGAGAGTACAACACATGTACATGTCATGATAATGATACATAATAAAGAATACAAACATAGCTTAATAATACAAAGAATACAGAATACAACAAAACAACAATATAAAAGTATAACGATAAATAGGAATGATCTAAACCTAGCCTATGCTAAACATAAATACAATATTATACAATATGGCAAGCATACATGAAAAGTGGAAAATACCACATGAACAATCTAAATACAAACACAAAGAAAAAGAAAGATAAAAACAAAAAATAATTTTACAATTTTTTTTTTGTTTAAATACATTATTGTTTTAACTAAAAAAGAAATTATAAGTTTCATTTTTGTACATTTAAGTGAGTTGTGATTGGATTGTTAAGATATATGCAGACTAACAAAATACGCCATAATCGTCCATTGGACAAACAAAAACATAATGGAATATAATGTAATAAGACAAACAAAACAAAAAGTATACTAACAAAAAAAACACAAAAAAAATGAACAAAAGAACAAACAAACCATCAAAACTATACTTGACCTAAAGAAAGACTGTACTACAGATCAAGAATTGTTGGTTGCTTAATTAACCTACCACTTCGGGTTGTAACATTTCTTTTTATGGGCGACATATGATTGGATTGTTCAGATTTACATGTATATAGACGAGCAAAATATGACATTATTATCCTTAAGAAGAGTACTAATTTCTTCAGCTGTCCTATACCGGAACATGAAAATAAATTCAACATGTGTGATGTGCAAGGGCGTTTAACTATTACTTTGCGACCTAAATATAACTCTCTTTCCTTTCTGAAAAAAGGGCATACAAAAACATAATGGAATTCATCACCAGACTCATGCATATCACAACATGGGCATTCAATACTAATTTCATTAACAGCTTCTTTGAATCTGTTATTATTAATTGGTAAACGGTGTGACCTACATCTAAAACGGCTCAGTGTTATTCTATCTTTTTTACTCAGCAAAACTAAATACCTTTCAAGGAGACAATCCTCTTTAAAGATCCTATAATTTAGGCACACACTGTTTGTCCAAATTGTTGCCATCACATCTTGTTTTGAAATATCGTTTAATCTCAACTTCAGAGTGCTCAGTATCCAACTATTGCTAAATCCTTCCCCTTGCTTTAGCCAAACAATACCAAGACCAGCATGGTTCAATATTTTTTCAATACAAGATAACCACTTGAAAGAAGTAGACATATCTACATTCTGACTAATTAACCTTTGCAAAAAATAAAATTTGACTGAATATTTAGAGGGAGAACCTTTTACTATTCTTAACCAGAAACTAACCATTCGATGTTTGATACTGTTAGCTAGCCATGCCCTCCCAGTTTCTCCATATATCATACAATCTGGTGTAAATTTATTTACACATAACGCTGACCTGAGAAATTTTCTATGGAATATTTCAATTTGACTCAGATCTTCATATCCCCACACTTCGCATCCATAAATGAGTATTGGTAATACAAGTTGGTCAAACAAGTCACATTGAATATCCAGTGGCAGTTTGAGTCTTTGAACCTTTAATGACATAGAGAAGAGGGCTTTCCTGGCCTGTGATACCTGTTTTGAAATAGCCTTTTTAAAACTTCCATTATAATTAACCTGAACCCCAAGATATACAAAATCATCCACAACATCAATTTCATCTTCTCCAAATCTGAAAACTGGAAATTTACGTACTTTGCCTCTTGAAAATATAAGTACTTTAGTTTTCATAGCATTAACACTTAACTTCCAAATTTTACAATATTGAGACAAGGCATTCAAAGCCACTTGCAATTCCTCTGCTGTGTCAGCCAATATTAGGGTGTCATCTGCGTACAACAATGTGTATAATTGTAAGAAAAGATCTTTGTTTACTTCTTTATCTAAAATGTCAGCACATACATTTTCAACTAAAAATTTGAGACCTTTAAAGTGTTTACTGAGAAAATCCTCGAAATCATTAAGATATATTGCAAAGAGCAGTGGTGATAAGTTTTCACCCTGCCTAACACCAACATCGCATTGAAAAGCCTCAGACATTTGACCATCTACTATCACGCACGATTTTGCTTGAGAATACATATTCTTAATAACTGTGAACACCTTACCATCCACCCCTGACCTCAATAATTTGTGCCAAAGTGAAACCCTATCAACCATATCAAAAGCTTTTCTATAGTCTATAAAAGCGCAGTAAATTCTCTTCCGTTTAGACAAGTAAATGTCAAGCAGGGATTTCAAAACAAAAATATGGTCTGTTGTAGAATAGCCAGCACGAAAGCCAGCCTGTTCTTCTCCAAGCTTGCATTCATTTTCGAAATAAATTGTTATCCTATAATTCAAGATGGAAGTAAACAATTTTCCCAAACAGCTTAAAAGTGTTATCCCACGATAGTTATCTGGATCTGTATCCTTTCCTCTATTTTTGAAAATAGGGACTATACTACCTAGACACCAGTCTCTTGGTACTAGACCACTCTCCAGTATTACATTAAAAAAAGCAGTAATACAACCAATTACAGCTGCTGAACAATTTTTCAAAAACTCATTTCTAACCAAATCTACACCACATGCCTTATTATTCTTTAGTTTCTGGATAATCTTTATAACTTCATCAACCGAGATAGGGGCATTCAGCTCATCATTGCCCATTGACTGGTCAAAATCCACATAATGTGTTTCAGATGCTGCACATTGCACATTATTCAAACTACTAAAATGATGCACAAAATCATCTAAAGAGACCTTGGCTGGACAAGAGCTACGCTTCGGTCCATCCAAAATTTTCCAATACTCTTGAGGACTATCCTTCTTAAGTATATGAAGATTGTTGTGTAAGAGCCTAGTGTACGCTTTTTCCTTTCTACGTAGCAATTTCCTATAATCTTTTGCAACAGCATTAATTTCAGCCATTTTTTGTTCTTTATCACTCAAAGTTAGACCTTTGCACTGTCGTTTAATTCTATTTTTTAGGTTAAAATATCTTGATCTGGCATGCTGACACTCTGTGTCAAACCATGGTTTCTTCTCCACGATAAGTTTCCTAGAATGAATTTTCTTACAGACTTTATCCTCACATATACCGACTTCCTTTGCCGTCTTCAAAAATGAATTTGCCAATACAGTACTAAAATTATCCATATTACCTTGTGTCGATGACTTCTCAACCATTTCCAATGCATTCATCAGTACTGGAATACTTTGATCAAGTTTCAACTTAAATTCAGATGCCTTCTCTTTAGAACACTTAAATGAAGTGTATTTCACTTTTTCGGGAGCATCAACCCTATTTTCAATTTTTCTCAATTCAACATCTTCATTTATAGGAATCAGTTTATTTGAAAACATCAGATTCAATGGACAATGTACATCTGAAACACACTTATCAAAAATGTCAACCTCAAAATGAGTAATATATTGAAATAAACTAACAGATGCAATGACATAATCAACCACACTTTTCCCTCCATTTTTATTGTAACATGTAAAGCTACCAACACCCTTATCACTACCAAATCTCCCATTCACTATCTTCAAGTCAAAACTCTGACAAATGCCAATAAGCTGTCTACCATTATTATTAATAGAAGAATCCATATTATGCCTCCTAGTATCATATCCATCATCAGTAAGCGAGCTCTTAAAATCAACATTATCATTTGAAGAACAATAACCTGAAAATTCAGAAATAACATTATCAATTACCATAAAGTCGTCAAGTAACCCAGTCCTTGAATTAAAGTCCTCTACTAGGCTGAAGGGCACATTATATGTGCTTTTCAAATATAATAGGTCCTGACAAAGGTGATCAAAAACATCATTACTATGATAAACTGACCCTTCACAAGGCAAATAAACTGCTCCTAATATAAACTCAAAGCCTAAACAAAATGAATTAAAATGAATCCACATAATAGATTCTGAGGTAGTGCCCAATATTCTAGAGGTATGAGATGAAATATTTTTTTGAATGAGAATACAAATGCCATGAATACCACCATGTCTACCCACGCCATTCTTTTCCAAAATATAACTTTGATAATTGTTGAAGTAAGAATGAGAAAAATCAGGCCTTTCAGTTTTAGTTTCAAGAAGACAAATTACTGAATAGTCTCTCAACATTAAATCAATGACTCCTGCTTCTAATTTGCTGTGAATCCCATTGACATTAATGCTGCATATGGTCAAGGTCTTGTCTAGAAGAGGGCCGGAAATGTCCTAAAAGTCCAAAAACAGCCGAGAATTCTTCAGTTGATCCTCGCTCCAGCCTAGCAACCGAAAGAGGTCATCTGGGGAACTGATTGAATACTTCCGTCCATCAGGGCCATCCCGTTTAAGAATGCAGATCACCCTCCCATCAGTGATCCAGGCCTTCAACACTCCTGGGTCATCCTTTACAGCTTTCAGAAGCTTTGCACGCCCGGGAGCTAGGTGCTCCCCTATATGAGAGACCTTATCATTTCATTGTTCATTTATACATGTTAATAATCATTTTATTTTTACAGTGTTATGAAATAAATATTTATTTAAATCAAATAGATATTTGAAATGATTATTCTTTATTTGAATGTTTTCTTTTAGGCACCTTAAGAATCGTTTGGATGGATATTTGGGTATTACAAATTATATTATTATTATGATTACTATATGTTTTTATTACTATTCTACTGCTTGTTCTTCTTGTTGTAATTATCAGTATCACTAGAATCATGGTTGTTGTTTTCACCGATAGTAGGTAGAGTAGTTTTTGGGAATATAGATCTATACATATTTATTTTTAATTATATTTAATTTTATAATTATTATCATCATTATTATCATTACTGTACTACAATTATCATGTTTATTACTGTTATTACTGTAGTTACAGTGGAATCTTGTTCAAACAAGGTCCTTAGGACCATAAATATTGCCTCGTTATATCTGGTACAAAAAAAACCTCAAAAAATAAAGAGCTGCGTCCAGCAAAATGACCTCGTTATATCGGAGCTCTTCATAATGAGGTTCCACTGAACATGTATTTCCGCGTCATCATTATCTTCATACTATATTTATCATTGTGGTCTTAATAATCACTAAGCTAAGCTGTTAACATTTATCTAAGGACGTTGGCTCCACAAACATATTCAAACCATTTTTTTCCTATCTTGAGCAATTCTGGAAGGTGCTGCCTACTAGGATGTCACTTTCCCATCCCTTCCTTGCCTATTTGTTCCAACTACAGTCTCCATGAGCAAAGCATATGCTGTTCATTCTGGAAACTTAACCAATCAGTGGGGTGTTTCACAAAGATCCTAAGTCGACTTAACTCTAAGTTGGACTTAACCATTACGGAAAGCCTTTAGCATCTATGAAAATATTTTGTAAAAGCTATTTTAAAAGGTATAAACTGTTGATTCAAATCATTCATATTTTCTATTATTAAGGAGATTTCATGTTCTTGGAAATATAAAAAGTCTAAAATACTTGAATTTCGCTTTTGAATATATTTCATTTTAAGGCTACAAATGGCTCTCCATAACTTTTATTTCCAACTTAGAGATAAGTTCAACTTAAAATCTTTGTGAAACACCCCCAGGTCAGTTAGGCTTTAGCAATGCAGGCAAGGATTCGTTTATTATGTCATGAGTCAATGCAATCATCACTAGTCACTCCTAATTCTCCTTCATACAGGACATGAACAAGAAGCTAGTGGACAGCTTCCATAGCCATTGCAAGAGTGAGTACCACACGCTGCCCGATGATGGCTATATCCACATGTACCTGGCAGCACACATGGCAAAGGCTGAAGAATTCGCTGAGCTCACAAAGATACTCACTAGCCTTAGATGGATCACTAACCAGGTTGCCTTGACGGGACCTGCGAATACCTTGAGTGACTATGTGAGCTACAAGAACCTGTTATCATCTGAGGTGAGTTTACATGTGAAGTGAAGTTTGAAGTTTATTATCCAAAACAAAAAGTACATCAATATAACAATCAAATGTGAATGATTAACATTGAAAGGATAAATGGGACCAGAAAATAGCATTTAATGCTAATCGTGTCTTGTACCACTGACACACAAAAGTATCACAGTAATGAATGAGAATGTAATGAATAAATATGAATAACTATTGAATACATACTTCAGCTACAAACTACATGTATGAAGACTCGTCGCAAAACGCAATATCTCCAATTCAGGCGTTCTGAGAAAAAACATTATCTGCCCCCTTAATTCTAATGCAAGAACATAAACCAATATGAAATGATCAATTCACTTGTATTCAAATAATGGTGCGTCAAAATCTGTAATAACTTTTTTTGAAAACCCATAATCTCACATTAACTAGTATTTCTCTCTCTCTCTCCCTTTCTTTTTGCACGAGTGATTCTATGACATTCATTCAAAGCTTGTAAAAGATGCCAACTTTTGTTTCTTTTGAGCCTGTGATATTTGGCATACAAAATAGATAAACACGTACAAACTGCTATACATGTTATAAATCTTTATTCAATTACAACTGTAACAGTATTGTTCACACTGCCACACATTCTTTGTCGTTTCATCAGGTTAAAGACATTGTGAGTCAGTTCCAGTACTTTGTGAGTGTGAATGCACATCTCCTCATGCAATCACCCCTCCCCGACGTCCTACAACTTGCCCTTCTTCAACCGGATACCACCGAGGTATGTCAGCAATCTAGGAGACTGGTCAAAGCAAAGCAGAATGGTTTCTACGTCGAGTGGTGGTAAGTCAAAGGTCACAGTTCAACGTCAAAGGTGAAAGGTCAAAACACTTTTTAGTCCAGTATGTCTCCAGCTTGCCTTGCTACAACAAAATAACACTGAGGTCGGTCAACAATCTATAAGTTTGGTCAAAGCAAAGCAGAATGGTTTCTACGTTGAGTGGTGGTAAGTCAAAGGTCAAAGTTAAAAGGTCATATGTGATTAGTCAAAAAATTGTATCAATCCCTTATGTCACCCGCTTGTTAGTCTACAACTTTAACCAAAAAGGTTTGTAAACAATTAAAAAAGTTTAGTCACAGCCAAGCTAAGTGGCTTATACGAATAGTGGTGGTAAGTCAAAGGTCATAGTAAAACATTAAAGGTGAAAGGTCAGAACTTTCTTTAGTCCTGTATGTCTCCAGCCTGCTTTGCTACAACAAGATAACACTGAGGTCGGTCAACGATCTATAAGTTTGGTTAAAGCAAAGCAGAGAGGTTTTCTACGTTGAATGCTGGTAAGTCAAATGTAGAAGATCTTATGGGAAAAGTCAAATATTGTACTTATCCATTTTGTCCCAAGCTTCTTGGGCTACAACCAGATACTGCAAAGATTTGCCAAACAATTTATAAAACTTGTCAAAGACAAGCAAGGTGGCTTTTAGGTAGAATGGTGGAAAGTCAAAGGTTGCAGTTCAACATCAAAGATGAAAGGTCAGGACAGTCTGACACGTGTTAATACAAAGGTAAAAGTTTGAAGGTCATGTATCAAAAGTCACACACTGTATCAGTCCTTTATATCCCAGCTTGTTACGCTACAACAATTTATAAAACTAGTCAAAGCCAAGCAAAGTGGATTCTACGTAAAATGGTAGGTAGGTCAAAGGTCACAGTTCAACATAAAAGGTGAAAGGTCAAAACACTTTTTAGTCCTGTATATATCCAGCTTGCCTTGCTAAAGCCAGATAACACTGAGGTTTGTCAAAAAATTAGAAGACTGGTCAGAGCCAAGTAGATTGGTTTTTACATTGAATAGTGGAAAATTAAAAGGTCAAGGGTCAAAGAGTTTTTGTTCCTTTGCATTGCTTCAGCCATACTCCATTCTTGCTGCAGTACAATGCAATTGTATTTAACCAGGCATTTTGTTTCTCTGTAGCGTGAAATTGAAGGCAATTTTGCTATTTATTGTAAAGTTATAATTCATCAAACGAGATACATACAATTAATCGTAAATTATTGTGGCACAGGGCCCAGAATATCTGTTAGTTTTTGTCTATATAAATCTCCTGTTCTAGGACTCGTTTCACAAAGTCTTTTTTTCAATGACAAATGACAAAAATCAGTGACAAATCTGATGATAACCAATCAGAAGCAAGGATTTTAGTAGCATATAACAAAAACTGTCATTTGTCACTGATGACAAGTTTTGTGAAACACCCACCTGTTCTGTTATCATCACATGTATCTTTTGGTTCTCTCTTTCTCACAGCAATAAATACCTAGTAAGAGATTCCCTCCTGATGACTAACACTCCACATTCAGGGGTAACGATGTGTGCTCAGTTCAATGCTGCTGGAGACCATGTCTTATCTTGTGGAGAAGATGGCTATGTAAAGGTAAAGCACAGACTTCATCGAGATTCAAATACACCCTTTTACGGTTATAACAGTGTGCATGCGCAGACATGGGCGCCATTTTAATTTACGAGTAAACAAAGCTGTTTGCTTATATTGCGCCATCTATCTAGGAAAACCTATATCAAACAAATTACCTTTATCTGCCTATGCGCAGATTGTATCTACAAACTAGCCTGTTTAACCGTAACCACTATCCTAGACAAAATAAACATGAATTCAATTCTTTTCAATTCAATTTATTTCCACTTTTAAAAAATTACAAATCAATAACAAATACATAGGAATAATAGTGTCAGGATCATGATAAGCACTAAATTGGCTAATTAAAAATGACCCCTTAAAGGTAAAGACCAGTATTGGAAACGCCCCAATTTCAAAAAATGAAATGGAAGCTCTTATTACTAATCGTGTGAAAGAATATTTTTTGACTAATACATGATAAAAATTTTGCCGGGAAACCGCCTACTAATTGATATATTTGGTAAATTAGTTTATCTATTGTGAGAGATAAACGCATGTGTCGCGCACGTGTGCTTAGTCCCATATACATCTTTCTGTGTACAGTGCTTGTAACTTTACGAAGACTGGGCCAAATTTCTTATCATTTTGATGAATCCAGTACCTTGCAATACACACCAATACTTATATGCTAGATGATCAACCTTTTCTGATCGATTCCACAACGTTTCTTTCACAATGCAATCGCATGTCCATATAACTGGTCTTTATCTTTAACAAGTATACACATAACATAATTATTATACATTGTAAGAAAATGTCAGATCACCTACATTACAATTCTCTTGTTTTTTGTTACAGTTCTGGAGTAGTGAGTCTGGCAAGCAAGCATTCAGCATTGAAGCTCATAACAACTGGGTCAACTGGTGTGAGATATCACCTGACGGTCAAACCATGGTCACATGTTCAAGCTCAAACGTCAAACTGTGGCGGATACCCAACGGAGGATATCCCCTTCACCAGGCTATGATTAGGAAGATCCCGGGCGATTGGTTGAGGGCGATATTCTCTCACGATGGAACAAAGATTGCTATGTGCTCTCTAGATGGACTCATTGAGGTAAGAATGAGATAGAGAGATGGAGAGAGAGAGAAAAAGAGGGGGGGGGGGAAGAGAGAGAGAGAGAGAGAGGGGGGGGGGGGGGGGAAGGGAGGAGATTATAGAGAGAGAGAGAGAAACATACGATTGGTACAGGGGTGATATTCTCTCACGATGGAACAAAGATAGCTATGTGCTCTCTAGATGGACTCATTGAGGTAAGAATGAGAGAAAGAAAGAGAGAGGTATGGAATAAAGGAGAGAGAGCGATCCTTTGGTCGGATAATATGTTTGTAAAATGTTGGTTAAATGCTTGTAATATGTTACTTATATGTTACTAATATGTAATTAATATGTAAGTAATATGTTAGTAATGTGTTAGTAATATGTAGGTAATATGTCAGTAATATGTAAGTATTATGTTAGTAATATGTCACCGGTAGTAATATGTTGGTAATATGTTTGAAATATGTTAGTAATATGTTAGTAATGTGTAAGTATTGTGTTAGTATTGTGTTAGTAATATCTTATTAATATGTAAGTAATATCTTATTAATATGTAAGTAATATGTAAGTAATATGTAGGTAATATGTCAGTAATGTGTACGTATTATGTCAGTATGTCACTGGTAGTAATATGTTGGTAATATGTTAGTAATATGTTAGTAATGTGTTAGTTATGTGTAAGTATTGTGTTAGAAATATGTAAGTAATATGTTAGTAATATGTAAGTAATATGTTACTAATATGTAAGTAATATGTTTGTAATATGTTAGAAATATGTTAGTAAAATTTTAGTAATATGTATTCTTATACATAATAATTTTTACAGATCCTTGACTTGACAGAAGACAGAAGGAAGATGATCCGTGCGAGTGACTCTGTGATCAGAGCACTGTGTTATACACTGGACGATAGATATATTATATCATGCTCTGACGATACCAAAGTAAAGGTAAGAAGAGACAGGGATACAAGGTGAAAGGCTTAGCTAGATGTGGTAGTGGTGGTTACTTTACCTGACTGCTAAGAAAGCATAAATGCTTGTTAGTAAGCAACCGGACGGCCAACGGCTTTAGGTACTCTCCGAGGGACCTGGTAATGAGGATTAATGCCTTACCAAAGGGCACTAGCATCGACCTGGTTTCGAGATTACGAGACCACTGTTCTACCAACTGAGATATCGCGCCTCCTCAAATACAGTTAACTATTAAATGATTAATAATATTCATGTAAATTTAATGTTTGTTTTTTGTTACTCAAGATACTAGATACTACAAGATTCTCAAGAAACATAAATCTGGACAAATACATTTTTCATATACTTAGAAAATTACAAACCTTGGTAAGGGCATGAACATTTTGAAGTTGTTAAGTGTACATAAAAATATAGAAACGACACGCACACAGTCACAGAGTGAAAGGGTGATGAGGTAGGGATGGAGGAAAAGAGGGAAGGAGGTAAAAACGTATGATCATATTTTAAAGTATAGAGAAGTAGACACAAAATCAAGGAAGATAGATTTAAACATACACATGTACCAATGTTAGACATTGGACATACATGGGAGAGATAGAGAGATGGGAAAAGTTTTTTTTGTTATCACAAAATAAGAAACCACCATTATCATGAATGAGATTATTATCAAACCATGTCGGTCATAAAACTTGTGAAAAAAAAGAAGAATAGCAAGTATTTTTGTCATCATTATCGTCATTTCCATCATGATCATTTGTATCATCATCACCCTTTCCATTGTTCATTTTTTTCCCTCATTTTCCCCATCTCCATTCGAGCAGGTCTTCGATGCATCCTCAGCAATGTCTGACCCGGTCATGTCGTACACTGGTCACACGACGTCGGTCATCAACGCCAGCCCTTCACCGGACGGTCAGTACGTGGCCACCACAGGGGGCAGCGATGTCCATGTCTGGACGATCGTGGACGGGGCATTGGTTGGGAAGTGTATGAGTGAAGCCAACATGGTCTTGTGTTGTGAGTTCTGTCCTAAAGGTGACATCATCGCAGGGGGTCTTTCATCCTATGAGATTGTGGTGAGTATAGTGCCCATGCCGAGACGCTACAAACATCCAAAGGTTTACCATTCTTTGTATACATGTAGTATCCTTTGATTGCTCTTAAAGTGACTCAGTAACATTACCTCAGATTCTGAAACAAATTTCTGGATTTAGCTCATGCTGCAATCATAATTATAAACCTTTAGGTCAGTCAGGAATACCATGACTTTTGCAAGCCGATCGCCTGTCTGATTATCAAAATATTTATGATTTTTTTGCTTCCCTAACAGTTTTTATAATACTATAGTCTATTGAGGAAAATAAATATGGTAAAACTGGTCACTCAAGGATTTTTACTTTTTTCAGGCACTTCATGATAATTTTGAAGCGCAATTTTTTAGGGCTTCAATATTACACCATATCACAAACACTGATATTACGTAGGGCCGTGCATCTCAGATTTAACATTGATAAAAAATGCCTTTAAACTTGGACAATCTGGAGAGCAGAGGAAAGGTTGATTGTCAGTTTGGAAATGTGGCTGTGGAGAGTAATGAAATTTATTAGTTGGAGGGACAGGGTCACCAACGAAGAAGTGCTGGATAGAGCGAATGAACAAAGGAGCTTGGGGAAAAAAATGATCTGGAGACGGATGACAAGCTTGATAGGGCACATCTTATATGGGGATAACATGCTGAGGCGTATCCGGACGCCTACTCCCTGGACATCCACCCCCCGTATTACCACCCCCAGTCATCCACCCCCGAGGACATCCGCCCCCTAGGGCAACCATTCTCTAGGACAACTACCCCTTAGACAACTGCCCCTAGGATAGTTGTCCCGGGGGGTAGTCGTCCTAGAGGGTGGTTGCCCTAGGAGGTAGTTGACTAAGGGTAGTTATCTGGGGGGGGGGGGTGAATGTCCGGGGGTGGATGTCCTGGGGGTAGTTGTCCCGGGGGGTAGTATTCCTAGAGGGTGGTTGCCCTAGGGGGTAGTTTACTGAGGGTAGTTGTCGTGGGGAGGGGGGTGGATGTCCGGGGATGGATGTCCAGGGGGTAGGTGTCCTAGAACCATGCTGAAGAACATCTTGGAAAGGAAGATGGATGTCAAACGGGGAAGAGGAAGACCAAGAATTAGGATGGTGTCAGACTTGGAAGGCGACAGATCAAATGACATTAAAGAAGATCATTAAGATCATAAGAAGAAGAAGGTTAAAAGTATTGGAGACAAAAGATTAACAGCCTGCAAAAAGGGATTGTCCCAATTGTTCTATCTGACAGGACTCATACATGTGTGTAGAAGATGACCATGAAAGCACTTAAATCATATACCTTTTTGTCATTCTTTCTGTCGTTTATGACTCAGTTATGGGAGACAAGACGTTACAAGCCAGTAGCCGTCTTCAAGGGTCACACGTCTTGGGTGATGAGTGTCAAGTTTGATGTCAAAGGTGAAAGGTTGGTGTCTGCTTCAGATGATGAAACCGTCAGGGTAAGTCATGATCAATTGTTTTCTACCACAAAAGACTTTTCAGATCATGAGGAAGTAAACTGCTTTAAAAGTCCTGCTGCAGAAGTTGTAACGCTTTAAGTGTCACTTTGTAGATGCCTTGAGCATCTCCTTGGACAGATATGAGCGCTATATAAAGTAAATAAGGATTTATTTTTTTTTTTTAGTTTTTCATTCTCCGGTTTCTCAGGATTTAGGATTTAAATGGCGCCAGTGAAGTTCTGCCCACCACTGGATAGGCATAAATCACAAAGGCGGAAAATGGGAAAAAAGTAAATATAAAATGACCAATTATGACATGAAAATTAGGTACAAAATGACAAGTTTATTAGCTTGCGAAAAAATTAAATATACATCATTATTGGTAATAAATGAATGATAAATGCACTCATTTGATAGTAGCTTATTTACTGAAAGCGTAAAGAATTATTAATTGTATTTTTCAGACTTGGAAGGTGGAGTATGGTCACACTGATTTGAATAGTGTGTGGAAGAGAGATTTCACCGCTTGCTTCTGCGATGGCGATAAAAGACTCAAGTTTGTGGTTGCCGGTGACAACAAGAACAGATGCCTGGTAAGAAATATTCTTTGTGCCATTGAAAGAGAAGGTTGAGTTCTGAAAAGGATCAAAATCAAATATCAAAACAAACCCATGCATCACAACAATTTTTTTATGAATGCGTATGAATAAATAGATGCAAACTAGCAGGCACTGTGGATTGACTATTTAAAATCCATGGCCAGAACCCAACTTTCTAGGATAATGGGAATAAACATTGTTTACCCGGAGGCGTGATAGCTCAGTCGGTAGAGCAGTGGTCTCGTAATCCGGTGACCCGGGTTCGAAACCAAGTCGATTCGCTATTGCCCTTTGGTAAGGCATTAATCCTCATTACCCGGTCCATCAGAGAGGCTGTAAAGCCGTCAGCCGTCTGGTTGCTTACTAACAAGCATTTATGCTTTCTTAGCAATCAGGTAAAATAACCACCACTTAACATCAATGCTGTTCTTCCTGCGTGCCCTGCAACTATTATAAAACTGGCTTGTAATTGCCTGGGTGAAGAGTGGCAAATGTGGATTAATGCCTTGCCCAAAGATGTGGATTTGAACCCTCAACCCTTGGATTGAGAGATAAGAGAATGACACTCATTGGTTGCATCCATGTCAGTCGATAAAACGGCTAAAGCCCCTCTGCCCTAGTTTGGCATGAAGGGATTAGACCTCCCTGCTAGGTCACTGGCAGGTGGTTATCTCATCAAATCAGCTCTCAATTAACATGAGCATAAAGGGCATCATGGGGGATCAACGGGTACCGCTGAGGCATCGTTGGCTGTATAGAGGGTGCAATGAGACATCACACCTCCACTACTTTATCTTAAGATGACCATAACCAGTTTGATTGTTGTATTAACAGGTGACTGACGGTAGAAATGTTGATCAGACGTTCGTAGTAAGTGAGGAATCTCGGAGGATCAGAGCATTTGCGTTGACGAGTGATAACACCAAGGTGGCTTACGGATCAGATGGAGGTGTAGTTAAGGTAACACATAGGCCTATAATTATCAGTGTGTAGCAAACCAACATGTGCTTGATTACAAGTGATTTTCATAAACGTAATAAAATGTAATGCTTGAAATACCTTAGAAGTATAGAAACGTACAAAAGGTTCAGAAGCAATTTGAAAACATACTTATTGAGCACTTTATAAAATCTCACAACTATGAACCCAGTGCACCATTTCCACTCCTTTTGTATTCCCTTCTGTAAAGCACATAGAGACAGGCAATTATGCATATGTGTTATGCGCTATACAAAACGTTTAAGTGTGCAGTAATTCATTCTTTACCCATCCGTATTTCCAACAGGTAGCTAATGTAGAAACCCATGTTGTAGAACGTTCTCTTGAAGCTCACACCATGGATGTCCGTCAGTGCCTGTTCACCAGAGAGGGCGACACACTCGTTACCTGCTCTAGTGATGGTCTCATCAAAGTAAGTGCTTTCACACTGTCTCTTTTAATTGCTGTGTGAAAACCAGAGAGGAAAATATGCCTGTGAATGTCTATCTTGGATTTTATTCTTCTATATCTTATGATATGATACCTTGGACTGACAGAATATGAAACAAAGAAGTGCTCAATAAGGCATGTGTCGAAAGATCCCTCCTTAACATCATAAGGAAGGTCAAAGTCCAAAGTTCAAAGTTTATTCAACACTCTTCATAAAAACATTTAAAACATACCAATACAGAATGGAGTTATAAAAAATGAAATAAAAAGATTACAAATGCAATGGCAATTTATAAGAGCATTTGGGATAGGCAGAAAGGAGGGATTCCTTATATAAAAGCCTACCCCTAAAACACACATACAGGAAAAAGATAACAAAAGAACAGAACACAAAACAAAGATAATACTAAAACTAACTATCATGCACGATCAGAGTAAAAAAAGGTGTCAAAAAGGAACAGACAACTCCAGTTTGTTTGGCGTATTATGAGAAGAGAAGGCACGTAACAGCAGGATAATGAGAGGTAACATGGAGGGAAAGAGAAGCAGATGGAGACAGTGCATCAAATACATGGATAAGATCATTGGGCTGATCGGTAACAGAAGGAATGTCACATCACAAAGGACCAGAGATAGAAGTAGATGGAAAGCCTTGAGCGCCAATGTCTGGAACAGACAAGACACCAAGAAAGCAAGCATATCTGATGTACTCATATCCATACTACAACTCATGAATAGCTGCTTACACACCAGCAAAATAAATAGTAATGATTAATGAAATAGAAATAGGTAAATAAAGTACAAAATGATTGAAGAAAAATATGATCACTGAATAATGAGAAAATGAGAGTGATTTAATCATCATAGGCCCGAATTCACAAAGCAAGGTTTGAGCTCAAACCTCCTTTTAATTCAAAAAACTTTATTTCCGTTAAAAAACATACAAATATATACATGTGATAAAGTACAGACAGTTTAAAATATACAAATCATGATCATTAAATTAAATTAATTTAAACAAACTGTGAAAATGAGTAAAAGGAAAAGGGAGCACCTGTAGGAAGCTTATGTTAGCTTGTTGATTCAGGCGTCCAAATGAATAAAATAATTACACAGATATAACATAATAATGAGTATTGCGCATGTATTTGTTCTACCCCCCCCCCCCTCCCTCCCTCCCTCCCTCCCATCCCCCCCCCCCCCCATCACCACCTCCCCCTCCCCCTCCCCCTTCTTTCTCTCTTATGGTTATTTACAAATTATATTTTATTTTAAAATAGGTGTTAAACTAAAACAAATTATAGGGATAATAGATATATTTTAAGATTTTTCTTGAATGAGTTTAAGTAAACATATTGAGTAAGAGAGGATGGAAGAGAATTCCATACTATGGGCCCTGTATACCTTACCGATTGTTGCATGTACTGTTTATCAATATTCCAAATGTGTAACTTTAGACTATTTCGAGTATTATATTTATGTATTTTAGAGTTAGTTTGGAACATAGTGGCAAAAGATGATGGTGCATTACCTTTAATACATTTGAATACAAACACAGCATTTTGATATTTATTTAGGCTATAAATATTGAGGGTATTTAACTGTCCATTTAAAAATGGAAAGTCGTGTGGATGGGATGATATTAGTCCAGATATTGTTAAGTATGTCAGATATGTTATTACAAAACCTTTAGCTTATGTTTTTAATCTCTCTCTACAAATGGGAATAGTACCCTCACAACTAAAAGTATCCAAAATTATCCCAATCTTTAAAAAGGGGGATAAACACACTATTGGTAATTATCGTCCTATATCACTTCTGACATGCTTCTCAAAAATCATGGAGAGATTAGTCTATGATCGTATATACAATTTTGTATCTAAACACCATATATTACATGATAATCAATTTGGATTTCGAACCCATTACTCTACTGACCATGCTTTAATATCTGTTCATGATATCATTGTTAATGCCTTGTATTCAAAACAGTTTATATTTGGTGTCTTTATGGACCTGGGTAAGGCGTTTGATACCATTGATTTTTCCATTCTCTTTAAGAAATTAGTTAATTATGGAATCAGAGGTATTGCATTGAATTGGATTAAGAGTTATTTTTCACAAAGGTACCAATTTACTGAATATAATGGATATAGTTCTACCAAATTACTGATTAAATCTGGAATTCCTCAAGGGTCAAATTTAGGCCCCCTATTTTTCCTTTTATATATAAATGACATATGCAACTCCTCTCATTCCTTAAAATTTGTACAATTTGCTGATGACACTTCTTTGTTCTTAAGCCATAATAACTTATACTCACTGATAGACCAGTTTAATGAACACATGAAGAATGTATCTCTGTGGTTAAAGGTAAATAAACTATCGCTTAATTTAGACAAAACCAAATGTATTCTTTTTAGAACAGCTCAGTGCAACAAAAAAGAATTGAAAAATCAAGTTCCACCATTATATATTGATCAAACAATTATTGAAAAAGTCTCAAATATTCAATTTTTAGGTATTCTCATAGATGAAACATTGTCTTGGAAATCCCATATTGCCATGATCTCTACAAAGATTAGTAAAACTACAGGATTATTGTCAAAGCTGAAATATTATTTACCAGGAAATGTATTGTTTATGATTTCTAATTCACTCATTCTCTCCTATTTGTCATATGGTAACATCGTGTGGGCAAATACAAGTCATTCTAAGTTGAAACCCTTATTTTTACTTCAGAAGCGTTGTCTACAATATTGTACAAACTCTCATTTGTTTCGCAAAACCTCCTTTTGTTCTTTACAAACCAGGTTTGTAAAAAATGTGTAAAACGCGTCATATGACGTACGAAAACCAAGGTTTGTCGACAAACCTCCTTTGTGTATTCGGGCCATAGTGTGTAAGAGGATACCAAATTCTTATTTTGTTTGTATTTTATAAAAAATCTAAATTTAACAATTGTTGGAATGAACCATTTGTGTACAGATGTTCATTTTGTTTGTCACGTAGATCTGGCCTGAAGGAGGAGAGGTGATTGAGTGTAGAGGTCATACCAAAGCTGTTACACAGTGTCAGCTGTATCAGAATGATGCTAAGATACTCTCATCATCGCGTGACGCCACATTAAAGGTATGATTATCAATATATCTTTGTATTCACCTCTCTCTCTCCCTTTCTCCCCCTCTCTCTATCGCTCTTTCCCTTTCTTTCTCTCCCCTCTCTTTATCTCTCTCTTTCTCTTCCCCTCTTTCTCCCTTTCTCTCTCTTTTTCTTTCCCTCTCCTCTCTTCCCCTCTCTCTATTCCTCTCTCTCTATTCCTCTCTCTCTCTTGATCTCTCCCCTATCTCTATCTCTCCCCTCTCTCTCTCTATCTCTCCCCTCTCTCTCTCTTTCTCTCTCTCTCTCTTTCTCTCTCTCTCTCTTTCTCTTCTAGTCCCTCCCTTTCTCTATCCTTCTCTACATGGACAGTATGTATCTCTACCTTCTCTTTCTTTGAAGGCACATTGAATTAAGATCAACTGTCTTTCTCAATCTCATTCTTTCTCTTTGTCTGTCTCTCTCTTCACGTTTTGTCTATCTCTCTGTAATTATTTTGTTTTTCCTCTAACTCTCTCGCTATCTCTCTCCCTTCATTCTCTCTTTCATTTTCTTTCTTCTGCATTTTTTGTCACTTTCCTCTTGTAAACTTTTGAGGCTAATCACAGGTACAGACAAAGTTTTATTGCATATAGATAAAACTATTTTCTTGAGAAAATTATCAACATGAATCTGATCTCTCCTCCATTAATACCAATATTTTCTGTTTCATTTGCAGATATACAGTACATGTATCTTATACACTGATTATCTCTTTATTGTTAGAATAATGCCCTTGTGATATTTTTCTTTTTACAGATCTGGGAGTTGAGTACTGGGCATTGCTTAGCAACCATCGAGGCTCATTCCGATTGGATTTTCATGTGTGCTATTTCTCCTGATCACTCAATGGTTGCATCCGTGTCAGTGGATAAAACAGCGAAGGTATGATGCAGTCTCTCTCACTCTTCTTCCTCTTTCTCCTCTCTCTCCCTCTCTCCATTCACTTTCTCTTCTCATCTTTCACTCTGTCTGCCTTTCTGTATCCCCCATGTCTCTTTATAACTCATTATTTTCATTGTTTTGGGTCATTAAAACAGCAAAGTTACATGTATGTTTGTGTCTCCCCCTTTACCCCCCCCCCCCCCCCCATATCTCATTATCTCCCCCTTCTTTTCTCTTTCTCTCCCTCTTCTTTTCTCTTTCTCTCCCTCTTCTTTTCTCTTTCTCTCCCTCTTCTTTTCTCTTTCTCTCCCCCTTCTTTTCTCTTTCTCTCCCTCTTCTTTTCTCTTTCTCTCCCTCTTCTTTTCTCTTTCTCTCCCTCTTCTTTTCTCTTTCTCTCCCCCTTCTTTTCTCTTTCTCTCCCTCTTCTTTTCTCTTTCTCTCCCTCTTTTCTCTTTCTCTCCCTCTTCTTTTCTCTTTCTCTCCCTCTTCTTTTCTCTTTCTCTCCCTCTTTTCTCTTTCTCTTCCTCTTCTTTTCTCTTTCTCTCCCTCTTCTTTTCTCTTTCTCTCCCTCTTTTCTCTTCCTCTCCCTCTCCTTTTCTCTTTCTCTACCTCTTCTTTTCTCTTTCTCTCCCTCTTCTTTTCTCTTTCTCTCCCTCTTCTTTTCTCTTTCTCTCCCTCTTCTTTTCTCTTTCTCTCCCTCTTTTCTCTTTCTCTCCCTCTTCTTTTCTCTTTCTCTCCCTCTTCTTTTCTCTTTCTCTCCCTCTTTTCTCTTTCTCTCCCCCTTCTTTTCTCTTTCTCTCCCTCCCCCTCCCTCTCTCTCCCCCTCCCTCTCTTTCACTTGCTTTTCTCTCTGTCTCATTATCTTTCTTTGCAGTTATTTCCTTTTAATTTATCTTGTAATGGTTCATATTAGCATATGGAACCTCTCTTGCTTTCTTTTTCATTTTCTCTTTCTCTCTCCCCCCCCCTTTATCTCTCTCTCTCTCTCTCTCCCCCTCTCTCCATCCCTCCCTCTCTCTCTCTCTCTCTCTCTCCCTCTCTCTATCCCTCTATCTCTTTATCCCTCTCTCTTGCTCTTGCTCTCACCCCTTCTCTCCCCCTCTCTCTGTCCCATTATCTCTTATTTTATATCATTTCTTACTTTTTTATTTATTTTTTAATGGTTCATATTAGCATGTGGGACCGCTATCATGGTGATAGCACATTCTAAAACTTTCACATCTACATGTCATTTTATTGCAGTTCCTTTTAAAATACAGTCAAACCTGTCTATAGTGACCACCCAAGGGAAACACAAAATGTGGTCTTTGTAGACAGATTCCTTTAGTACACGTTTCAATGAGAAACCATTTTCAAGGGAAACTAAAAATGTGGTCCTTGTAGACAGATGGTCACTAAAGCAGGTTTGACTGTATATATATACTTGCTGTAAGGCTAATAAATTTCAAATATATAAATTTCAAATATCATTATTCTTTTGGATTCAAGATTAACTTTCTTACAAGCTTGTTATAGAAATTGCATGAAAGTGGTGGGGAACCTCCAACAATTTAATTAAGTAATTTCTGAAATGATTTTCCTTCACTCATGGCTCAGGTTTGGGATCTTCAGTCCCACAAGCTCAGAAAGGTGTTGGATAATCACATTGATAGTGTGCGGACATGTCGCTTCTCACCAGACTCTACTCTGCTAGCTACGGGAGATGACAGTGGGATTGTGAGGGTAAGGTTTCCCTCAGTACCACACATAGGCCCTTCTACCATAGAAACGGTATACAAATGGTGCATGCGCATGAATTCATTATACGATAGATACACACAGCCTCAACAAGGAAGGATAGATCGTATGATGAACGAATGAAAACATGCACCATTTGTTTTATACTACAAAACCCCTAGATCCTTGTTGTTTGAAGTAAAAAGCATTCGTTCAAAATTGTTTTGTGACAGTATGCCTGACAAATAAGCTCGTCGTCCTGGTCACTGGTTCTAAACAATAGAGCCCGGATGCGCCCAGCCCACGTATAGGCATGCATGAACCTCATACGCTCATGCCCCTATAAATAGGATCTCTATGTGCATGCCTTAACGCGGGCTGCACACTAATAAATCGTTGGATAGTAATATAGTATTAATGACTGCTTTGAGAGAAATAGTAAGGATATATTGACTGCTTTGAGAGGCATAGTGGTTTCTATAGGGTCAAGGGAAACTCACAACCTGCTATGACCCCAAGGCGCTAGCAGGTTGTGAGTTTCCCGAGACCCTATAGAAACAACTATGCCTCGAATATTAAAAGCAGTCAATATATATTTTATATACCGAAAAAAAGGAAAATGTTGACTCACCCATTTAGGTTTCCATCTCTTTGAAGTCATAAATATTAACACCAACAATAACTTGTGTACAGTATGAAATCCAACAAGCTGTGCTCCAGTAGAACAGGGAATACAGATTCGTCGCCTGAATGCAGCGACCAAAATCGAATTGCACTCAAACACCGTTAACGGTATTGCGCATCGGTCATCGCACAAAAGAAACTTATACGGTAACACGTAGACCAAAATGGGGATCGCAGCAAAATGACGTCACGTTTCACAGCCATGGAAAAAGTGCTATGAAAAATGGATATAAACCGGTAGAGCCGGGAAAAATGACTATGAATTTCAATTAGCGGGCATGGTTAAGAACATGACTGCATTTTCAACCAATCAGAAGACAGGATTAGTAAAGAATCTTAAAATGAGGCATATAATTGTTTTTATACGCTCAAGGGAAGGTTACAATTGTGCTATTGACCGAGGCGTGCCAAAGGGCAATAGCCCAATTGTAACCTTCCCGAGAGCGTATAAAAACAACTATTTCTCGAATATTAAAGCAGTCATTAATACTTTTATATGCCGAAACAAAAGTGTCAACTAATGACACCACCTTGGCCTTTCTCTAGTTTATCTGCACGGTTGTTTTTTATGAGTGTATCTTTGAGAGTAGACTAGATCTAGATTCTAGTCTAAGCAAGATATTTTTACAATTTTGGGGGTGGGCCGGCCCTGTGGGGAATATGGAGAAGAACCTGCGCTTTCATATGACACCTCACTTATTGAGTATCACCTTCAGGATCACAACAGATTATAAAGGTTTGAATCTCGAATTGAAAAAAAAAATTGACCTTTTTTGCATGGTCGCGGAATGCACGTAGACTGCATAGGGACTGCATTGCGTACAATCTCTATAGGAATAATTTTAACACACAACATCGGGTGCGCGATCAGACACCCTGACAACTAGATCTATTTCCGTCTAGAGTCTATACGTCTACACTTTTTCAGCAACTAAACGAACATGTTTATGGATAATTTCACGTACCCTTTTTGTTGTTCTTGCTGTCAGCGAGTCTTGCATTTGATAAGTTGAAATCTTGGGAGAGATTCTTGAGCCATTTTTGTCTTGTTTGGAATTGTCTTGTCTTGTATGAAAATACCGACCAATTCTTCGCACACGTACGGTATCCTCGATCGCTCAAACCATTTTTTAACATGTAAACCTATGGGGTAACCATGGAGACTGACCTATTTTCCCGGTAACCATGGTTATTGGGAATTTTACAGAAATAGTTAAAGTTTATGAATGCAATTTCGACCAATCAGATGGCTGGATTTCTTAAGTGAGGTATATATTGCACTCTTTTTCATGAAAGACGTGAGATAGTCTCAGTAAATCCATTATTTGATTAGGATCTAGAAGTGAGTTGTATAATAAAATCTATTGTCCTTGAATGACACCTTATTTCTTGGCTCTAAATATATAACATATGATTACATAAATCTCCTTTGCCAAGGCATGTATTATTCTAAAAAATATTTGTTTTTGTTTTGAATACTAACATGCAGTATATCCATATACAATTAAATATATATACACACACAATATTCCTAATTCTGCCGGAAGAGATTCTTATTTTTTGTTGTAGAATTTTGGCAATTATGGTAGAGATAATTATCAGCATCTTCTCATTTTCTGTAGATCTGGAATATATCAAGTGGTGATGAGGTCGGGGAATGTCATAAGCACAAATCTTGGGTGACGGACATCAAGTTCTCTCCTGATGCTAAGATTGTGATGACTGCCGGAGAGAATGTCAAGGTAAGTAACATAATACCATGGTAAAAAAGACATCATAAATATCATTACACAGTTAGAGTCATCTACCTGTACAACTTATATATGAGCTTAGATTATAAGATGATGAGGGCGTGGATCCTAATCAAATGATTGGTTGAAAGCGTACACGTGACCAGGCATTTATTTTGGATAAAGGACTATATTGCGATGCTTCAGTTCAGTTCAGTTTATTGAATTCCATCTTTAAAAACATGCAATTTCATGTTAAATATAATACAAAAATTGTGATAACATATACATTAAAAATGAAATAATACAAAACAGAATAAGGCACAGCTGTAAACAAAATCAAGAAAAGGTTTTGTCTGCACAGCTTCCTATCAAATTAGATATAATAAATATAGTAAGAAAACAAGTACCGGTAGCAAGTAAAGTTTTGGATAGTATCATTCAGAAATTGCATAACAACCAGCACAAACCAAGTACATGAAATACAACATGGTAGGATGCAAAAGTCAGAAGATAGCAAAAGGGAAATGTGAGGGGAAGAAAGAAAGAGAGAGAGAGAGAGAGATAACATGCTGGATAAATACATTCAGTGAGAGTCATGCGCAATCAAGAAACTTTTGAGATTTCGTTTAAAACTGTTGTAAAATGAGATTGAAGTTATATTTCTTGGAAGCAAGTTCCAAATTTCAGGTGCATGAAGTCTGCAAGAATATGATGCTAAATTTGTATTAACACACCATTGATGATATTTCTTCTTATTTCTAGTATTATAGTTACGTATTGTACTGTTTGTTATAAACATATTGGATAGGTTTTTAGGAAGCAGACTTTTTTCATTCTTAACTCTGTAGGTTTGCTTGTGTTTGTTTACAGTGGTGGCAGCTAGACGGTACACTCCTGCAGACCTTCCATGTACGAGGGACATTCATCAGACAGGTTCAAGCCAGTCCATCCTTCCAAACCTTTGTGACCATCGACAGCGCTGGCATCCTCTATCTGATGTGCAGAGTCAAACAAAATCATCAAGCCAATGGGGACGCTAGACAAATAATATATGTCTAGGCCGAGCTAGTACAGTGAAACCTTTGAAACCGCAGACAAGCACTGGCATCCTCTATCTGATGTGCAGAGTCAAACAAAATCATCAAGAGAATGGAGACAGTAGACAAATAATATACGTCTAGACAGACACAGGTGGTATCTTGTATAGTCAGGGCTCCTACATGTAGCTATCCCTTAAATCTGGCAAAACATAGAATTTGAAAATGAGTATTCTCTTATTTCCAGTCCTGTGTTTTTCTAGTCCAGATGTTTGAAACCATTGACAAGCACTCGTCTTGTATCCTATATCTAATGTGCAGGGTAAGTCCCAACCATATAGAGGAGGGGGTGCTACTGAAGTTTGATACGTTTAGACCAAGCTACATGTAGTATCTCGTATAGTCAGGGTTCCCAGCTATCATTAAAATTAAGGGAAATCTGTAAAAAGAGATCTATTTTCAGTCCAGACATTTGTAATCATCAACAGTACTGGTATTCTATATCTCATGTGCAGGATTAAAACCAAATCATTAAGAGAACGGGACGCTATTTGAGCATAGACAGCGCTCATATCTCCTATACGTGTACGTGTATGTCTAGAATGAGCTATGTCATACACTCCAACTAGTATAAAAGAACAGGTAGTTGTTATTTGTAGTGTCATGAAACTTTAAAGTTTACTTTGCTTTTAGAAATAGAAAGAGGCTGTATAGGTTTATAACTAAAGATAGTTCTGCAGAGTGGAAATAATTTTGAAAAATTTATACACTTGCCTGCTGAAAAGTACTACACTTTGCAATTTAATTGCATATGATATAGGTACATATGTATATGTAGTTATTTCTGATCAAGTTTGTAAGATCAATTACTTTGTTGTATGTTTAACTTTTATAAACAATGCATACTCTTCCATGAGATACAGGGATTTTGTTTTTGTAATATTACTAATGTACTTTCTTCTAATTCAGAATATTGATTTTCTTATTTCATATGAGACCTTGGCCCTGTCTTATAAAGAAGTGCGATTGATCAAAATCAAGCGCAAGTTTGCATTCTCCTATCTCTTATGTACATCGTTGCGATTCATATCAATTGAAAATAAGTTGTGATTAATATCTACTGTTTATAAGACAGTTGTTTTATCAATCATATTGATTTCATTTGTGATTTTACCCTGCAATATATATTTCAGGGTATAAGGTATCTTCTATTGTTGGTTTTCATGAGAGTTGTTGTGAATGAACAAACCCGAAAGTGCCTTCGTTTCGACACTCATTCACATCATGAATGGCCAGCAGAGGTTGAAAAAAAGTACAGATGCAAAGAAAGGTCCTTAGGGTACTCACCTATGTGTTTCTATTAAGATACAGAAAGGTACTGTTATTAAGTGCATTATACTGATTTAGCCCCGGCAGTTTTTACATTGTATCTCCAGAAATGATAGCATTCTTCAAATGATGATCACTTTTTATCATCAATGATCATTAATACACTATTGAGAACATAGGATATTTCGGCTCACCCAATGCTGTGTATTTCTATATGAATATTTTGAAAGTTTTTGTAAAACAGGGTGTAGAATTTTTGTACAAGTTTTGTCTGTTTTCAGCAACTACACCTCTAATAGTTTCAATCTGAATTTCAATCTGAGTTTCATTCAGGTTGCTGGCAAGTGAGTGAAGGAGTGAGGATTAATATTTAGTGCAAAATCTGTCCTCTGTGGATGAAATATAACAAAGCTTTTCACAAGACAAGTTGGAGTTGATTAATATCAAGAATGAACCTTGTTTACTGATTCTTATTATTATTATCTGTTTTGTTTTGTTTGTTTATTCTACCATGATCTCTTTTTAGAGGGATGGAACCTTGCAGAGTATTATCAAACGTAATTAATTCTGGGGAATCATATAACTATAGATTTTTATGTATATCTGTCATCGACTTGTTGCATGTTTCTCTTTATTTGATGATCTATATAAGTGGTAAAGATGTGTATATTGATCTCTTGAAATATTAATAAGTTGCAATCTGCAAGTTGCAATATTTTGATAGTTTATATTGAAATGAAAATTTATTCTGTATACCAGTAACCTACACACTTACATGTACTTGTACCTCTAATTCATGTTCATTATCATTTCATTAGGTCGTATGAAATCATTCAGATGACTTCCTATCATGAATATTCAACTTGATTAGTAAAAAGTATATTTATATGAATATTCACGAACCTGCATATTCATGAAATAATTACAAGAAATGAATATTCATTATGTACTCATTATTCTAAACGTACTATCTTCTAAAGAGGACCTTTTTGTGTGCTGATCTACTCTGTATTCCATTTAAGTTATACTGTACAACACTATGGATGTTTCTTCCATGTCTCATAATTTGTTGATATTCTAAAACTTGAAATATTTTGTAGCCTTTTTTAATTGGAAGACTTGTGATGACATTTGTTGTTACTTTTTTATACAGGCATAATGTCATATGGCAGCCTTTATATGGACATATTTAAACTTTTTCAGCCTATTGTAATAACTGTCTTTACCTCTTTATGTGCCATGAAAATGAGCTCCTTGTGGCACATGGCATTTATCATGTGATGGTTGTACTAGAAACTTGCAGATTCTTGTAATGTTTCCAGTAGAAACCGAGGCATCGTTTCACGAAACCGTCATAAGTACAAATTCACCAACATCCTAGCACCAACCTCTTTATAATAAAGATATACCGTACTTATATAGCGCATATCACAATATGTCTCTTGTGCATCTGACCTACCTGCTTCTTCAGTCATACGATTCATCTTTGCCTGATGAAAATGCCCTCACAGTGTCTTTTGCTGCCCAGATGACTACTAAATTATTCCCATAGGCTAATAATGCTGGGACCACCAGGATCCCTTATTGAAGGCAAATGAAAGGTTACCAACAACGGTTGATATCTGAATGATATTAATATAATTTATATTTATAATGTATGTTTACTATTTTGAAATATTGTCTTGTATTTTCCAAGTCTTCGTAGGCAAAATTTGAAACATTTATATTTTTATTTTTTTCTGGGGGATCCACAAACTACAAGCTCTGCTCTTTAGTGGATCCCCCCCCCCCCATTTCCTCAGAAATTAAGAATTTCTTGTAATAATTTTATGATGTGCAAAGTTTATTTGTATAGTTTCTTGAAAAAATGAATTATGTATGAAATAAAATGTAATATCTTTGTTTACCTTTCTGTTGGAAATGAAATAAATATGAATATGAATATGAATATTAATCAGCATTTAAAGTAATTGTTTAGGCTTAAACAAGAGTGCAGTTGTACTTAGTAATAACAAAAGATATTTCAATTACACTTAAATATTTCCATGACTGACAAGGTATTCCTTCTTCGGGTTTTGATTATTATATGTGAGTGATTACGAAAAATGATTTCAATAATCTTCAGTACTAACAAGGGTTTCATATTGTGCATTCATTTTTTATACTTTAGAAATAGTAATTACATATCTTAAGCAGTGGAAGCAAATCATGTTTGATATGCTACGAAATATGTGTAGAGGTATATATGTTGGTAATAGACCAGTTCATGGTTATGACCACAAATATTCACAGGTTTTTAAAAAATTGGAGAAGTTCCACTTTGAGAAAAATAACGACCAAGGGGGTGGAGATGCTTCATGAATACTTTTATTTGCCCCGTTTGAAAGGCATACATCCACTTGGGTTTCAAGGAATGTACTGTTGGTATATAAATGAAAACTGATTGCAAAACTTTCATGAGCACCTATCCAGTATTCATTTTTCTAGGTTTGACAATTTGGTACAAAAGACTTTGTCAGTTGTATGTATCTACGAATTGGCTTATCGTGAAATTATTATTACAATACATGATTTGATATTGATTGCTTAATTAGGTAAGCTGTAAGTATATTAAAGCCCACCTCGAAAGACCACCTTAGGGAGACACAAAAATCATTCTTTGATACAGGCATTTGGTCTTTATGCCCAGGTTGCACTGAGAAACATCGTTTCAAGAGAAACAAAAGTATGGTCTTTATAGACAGGTGGTCTTTACGGACAGGTGTCTGTCAACAGTCCATTGTAATTGCTTTGAATTTGCTTTTCATGAACTGTCAATCAAAAATTAGGTTCTTATTTACGAGAGTGTATAGCGTAACAAGTAGCATGAGTAAAATGCTTGGAACAAAATATGTATGCACCGATAACTGTATCTTTCAAATTCATTGACTAACACATGGAAAAAAATGAATATCGATCCACCATGTTATAATTGATTTTTGTATTTGCAATATTAAATGTGGTTTAAAGAATGTTTTGTTTGGATATATGCATGTATTTTGTAATTTCTAAGAAATATATACTTTTTAGTATACTTTTTATTCAGCATGTTGTCTGTTGGGTATCAGAAAGCTAATAAGTCATATACTTTTCCATTACATCAATGCCCTTTGCGCTCTAAATAGACGATTGATGGAATATTTGTAGTTTGTATATGTATGTTTGCATTTTCTTTTCTCTTTGCATATTAAATTATGACTTCATATGTATGCATTCAAAGGGAAATATATATGTAGGCCTTACTTTTTCATTTGGTAGTCTTTGTAGTATATCTCTGCCACTTTCTTGCTTTCGCTCTAATGTAGGCTTATGAAACTAACTGAGTATAACAACATTGAATGTTTGACTTACCGGTAGTTGTTTCTTGTTTGTTTGTTTGTTTGTTTTTTTAACTTTAACTTTTATGCATAATCATGTCTTAACCCATATCATATATATATACATATTCAGTGTCCTTCTGGCTCCAAGCAAACACAATACGTGATGCAGCTTTTGCTTTGGTGAGAATTGCTCCAGGCTTTACATTATGACACATATGGTAAGGTTTGCAATTCGGTTTCACGATAGGGTTAGGGTTAGGTATAGTGTTAGGCCTAGGGTGAAAGTTTGGAATACGGTGAATGTAGAAAATAGAGCCTAGAGCAATTGTCACAGGAGCAAATGTTTTATAGCCAATCTTTCATATTCACACTTTATTCACACTTGATGAAACTTGGTTGAACTCTCTGTGTAATAATGTAAAAACCATGTCAAAATGATATTGAATATTGTATGTGTACATGTGTAATGTAATTAATAATATATGTTATGAATGATGGATGGTAACAGATAACTTTGTACTACAATATTATATAAGTATGATTAAAAGCTTGGAGTTTTCATGATTTTTCGAGAAGGTCTTTTTTCGATTTCTAATAAAACACTTGAAACACTAAATATGTTGATGTCTTTTATTTCAAATTAATTGTAGTTAGTTAATTTGATTATTTAATTAAATTCATTTATTTTCTATTTCAAAGCAGTGTGAACACAAGAGCAAACTACATCAATAAAATCACAATGTAAAATGGTTGGGATACAGCTTGTAATCAAGTTGCTTGTGGACATGCAGGGTCCCAGTTTTAGGAAATGATGGGTAACAATAAAACATGAATTATTTGTAGTGTTACCTTAATATACTGTATATACACATATAGTACACACATACACACACGCACATACGCACACTTTTTAAGCAGTGGAGTGGAATGCACTCTTGTATTAGTCACTATGCTATAAAGCAATAATATAACCTTATAAACTTCTGGGTCAATCTCATACCAGGGCATTTCCCCTTTTGGCTGCAACCTACAACAGTGTTTATACACTATATGTTTGTATTATAATGATGTTATTTTCTTGTATGCATCTTGTCATTTTAAAATTCTCCTGTTTTTTGTTGTTGCTGCCAGTGAAATAAAACGAATATTACGGGACCGCCTCTGTTGCAGATGAATACACTCCAAACTTAAGTATAGTATTTGATAACTCTTTAAAGAATGCATTCTACTATTCTGAAAATGGGTCTCCACTAAAAAAAAAAAAGTAATATATATCCTCCCCCCCCCCCACCCCCACCCTCAAGTGCAGGCCTACTTTCACTTTCATTCGAGAGAGTGAGGCGCGATAGCTCTTTGGTAGAGCAGTGCATGGTCTCGGAACCGGGAGGTCCCAGATTCGAAGCCAATTTGATAGTGCCCTCGATGGATTTTCTATGGATTTTCATTTAACTAACCCTAAAATTGTTTTGGCACAAAAATCAATAAGACACAATGGACCCGATGTGTGGAACTCCATGCTTATAACATTAAAATTATGTACAACACTTGTTTCCTTTAAAGTGAAGATGAAAGAATATTTATTGATAAGGTATGAAAATTAGATTCTGGTCATAATATACTACATGTACTTTGTTTTAATATAAATATTCATTGTTTATTTGTATATAAAAAGGAAATTATTTGATAGATTGAGGAGCTCGCGCAGTGCACTCTTCACTTTGCACAGCACTCTCTTCACCCGCTCTTTCTTCCTGTCTCCTCTCCTCCTTTTGTAAGGCCGGTATCATTTCAAGCTCTGCTTACGATATCGGTCTTCTGCATTCTCCCCATTTTCTTTCTTTTCAAATACGATTAATTGTACTATTGATTATTTATATTTATTTATTTGTGTATTACTACTTGTATTACTTATCATTATATTGCTAAAATGTATTCATTGTTATTTTTGTTATTGTTTATGGAAAATGCAGAAATAAAACTTGAAACTGAATCATTACCAAGTCCCTCTGAGAGGACGTAAATCCGTCGATCCCCTGGTTGCTTACGTACAAATATACACATGCCTTCTTAGCAGCCGGGTAAGACAAGCAAGCTAGAAACTAGTCTGTGAAATACGTGTTCGCTCCGGGATGTACTACTACCGAGCTGGATCCGTCAGACACTGATTGTGACTTCCTTCCATCTCCCAGCAAGCACGCCCTCTCTTGAGCGATGAAGGTGAAAGCAGAGCAGTGAGCATCGAAGCATCGCTGGCCACACCCAATCACTGAACGCACCGTGTATGATGAGTGCAGGGCATGTGAGTAGTCTCACCTCCCTGATGAGTGTACCAACGTACTAATGAGCGTGGTATCGCGTGCCACAAGTCTAAATGTTCTTGGTCGCTTGTGACCTGTCGTAAAATTTGAAATATAAATGAATAAATTATTAGATAATACACTAAAATATAGATGGATAGATAAGTATATAATGATATGGATGGGTAGATTATGAATGAATGAATAAATAAATCAATCCCTGGCTGAATATAAAAAGGAACTAATAAATGAATATCCAAATGGATGTATACATACAACCAAAAAAAGAACACTTAAGAATGATATTTCATTTTGATAAAATTGTGCATTATTCTTCGATTGTTACAAATGATCACTTGAAATGTAGCACTGTGTTTTCCTGGTAATAAATTCAGGAATAGGGATCTAGGATTGATTCGCAGACGGTCATGAATTTCATGAAAGAGCAGGGTTCACCAACGCCATGGAAACAGGATCTTAAAGGCTTTCGAAAAATCAACCTGAGCAATTTTACTCGATGAAATGTCTGAATATGACAATGACTTATTACGTAGTTTGGCCATGATGTCGCATTACAACTGGATATTGATATTGCCCCCAAGTTGATCATTCATTTCTTTTATTTGTTATTACTTATATACTTATTATCAATTCTCCTTTGATTTTTTTTGCTCGAGAGATTGAAGTAGCAACGCCAAATCCCATCGTATTTTTCGTGAGGGAGGGGGTGTCAGGATAATTTCGAGGACTGTAAATAAAGTGCCTTGATCAAAACCGAAAGAGGACCTACCACCCGATTTCACCATTGTTTGGGTGGTTGGCGTTGCAATAGTAGCTGAGGCTATCGAACCATGAGCCTCAGGAGATTCTGAAGCTACATCCGACATTTCGTGTCCTGTAGTTGTTCTAGCGGATGATGCTTGTAGGGTCGGGGAGGTTGGTGGTGATGTTGTTGGTGATGTTGATGTCCTAATTTTTGTTGTTGCATCATTAACAAGGTCTGTTGTGAAAGCTTGGATGGGGGTCGATGCACCTTTCAATGATATTTGAGTATTTGGCACTGTTGAATGCAGGTGTTCGCATGCTGGAAGATAGTTGAAAAATAACAGGAAAAAAGA